TGTGAGAGAGAGAGACAGTGTGTGTGAGAGAAGGGAGAGAGAGAGAGACAGTGTGTGAGAGAGAGACACAGTGTGTGTGAGAGAGAGACAGTGTGTGAGAGAGAGAGAGAGAGAGAGAGACAGTGTGTGTGTGAGAGAGAGAGACAGTGTGTGAGAGAGAGAGACAGTGTGTGTGAGAGAGAGAGTGTGTGTGTGTGAGAGAGAGAGAGTGTGTGTGTGTGAGAGAGAGAGGGTGTGTGTGTGTGAGAGAGAGAGAGTGTGTGTGAGAGAGAGAGTGTGTGAGAGAGAGAGAGTGTGTGTGTGAGAGAGAGAGAGAGAGTGAGTGTGAGACAGAGAGAGACAGTGTGTGAGAGAGAGACTGAGAGAGAGAGAGAGAGACAGTGTGTGTGTGAGAGAGAGAGAGAGACTGAGTGTGAGAGAGACACAGAGAGAGACTGAGTGGGAGACAGACAGACAGAGAGACTGAGTGTGAGAGAGGGGATGAATGAGAAGGAGACTGAGTTGACTCGGGTTCTGGGGAGAGAGACAAACACACTCATACAAGGAGATACAGAGTCTGAGAGAGGGGGTGAATGACTCAGGCCTTGGGGGGGGGTTGGGGTGGGGGGCGCAGAAAGAGTGACACAGAGAGTGAAAGAGAAACAGAGATAGAAAGAGAGTGAGAGAGAGGAATAGAAACAGAGAGAGAGAGAGAGTTCTGTAACCCGCCATCCACATAGCGAAGGCTCAAACCCACACTTGTTGGATGTCAAATGACCAACTAGTGACTATCGTTTGTGGGCAGTGGGTGCGGTGCGGTGAGTGGCTCCAGGGTGACATGTTTGGCAATGGACTGTCGGAATCCAGCCCCCCCCCCCCCTGTGCCGGTCTCCAGTCCGGGTCCTGACTAGGAGGGGCCGCAGTGTCCCAGGGCACTCACTGCTGATGGCAGCACAGCCCGGCCCGGCTCATCGGCAGGTCCTGGAAGGGCCGACCAGTCACTGGGGGCCGGGAATCCTCCCCCTCGGCTCCTGGTAACCCCACAGCCAAAGCCCTAACTAACGGGGAGGGGGGTCCTCGCTGGACAAGCAGCGGGAAAGCTGCCGGACAGTGATATCAATGGCCGAGCTGTGTGGGTTTAGGTGGTTAGACTCCCGCGGTTACCCCAACGCACACTCTGGGGTCCCCCCAAGCCTTGGCTCCTGCCAACCTGCGCCTAATACTTTCCAGCATTAAGTAATCAGGATGTATTCCTCCAGGGAGAGAGAGAGAGAGTGTGCATCCCATTCCAGACCAGGGGACATTTGTGTACACGCTATACAATATGTGTATCTCTGATTTGTGTACCCGCAATGTGTTTCTGCGAGTCAGACACACGATTGCCCCCAAAAATAAAAATCTCTGCAATCTTCTGCCTGGGAGCGAGAGACTGAGCCAAGCTGAGATGTACATTTTGAGGAAACATTATCATAATAATAATCCTCGCATTTGATACAGTGCCTTATCACGTCTTCGAGACGTATCAAAGCGCTTCACAGAATTTACTGTAACGTGAATTGACTGCATTGTTAAAGCGGGGCAGAGGAGGGGTGGGGTCTAAGGAGTAATTTCTGGTTTCTGTGAAGTTCGGGTTCTGCAAAGTTCCTAAAATCTCAGTAATTCAATGTTCCGGCACATTCTTGGCTTGAATGTGAGCCAAACAGAAGATTTAGGGCAGCACATGTCCCCTCAGTTAGGCGGCTAATTCTAGGAGCTTCTCAAATGTTTTTTAAAAGCCGTAGTTGGGGGTGGGGGGGTGATGGGAATTTTGTATTTAGATTCTAGGCCGAGACCCACAGAGCAAAGGGAATGGCAGAGCGGAGGAATGGGATTGGGGGATGGGGAGAGAGCAGGGGATTGGGGTTAGGGTACTGGGAGAGAGTAGGGGATTGGGGTTAGGGTACTGGGAGAGAGCAGGGGATTGGGGTTAGGGTACTGGGAGAGAGCAGGGGATTGGTGTGGGTGATGGGGAAGGAGTAGATTTGAGTAGAAAAAAATGGAGTTAAACAAATGAATGGCCTCATGTTGGGAGGAAGTCCCGAGGTGTTGGACAGTCAGAGATTTGGACCCAAGCCGGGGTTGGGATCAGGAGGGTTGGCGAGTGGGAGGATGACCGAAGGTGTGGTCAAAGAGGAAGGTCTTGAGACTGGCCTTGAAGAAGGCGGAGGGAGGAGCATCAGTTGCATCTGATGTGTTTGAACAATGGAGTCCAAGGATTATATTATGATATTGTGCGCTGCTGCTGGAATTTAGAAAGCCGTGCGCAGCAGTGCAGGTTTCTTCCCTTCCGCTTCTCACCCTGTGAATCCCGAGAACCATTCTTCAAATATTGAGCTAACTGTGTAAACACTGGTGTTGGCTCTGAGCTGCTGCTGTGGGAAGATGGTTCCTGTGCTCTAAATCTCCGTGTGAGTGTCGTGCTTCCCTTCCTGGGCTTCTTATAATAATAATAATCCCTGCATTTGGTACAGCGCCTTATCGCGTCTTCAAGAAGTCTCAAAGCGCTTCTCAGAATATATTGTAAAGTAAATTAACTGTATATTGTGTGGGTGAAACACAGTAGCCAATTGCACAGTCGTGTGGATTGAGTGACCATATTATTATTGTTAGTTTTATTTAAGGGATTATTACCCCTGAGAAAAGCGATCCACCAATCAACTGACTACCGGGTTCCTACTTACTGCTGGTAAACAGCGGTGTGTGGAGAAGGAAACTTCCCAACAGTTTCGCCCACCCGGGAATCGAACCCCGGTCCTCTCGCTTGCGATGCAAGTGCCCTAACCCCTCTCGACTCTCTTCCCCCTCCTCGCTCCCTCCCTTCCCTCCCCTCCCCTCACCCTGACCATTTCCCCTCCTCGCTCCCTCCCTCCCCTCCCCTGACCATTTCCCCCCTGCTCGGTCATGACCCAACTGTACAGCGCCTTGGGACGTCCTCCTGACGTGAAACGCGCTTTATAAATGGAATCTTGTTGTTGTTGTTGTTGTTGTGTTGAGCTACAGGACTCCCAAGATGGTTCCTATGTTGTAATCTCCTGCTATATAAATGCAAGTTTATTGAATATTATGCAATAAGTGTGATTTACCTGGAGGTATTGCTGTGGGTGTGAGCTCAGTTACTGCCGCATTTCGTCCACAAAGTCCAGTCACTTCACTTTACAGTGTATCCTGTGAAGTGCTTTGAGATGTCTTAAGAAGTGATAAGCTGCTGTATATCAATATAAAAGCGCTGTATTATTATCATTATGCTGTTTACCTGGGAGCTCAGCACAGACTGACGTACACTTTTGTCTCAGGCAGTGGAGCGTTTGATCCACCCACAGCTGTGTGAGCGCTGCATCGAGTTCCTGGATCGGCAGGTGGTGCAGCAGATAAACGGCCGAGCGGAGCGGGCGAGCGAGGAGGTGGTGCACGCCTTCATCCTGGTGCACACCAAGCTGCTGGCATTCTTCTCCAGGTGACACGTTTCCAATACATCCCCAATTGCCTTTCAATTGTTAAACAGATCTTTATTACAAGAGGTTGGGAACAATTAGGCTGGCTCATTGGTACCCACCTCTTGCTGCCTGTGGCATCACACTGTTTCGTAAATGAGTCCAGGATTCAGCCATGCCTCTGGTAACACCATCCCACCTGTTAATAACTCTTTTGTAAGGAAATACTTCCTGGTTTCTGCCCTTCCCACTCCTGACTTGTGTCTTCTGTGCTGTTGCCTGCGCCTTGGAACGTCCTCCTGACGTGGAAGGCCCTATACAAATGTCATTTTGTTGTTGTTACATTAGTTTTATTTGAAAGTACTGTTCTACTACGGTTACTTTCTCTGAACATGGCCATTTTAGGAATAAACCAGTGTTAACCGGTGCTCAATAGTGAAGGTCGCTTGAAAATCATGACTGGGATTCATTGGCCTTCCTGTATGTGAATTGTGAATAGAAATAGCCCCATTAATGCTCTAATGTCACTATTGCTAATCATGCTTTTAATTCCTGCAGAGCATTAAATTCATTACCATTACTATTAAATTCTCCTTCCCATTCCTCTCTGCAGTCGTAATGCCAGCTCTGTGAAGCCTTCAGACTTGCTCTCGCTCATCTTAATTGCACAAGACATGTATCCTAGCAACGGCCAACTGGAGACACAGGCTGGCAAGGTGAGATTCCCTGGATTTGTATGGGGAGAAGGTGCTAACGGAGAAAGATTACACGTAAAGTATTCTGGGCTGTACAGGCAGTAAGTTTACCAGCAGTAAGTAGGAACCCGGTTGTTCCTGAATTGGCGGAACAGTTTTCTGGGAGTAATAATCCCTTCAAAATAAAAAAATAAATAAAATGTGGTCACTCAATCCACAACTGTCCGTGGGACACTGCTGTGCGCAATTGGCTGCTGCGTTTTGCCCACAAAAATATACAGTCACCACACTTTATATTCTGTGAAGGGCTTTTAGAATTCTCGAAATATGAGAAGGGACTATATCAAAAGCAAGGATTATTATTATTATCTGTGCTGAATAGCTAATCTCAGCCAGCACAGTGGTCAGGGCTGTAACCCCCCCCCGGAGCTGGGGAGAGGGGAAATCAATTGTACCCTCGTCCTGATTGCTCTCCTGCTGAAATGTCTCTACATTAACACTGATGCTCATTTGTGTAACAGGATGTAGAGGACCTGACGGTGGCTGAAGAGTTCCACACACCTCAGTCTTCTCCCAGTCCACACGGAGCAGGTACTTGTGAGAGTTCTTGTTCATCTCTGTTCTCTTTCCTGGAATTTATAAAGTCAGCATAGATCCAGAAATGAGTGTTCCAGCATTCATGCTGTCTTTCGGGTGAGATGTTTAACATCTGCATGTTGTGTTGGTTCAGATTAATTCGAGGTTCCCATGACACTAATTTAAGGAAGAGCAGGGTGTTTTGGTGTATTCATCAACATTCCTCTCTCACCCTCAAATTTACCTGAAAAGTTAAGATTCCGTTGCTGTATTTGAGTGATCGTGGGGCAGATGAGCTGTCACTTTTACCTACTTATGCCACTCCACCTCGGAGAAACTTTGTGTCATGCACTTTGAGATCTTCCAGCTTGGTGAGCGCTATAACGGTGGCCGTACTTTCAGTTACAACGCTCCGAAAATCTGGAAAAATGTTGTTCTATTCCTCCGCCTTGCCCCCTCTTTCCCCATCTTCGGGTTGCGCCTGAAGACCTTTCTCTTTGACCATGCCTACGGTCACTTCCCCCCAGCTCGATGTTGTCCTCCGCCACTGTCAAGTATTCTGGGGCGTTACCCTGCATGAAGGGCGCTGTGTAAATGCAAGCTGTTGTATATCAGGCGCCAGCATGATTTGTATGTAGCCATTATAAAGAACTCATTTTAACAGTTCCTAAGATAGCCTTGCAGCACGATCTGCTGATAGCATTTCTGTGAGGGGACCCACATTCACGTGTCTTTATGAGCTTCTCTTTATAGCATGTTTGCATTCTCTTACAGTCACACTCTTTAGGATATTAAACTCTCTTTCTCCGCTCCTGCTGTTTGAGTGCCCTACAAACCTATAACCTCTGACTCGGGTCCTCTCTCTTCAGGAGACCTTGGGATGGCAGGGAGCAGCTCACACACATTCCAATTCACTGACTCAGAGATACAGGTAAGTGATGGTAATTTATGCCCTGATTGTTACTTACTGTCCTATAGGACAAGTTAAACCCAAAAAGTCTCTGCTAGTTTCTTTTTCTCCATTTTTTCTCACCATCATGTGACACTATTAATAATCTTTGCATTTGATTTAGTGCCTTATCACATCATTGAGATGTCTCAAAGTGCTTCACAGGATGTAGTGTAAAGTGGAGTGACTGTATTTTGTGGGTGAAGCAATATTGAAAAAGAGAATAAAGTTTTCCTTGGTGTCCTGATCAACAATCATCAGATAAATTGGTTGTTCACTCCTGTATGGGTGTGTGGACCTTGCTTCCAATATTATAGGCACTTTATCAAATACAAGGATTGTTATGTTAAATATAGTGTACGCTATCCGGTTTATTCCTGCAAACTAGGGCTAACATTTGAGAGGTGTCTTGTGTGTCTAACTGCTGGTTGGACCACGGATCTGTATTGCTGGGGGAATGGGGTAGAGGGGCATTGCACACTACTGACATCTCTTTGCTGTGTTTAGATTGCTGAGGACACAGTGCAAGCAGCTTCAGAGAGTTCTGTTCCCAGGAGGATCTTCCTTGATGCTAATCTGAAGGAGCACTACTGCCCCATGATGCCTCACAACATGTACTGTATGTCCCTCTGGCCGGCCATCTCACTAGTGCTCCTCACAAAGGTCAGCAGGACTCATGATCAAAGCAGTTATAGATATAAGGGAGTTTCCTCCCCCTCCGATGTTAAATGCCCAGCACCACGTTCCATCTGACAGGGAGTGATGCCTCAGACACCACTGATCTACTCTGCTCCCTTCCCCTCCTGTTCTCTTAAAGCTTACCTTTCTCTTTTCCTGTTCCTGGTATGTGGCCTCTGGTGCCTTACCCGAGAAGCTCAGTGGGACAGCACTCTGGATTCTGAGTCAGAAGGTTGTGGGTTCAAACCCCACACAGGGACTTTGGACTCCCAGTCTGGGCTGACACGCCAGTGTAAATTAGCTAGTTTTGCAGTTGTTCACTCTCCCAAGTCTGTCCTGTGAGTCTTTGGGTCCTGATTGGGTGTGGGGTGTGGGGGAGAGAGGAATACAAAAGTGATAATGAACGTGGCCAAATTGGGTAGTTTAAAGATCACATTTTCCAGTTGACGTGTGAAGAACAAAGCGGTGACTTACAGCTGGGATGGTTGGGCCAGGTTTCACCGATTCACATCTGTTTGATATCTGACAGATCCCGTCCAGCCACGTCGCTGTGTCCCTCCACCAGCTTTTAGACGCATTCACGGTGCTGGAGGCGAAGCTGAATGAAGGACAGGAAGTTGGGCACGCTCCTCGCGCTTACCCAAACATGGCGGATCTCCGGCACAGGATGGACAAATTCATCAAGGCTGTGGCAACCCGGGAGCGACCGGTAACAATAACAATAATAATCCTTGCATTGTGCGTCTTAAAACATCTCAAAGCGCTTCACAGAATATACTGTAAAGTGGAATGATTGGGTATTTTGTGGGCGAAACACGGCAGCCAAGAGATGCCATTTTATTGCTATTTGACTTGTTTTATCTAAGAGTCACTGAGGTAACGGTAGTAGCCCAGTTTGTCTGTGTGGCTGTTTCACTCTTGTTGATGTGTAAATTGTGAGGAGGGAGGAGGGCAGAGTGAGATGCTCCTCTTGCCCACAATCAGAGATTGAGGGATTGATTTTGTGGTATTTCTTAATTAAGAAATCAGGAAGTGCGTGACACTGGCTGGTGGGAATGTGCTATGGCTTGCTCTATTTTGGCAGCGGTTTTCCCTTCAGTTACCAGAGGCATCCTCACTTAGGTTTCTTAATTAAGAAATTTGAGTGAAGCAATCCCTCAAGAAATATTGTGAAATTGGTGCCTCTGTTTGAAGCCACCTTTGGTGCAGCAGATTGCAACATGTCCAATGCCCCTCTCCCCCCACCAACTCTCCCCGCCCCACCCCCACACCCAAACATATGTCTATAATGCCTGATGTCTTTTGATCTTTTTAGTGCAGATCGTGGCATCAAGCCTGTAAAAGCTAATGATGTGTTGAATCATTGTGTAGTTGCAGTACGCCTGGGCAGACTTCAAGAGCAAAGCCTTCTCCAAACCTGACACTGGGAACCATCACGAGTGAGTATAAGTGGAAGGTGCTTCAGATATTTGCTTTGTGGACTTATGTGAAGGGGGCGGAGACTCCTGGAGTAAGAGCTTTGAATACCGAATGTTTCCCCAACTCTGCTTTGCTTTGGCACTTCGGGATTGTGTTCAGTTGCAGGATGCCCTTTGGAAACCTATCCCACAATCCCTTCGCCTCGCTCCCTCCCTTGCCTCCTTCAAGGCATGTCTCAAGACCTTCCTTTTTGACGTGGCTTTGGGCACCCTCCTAACCCCACCCAACCCTAACCCCCACCTCCGCCCCCCCTGATCCGAACTGTCTGCTCGGGTCCAACTCCATGACTGTCCAGCGGGACGCCCTCCCGACTTGAAAGGCGCTGTGTAAATGTAATGTGTTGTTGTGGTTGAAGCTGAAGTGGCATCCAGTGGTTGGAAAGATACTGCTTTCCTGACGTGCGGAGGATGAGTGTGTATCAGCTGCAGTTTTTGCGTGATTGACCGTGTTGACTTCCCTTGCAGTCTATTACAGGCCTGTCGTAACGTGAAGTCCCAGCTGTGCTCGGTGTACCAACAGCGCTTCCTGCTCAGGGCTGGCAGGGAGTGTCAGCACCTCTCCTCAAACCTCCAGGCCAGAGTCCTCGAAACTGTGCAGTATGTATTCCACCACTGAGCTTCCCTTCCTGGGACTGGGCTGCTGAGCAAAATGTACCCTTTCCTAAGGAAATGAGGAGATAAATAGTGTTCGGTTATTCCTGTTAATTGGCTAAATTGTAAGCAGGGATTTAAGTTCACGATTGTCACCGGAAGAAATCAGGAGAAGTTAGAATCAACTCTTTCCAGCAAGGTTCCCTCTGAGATCTCTTGTGGATAAAGGGATATGGTGTTAAGGCGGGTAGGTGGAGTTAGAATAGATCAGCCATGATCTTATTGAATGGCAGGGCAGGCTAGAGGGGCTGAGTGGCCTACTCCTGCTCCTGATTCTTATGTTCTATGCTCTTCGTGACTGAGGAACCGTAGCTTATCCATTCATTCCTCACAGCTCTAACAGTGGTAGTTAGCCTCGTTGCTCTCCTCTGCTCCCGATATCCCTTGATAACCTTGATGGGGAGGCAAAGGCAGGTAATTGGAGTTGAGGTATAGATCGGTCATGATCTTATAGAATGGTGGAACAGGCTCGAGGGGCTGAATGGCCTACTACTGTTCCTAAGTTCCTGCCTCTAGATTTTCAACAGTTCCCAATACAGGATAATTAGCAGAAATTTCATGCTGGAACCAGGTTTGTAGCTCAGTGGTTAGAGCACTTACCTCGCAAGCGAGAGACCTGTGTTCAATTCCCAGTAGGGCGAAATGTTGGGAAAGTTTCCTTGCTCCACACACCTGTTTACGTAGCAGTAAGTAGGAACCCGGTTGTTAGTCAATTGGTAGATCGCTTTTTCAGGGGTAATAATTCCTTAAAAAAATAATTAATTGGTCACTTCTATCTACGACTGTTTGTGGAACACTGCTGCCACGTTTCACCCACAAAATACAGTCATTACACTTTACAGTGTATCCTGTGAAGTGCTTTGAAACGTCTCGAAGACATGATAAGGCGCTATATCAAATGCAAGTATTTTTATTGTTCCAGGAATAAATGGGACAGTGCTTTGTATTGTTGGTGTCAGTGCTCTCATCTGTTTGTGTCACTTTCAGAGGCAAGCTGATGGACTGGAAGGAATTTCTCTTAGTGAAGAGCAAGAGGAACGTCACCATGATCTCATATCCATCTTAGTATATCTACATCTCAAAGCCCTCCACACAATCTCTCCCAATGTTATTATTATAATAATAATTCTTACATTTAATACAGCGCCTTACCATTTCATCGAGATGTCTCAAAGCCCTTCACATGATGTACTGTAAAGTGCAGTGACTGTGTATTTTGTGGGCGAATTTGTTCTGTTATATACAACCTTCCTGTGCAGAGATGTGGCTGTGACACTGAAAATTGTGCAAGATTCAAATGAACCTTTCTCGCCGTCCTTCCCCTTTCTGAAAGAAAGGAGCAGGTCCCTATCCTGCTCTCACTCCCAGGGATGGGCTTGTAACGAGACAAACTCCTTAGTTGTTCTGAACAAGAATTGGGATTGTACTCATCTTTTTTTCGAAGCCCTCTTTATATCAGCCATTTTCTCCTTGCTCGTCCCATTGTTCACTCATGTTTCAGCGATTTATCATTGTCTGCTCCCACTCTGGAACTCCATCTCGGAGTCCCTGGCCGCGCCTGCCCCCCTTCCCACCTTCAAAGTCTTACCTTTTTGTCTGTTCTTTCCATCCCCCAAGCATAGGCTCAAATTGTCAGGCGCTTTGAAATGTCCTCCTGACGTGAAAGGCGCAACATAAATGTAAATTGTTATCTTTAACCTGGCCTGTACGCATCTGCAAGATTTTCCTGGGCTGATTCATTTCATCTATGTGGATCGGACAGCGGGTCAGATGATCGCACCTGCCATCAACATGATTGAAAAACCCACCTCTGAGCTGGGGAAAGGGCCGGTGGCGGCTTTCATCAAAAACAAGGTGACTCCCTAGTGCAGAGCAGAAACTTGGAGAATCAGCCACTGGTTGGGTTTATCAAGTCCTGTTTCAAAGGCTTTAAGTTTTCATTTGAATGGGCCTGGCAGCTGTGTGAGTTCGGGAGATGGCATTTGAATATGGGACTGACTTTCAATTTTGCATTTCTCATATTCCAATCCGGAATACCCTCCCCCTATTCCCTCGCTCGTGTCCAACCCATCCGTTATGTAGCGCTCCGGGACGCCATCTTACATGAAAGGTGCTATATAAATGCAAGTTGTTCACGATAAGAGTCGAGATAAGTTCTAGATAATAATAAAAAGCTTTGCATTTGTCATAACATCTCCATGTCACTGAGATGTCTCAAAGCGCTTCACAGAATATATTGTAAAGTTAATTGACTGGCAAATGATCCACCAATTGACTAACAACCGGGTTCTAACTTACTGAGAGGTAAACAGAATTGTGTGGAGTAAGGAAACTTGCCCAACATTTCACCCTGCCCGGGAATCAATCTAAACATTCTTTTTCTCGTGCCCTTGACATATCCTTCACATTCCTTAGCATTGTAATGCTTGCAATTACATTTGATTTGTGTGAGTTCCCTTCTCTCTGCAAGAGTGGAAACTCAGCACTGGTCATGCACGGATCGGTACACTTGCCAAGCCTTGTTACAGTGGCAATGAATTGTGACTTGCTTTGTTGTCTAAGCTGTGCGGGCCTGTCTTTAACAACGCACCTTCTGTGTCATTAGGTGTGGTCTCTGGTTGGTTTGGGACGCCGGTACCTGCAGAAGGGATACACCACACTCACCTTCAGGGACGGAGATTACTACTGCTGTTATTTCCTCTGGTTTGAGAATGAAACTGTAGGTATCGATCAGATGTTTTAGTAAAGATCAGAAAAACTCCTCAAGGTTGAGAGATCTGTCAGCCTTCTCTCACTCGCATAGCAGTGACTGCCCTTTGTTGCTCAGCAATGTCATGAATAATATATAATCTATTCAAAATACAGTCAAATTATCCACAAGCACCGAGGGTTGAAGCCCCACGTCGGGACTTGAATAACACAGTCTAAGCTGAATGCAGTTCTAGGGATGTGTTACATTGTCGGAGGTGCCGTCTTTTGGATGAGACATTAAACCTGTCTGCCTGTTCAGGTGGATGTTAAAGATCCTATGGCACTATTTGAAAAGATAGGGGAGTTTCTCTCTCTCTCTGTCCTGGACAACAATCCCCCAAATAAAATTGGACGCTCACTCCATAGCTGTTTGTGGGACACTGCTGCGCGCAATTGGCTGCCTTGTTTCACTCACAAAACACAGTCACTGCACTTTACAGTGTTTCCTGTGAAGCTCTTCGAGCCGTCTCGAAGACGTGATAAAGCGCTAATTAAATGCAAGGAATATTAGTGTTATTGTTATGAACTCCCTAATCCTGGTTCTGTCCCATTTTATCTTCAGGGTTTGTTCTGTTCCTCACTGAAAGTTTCCCTTCTCTCTGATTCTTCTCCTTTCCATTGCTCTTTCTAATATCAAAACTGCTATTAATTCACTCACCTGAGGTTTGAATTGTTTTGAGATGTCCTCCTGATAAGTGAAAGACACTATATAAATGTAAACTGTATTGTCTTTCTTGCTTTTCTCCTCTGATTTTAATCTGTGTGACCTTGGCAAGGAACCGTCCTCCATTGCACTATTCTACTCTTCCACACTGACTGACTGACTGATTGCTCCTGCATTCATCCAGTCTGTCAGATCCTTATCTCCTGACACTTATGAATGTCTCACTAGTATTGCCAGAAAAATATACCTCCACCTTTCGCCTGTCTCTCACTTCAGCTTCTGCTACTCCTGGTCAATCTTTCCCTCTGGGTAATATGCTCGTCATCATCCTATTCTTAACATGATCCCTCTTGTTCTTAATCTGCCACATGGCTGCTAAACGCCAAGACACTACCCGCGTGAAAGGCACAATATAAATACAAGTTGTTGCCGTTCTATCCTGTTAATTTGCAACATTATGGAAGCTGCTCTTTTTAAATCGACTCTCAAATTATCATTGAAAGCTCTGGCCTATTCGTTAGTCATCGCTGATTTGCTGCTCTGCTGGAGATCTTGTGTCTCTCACACTCTGCTCATGATACAGTTTACAATGATATAGCACGTTTCACGCCATGTTCCTGGAAAGGAGGGAAATGGGCAGCTGCCACTGCTTGTGGCTCTGCCCTGGTCAGTGAACAGTGGATTATGTGTATTTTGCAATGTTAGCTTGCCTCGTTCTGGAGGAAAGTAATGCCTCGTTCCAGAGTTGGTTCTATTTGCCTTTGGATTGAATGGCTTTCTCTGAGCACTCTCCCTCAATCCCTTTGCTTGGCCCCCTCCTTCCCCATCTTCAGGTCGCACCTAAAGGCTTTCCTCTTCGACCATGCCTACGGTCATCTCCCTCCAGCTCGGCATCGTGCCCCGCCATTGTCAAGCATACTGGGACACCACCCTGCATGAGGGGCGCTATGTAATTGCAAGTTGTTGTTGTCTTGTGTTCATGTCTGGAGGACCACCATCCCCGTACTGCCCTAACCTGAGTGTTTCTCTCGCCGTGTGCCCAGGGATACAAGCTGCCAGGTATTGAGCTGCCCATGCTGTCTGACGACTCAGCACCCATCGGCATTTTAACTGGAGACTACTACAGGTACACAATCAGAGCCTCAGCAGGGGTGAGGTACAGGACTGACTCCAGCCTGTGTGGAGCCTGGTTATAGAAAGAGGTGTATTGGTGTAATAGAACACCAGCTCTCTGGGGAGGAGGGGAGGAGGTTTATACACACTGCTCTGGAGTCAGCAATCTCTTCTGTAACATCCAGTGGTTAACTGAGCCACATGTAGGACAGGTGAGGGATTGGTCACAGGCCAGACAAGTTACAGTCCGAATGCCCTCACCCTATCTGAAGGGAAGATCATCAGAGCTATCAGTAAGGCTCCTAGTGCTTCCTGGGACCAGTAAAATCTGCACCAAGAGGCCAGGCTATCAACCAACATCCCAGGTTCTAAGTTCCAAGTCCCCTCATGGTGCATAAGCAATGTCTTGGCTTACCCCTGGGTGGTTGGGATGAAGGGGGTAAGAATTCTCTCGTAGGTTTCAAATAGTCTTGATCATGTATGCCATTACCCCGGTACCATATTACCCTTTGTACTATTAGCCCTAAAAGCTGGTCTGTAATTCTCAGCTTCCTCCATTTTATCCTAGTACAGAATGTGTTTTGAACCTTGGTGCAACCCTCAGTTTAGGTAAGGATCCCAGGCTTGTGCTATAGGGCTTTGCGGTGTCTGAAGTCTCTAATGTGTGGCCTCTCACTCTCCCCCAGGAAACTACTGCGATATTACAGCAAGAACCACAGCTCGGAGGTGATCAAGTGCTTTGAACTGCTGACCATCCACTTGGGTGTGGTCCCCACGCAGTTCATCATTCAGCAGTGCTGTGATTTAGCTCGCAAGCTGTGGGAGCCCTCCCGCATCCCACTGCTCTAAGGCAGCAAGAACAGCAGCTCAGTCTGTGCTGGAGAACAGTGGTCTTTGGGTGGTGGTGGGGGCAACATAGGACCAGGAGTAGGTCATTCAGCCACTCAAGCCTGTTCCCCGATTCTATTAGATCATGGCTGATCTGTACCTTAGCTCCAATTACCCGCCTTTGCCCCTTATCCCTTGATACCCTGACCTAACAAACATCTCTCCACCTCAGTCTTGAAAAGGCATCCACAGCCTTTTGGGGGAGAGAGTACCAGATTTCCACTAACCTTTGACTGAAAAAAAGGAAGAGGGAAAGGAGAGGGATCCCTAAAAGCTGCCTTGATTAGCTCCATCAATCCTCATTGACTGTAAGATCATTCAACCTTGAGCAAGGTCATTGCAGGTCAATGGCCTCAGGCTGCTATTGGGCAGGGGAGAGCCTCATTGCACCAGGGATCATCTGGTCCCAGCTCTTCTGACTGGAATCAACTCTCTTGATTTTGTGCAGCACATGGTTGAGGAAGAGTACCAGAACAATGGGAATTCAATGACACGTGCCCACATGTGTGGCCTGCCAGCCTGCCAATACATTACCAATTGTAATGTGGGTTTGGTGTGGCCATCTGGTCGGGTGGACAGCTGGTTGAATTTTGCGTTGGACCCCATAAAAAGGTCCAGCGACTGGACAGCCTGCACTTGTGATGAGTTGGTAATACAGTATTGATACTTCACCATTAGGTGTCACCATTAAAATGGTGAAGCTTTGTACTAGACCAGCACTAGTCTTGTAGCTCCAAAAGACATGTGGGGTAGTGTAACCACCTTTCTACACTTTGAGTCCTTGAGTATAATCTTTGAACAAATTCCCAGCTTCAGAATTGTGAGATCCAGTAGGAATGTCATCACTCACTGTTGTGCTTTGTATAAAAATGTTTATCTCCTCCATCTTCTTTCTCTGCTGTAATGCTGAAATTAATAATAATCCTTGTATTTGTTATAGCGCTTTATTGCGTCTTTGAAACGTCTCAAAGCGCTTCACAGAATATACTGTAAAGTGAATTAATTGACTATATTTTGTGGGTGAAACACGCAGCCAATTGCACACAGCAGCGTCCCACAGACAGTCTTTGATTGACCAAATTATTATTTATTTTTGAAGGGATTATTACACCCGGAAAAGTGATTCGCCAATCGACTAACAACCAGGTTCCTACTTCCTACTGGATAAACAGAGGCGTGTGGAGTAAAGAAACTTGCCCAACGATTCACCCTGCCAGGAATCAAACTTGAGTTGACTCGCCTGTGAGGCTAGTGCTCTTACAATTAGAGGAAACATTCTGCCAAAGTGGAGTCACAGAAACTCCCATCATATTTAAGAATAATTTAATTTTACAGCAAAATGAAATTATAGTTTTTAAACTTGATCAGTGCGTCACTGATTTTGGAGCCCGTGTGATCCTCGGCCTTGTGATGTGCTGCTGCCTCTTATTTCTTTTGGTTTAATTATAAATGATTTAAAAATAACTCAAATGGACCAAATAAGCAGGAAAGATAAATACATTTAGCTTTGGTTCCCAAGGCTATGCCCCAGCCTGAGGATTGTTGCCTGGTATAAAACCTTGCTCTTATTCCATTAGATCTTTAATATCCACCTGAACAGCAAGACAGGGTTTTGGCCTATTCAAAGGATGGTTTCTCTGATGATGCAGTGCTTTCCCAACTGCTGTGCTGCTGTGTCAGCTCCAGACTGAGTTCAACTCCCGACGTGGAGCTTGAAGTTGCAACCTTCTGATCTAGAGGCGAGAGCCAAGCCGCCTTCTAGCAGGGATTTGATTAGCGGTAAATTGCTTTAATACTCCTGAGGAGACTTTGGGTTCCCTTTGTATTCAAGAAAAGGCAGAGAACAAACGCTGCTTATAACCATCTGATTATATTGTGAGAGTTGCTCAATACACAGTCTGAGCTCCCATTGTAGTCTCAGTCTGAATCCACCGGCCCTCCCTGATTCCATCCATCTCAAACCGTGAGGGGCGTGTGTGGAGCCAGGTGCACCCGCTGGAAAGACATCATTTTACAGGAACGAGCTCTGCTCTACTCTCTCTCTCTCTTGTGTCCTGGCTTGATCAAATTACTAACAAACATGGCAGGAGGAAGGAGCAATGTTGTTAGCTGCTTTGGTATAAGATACAAATGGGCAGGTGCGAGGGAATTGCCGCACCCTGCCTTCATTCATTGGTGACGCAATGGACCTGAGAAGGCGATTGTCCCTGTCCTTCCTGCCCTTTCATAACACTGGTGAGATTAGGAGCAGATGGTCAGGAGGTCCTGTCAGTTGATTCCGCCGGTCAGATCGTTCACCACTCCAGAGGTAACCAGGGACAGCAGGAAGAGCTTCTCCAGACTGATGTCGTGCATGGCCTGAGCATTCATGGCGGCCATGCTCACCGTCTCGTAGTAGTGCATGGGAAGGTGCAGCTGGTTCATGTCATAGCCAAACCCAGCCATGTTTACCTCGTCACACAGGTGCAGCGCTGTGATGATGGACGTCACACCCAACGTCGGGTGTTTCTGGGGACAAATGGACAGATTCTCATCACTTTTCATTTTAGTTCAGGAAAGAACTTCCATTTTCTACAGTGGCTGATATCACAGCATTTCACATGCAATTACCATTGGGTGTTTTTGGGGGATCAGCTGCGTGATTTATTGGAATGGAATGCACATTCTCTCCCTGGAAGGACGCATCCTGCTTACCTAATTCCGGACAGTATTAATAGCAGGTTGGCAAGAGTCAAGGCTTGGGGACCCCAGAATGTGTGTGTTGGGGTAACTACTGGAGTCTAACAAGCTAAAACCACACAGCTTGCCGTTGAGAGCAGTGTTTGGCAAGCTTTCCCACTGCTAGTCCAGCTAGGACCACCCATTAGGTGTAGTGACTTTCTCCAGGTAAATTCAGCAGCTGTTTTGCAGACATAGTTCTTGTGACACATTTAGTAACTGCTGCCAAGATCACCATTGCCTTCTGTGACTGCTTACCCTGCTCTCAACTTCAGACAATCCTAGATCAGGAGGCATGAGCTGTGAGCGGTTACCACACAGCTGCCAGTTCTGATCTGTAATAACTGTTTCTTCCAAACTTGCATTAGCTACCAGAGAGTGAGCACCCTGGCCAGGACCCTGTAATCTAGGCTGGGAATTTTCCATTGTTCCTTCACATGTTATATCCCCGTCGCTTGCATAGTCACATGGAATGCTTCTGATGCCTCAGCTGATAAAAAGCAATCAGCAGTACTCTATATTCAAGTCAACCCGGCTCTGTGCTGAGAAAGGCTGGTGGAAAGGATCTGGGGTCCCAAACCAGATCAGTTTGAGGGAGGTTCGTACTATGCATGCAACCAGGGGGTAGGGGATTAGGTGCTGCCCTCCCATTGCTCTCCGCACTGCCTCTTGTGAGGTTGTACATGTCAGTGCGGAGGCCGATGGGACGAGAGGTGGGTGGATGTCCTCTTTCGAGCTGAGGCAGCATAACCTCACCCTTTGCTCTTTCAATAATTACTTTAATTATTTAATTACTTTAAACATCGCCAGACTACGGCACTACCTCACCCCTCACGCTGCTGAAACCCTGGTCCACGCCTTTGTCACCTCAAGGCTGGACTATGGGAACTCTCTCCTCGCCGGCCTTCCCGCCACCTCCCTCCACAAGCTGCAGGTCATTCAGAACTCTGCAGCTCGTGTACTGTCCCGCACCAGACACCGCGATCACATCACTCCCACCCTCGCTCGCCTCCACTGGCTCCCCATCCCCCAGAGGATTGATTTCAAGATCCTCATCCTCACCTACAAGGCCATTCACGGCCTTGCTCCTTCCTACCTCTCCAACCTACTATCCCCCTACCTACCTGCCCGTACCCTCCGTTCCTCTGGCTCCGGTCTGCTCCACGTCCCCCGCCCCAACCGCCCTACCATCGGTGGTCGGGCCTTCAGCCTCTCAGCCCCCAGGCTCTGGAACTCCATCCCCCAGTGCCTTCGCCGCTTCCTCCCTTTCCTCCTTCAAGGTCGGTCTCAAAACCTTTCTCTTTGACCGTGCCTTCAGCTCCCCTCTCGACTCTCTTCCCCCTCCTCGCTCCCTCCCTTCCCTCCCCTCACCCTGACCATTTCCCCCCTCCTTGCTCCCTCCCTTCCCTCACCCTGACCATTTCCCCCCTGCTCGGGTCATGACCCAACTGTACAGCGCCTTGGGACGTCCTCCTGACGTGAAAGGCGCTTTATAAATGGAATCTTGTTGTTGTTGTTTAAATCTATACCCTCGAGCTACACAAGTGATAAGGCTTTGGGCATGATGTGGGACAGAAAGCGAGGAAGCAAGAGATGGATAGCCTCTGGGATGCTACCCTGTGTGGGGGTGCTGTATAAATGCAAGTTGTTGTAGATCCTTGAGTAGAAATAGGAGAGGGTAGAGTGAGAGGGTAAACTCCTATATTCCTGTGAGTTCCCCCAGAGAGGTTAGGAACTTGTAACCTGGGCTCCAATCCCATCCCTCTGACCCTCAGTTGAAGGGTTGTACATTACCATCCATTTCCATTGGCTGCTGTGGGGATCTGGGTAGCTCAGGAAGTTGAGTGCTGTTTCCCGAATGATATCCAAGTTAAAAATCCGGAAATTCTCCACCTTCAGGGGGATGGACTCCACCACAGATTGCCAAAACCACAACTTCTCCGCAAAGGTCTAAAGGAAAACAAGGAACTGTGTTGATGACAGGCAGTGATTCCCTGTGTAGCCTGGCTCGTGTCTGGCCTCTGGTTAGAAGGTTTAAGGCCCACACAAGAACATAAGCTTCTCATCCAGGGTTAATGATCCAACACACTCACGAGGAGTGCAGTGTCAGCAATATCATCATTTGGAGAAGACAGGAACAGGAAGAGGCCTTTCAGCGCATTGAGACAGTTCCACCAATTGTCAGGTCTCGTAATTCCATTTCCCTGCCTCTTCTCCTTACCCCGTAATAATAATAATTATTGAATTTGATATAGCACCTCATCACATCCTTGAGATGTCTCAATATACTGTAAAGTGAATTGACTGTATATTTTGCAGGCAGAAAGGAGCAGCCAAGTGTGCACAGCAGCGTCCCACAAACAGTTGTGGAGTGAGGGAACAAATAATTATTGTTTTTGAAGGGATTATTATCCCCGGAAAAGCGATCCGCCAATTGACTAACAACCAGGTTCCAACTTACTGTGGGGTAAACAGGTGTGTAGAGTAAGGAAACTTGCCTAAGGTTTCGCCCTGCCCAGAATTGAACCCAGGTCCTCTCACTTGTGAGGCAACTGCTCTAACTACTGGGCTAAAGGACTCTGCACTATAATACCTTTATTTTAAATATCCCAATTCCTTCTACAAGCTTATGAGGCAGTGCATTCTACATTCTCACCGCCCTGTGTGAAGAAATGATTTGTGTCTCTAAATCATCCTAACCATCCAAATCGAATTATCAGATTTCTCACCATTGGCTTCTTACTGACCACCGCTTTGAGCCAAGCAAAGTCTGCGCTCTTATAAATCACTGCCACGAATAGTGATTTAGGATCATAGTCTATGGGAGTCTTTGAAGCCCCCTCCGGGTAAGTGATCCGCAAGGTGGTCTTTGAGCCCACATCCTGCTCGTAACCCACCACAGGCCCGTTGTTCATCCTGATGGAGAGAGAGGACAACTTAACAATAGCATGCAATTATATAGCGCCTTCCACGCAGGGTAGTGTCTCAGAGCGCTTAGCAGTGGCAGAGCCTGACTCCGAACCGGAGCGGTGGGGGAGGTGGCCATAAGCACAGTCAAAGAGGAAGGCTTTCATGTGGGACTTGGAAAAAGTGGAGAGAGGGGGCAAGATGGAGGGATTGAGGGAGAGTGTTCCAGAGTTTGGTGGCGTAGTGGCTGAAAGTGCGACCTCCAATGCTGGCGCAGAGGGTGCGAGGGACCAGCAGGAGGCCGGGGCCAGTCGAGTGGAGGCACCAGGTGGTGGATTGGGGAGTGAGGAGGTCGGAGAGGGAGGGAGGTGCCAGAGAGTGAAGGGATTTGAACACGTGTGAGGATCTTGAATTTGATCCGTTCAGCGATAGGGAGTCAGTGTGGGTTCGTCACCTGATAACAATGTGGTGCTGATCAATGTAAGGCCCGAGCTTGCTCCCGATCAGGATGCCTCCGTTGCCCACCACAACGCACCTCCTGCATCCCACTGGCCCCAACCTCTCCGGAAGGCCAGTTTCCGGCAACATGCTCAGGATCTCTTGCAGTTGCTCCTCACACCCCTGAAACCCATACGGTGGCTTGTAGGGCAGTGTGTCCTGGGACCCAGGAAGCCCCCTCTCCTCCACAAACACAGGCACCTGCATCAGGCGCTTGGTGGGGTACCGGGCATAGAGCTTCACTTGGCTTGAGTTTGGCCTGCAACGCTGTGCTAGTATCTGCGCTGTTTGGTTATGGAGCCTCTGGAAAGAACACAGAACATTTCACTCCAGTTTCTCTCTGTCTCACACGCACGCACACACTCCTTGCATTTGATGTAGAATCAAAATGTCTCAAAACATGCAATTGTACCAAGTGTAATGACTTGTAGGCAAATTTGTCTCAGAGTGTGTGTTGGGATCACTGCTGGAGTCTAACCAGCTAAAACCACACATAGCTTGCCATTGATATCACTATCTGGCCAGCTTTCCAGCCGCTTGTCCAGCTAGGACCACCCAACCAGTTAGGGCTTTGGCTCGCAGGGTTAACGAGAGCTGAGTGGGAGGATTCCCTGCCCCAGTGACTGGTCCGACCCTGACAATGTTGCTCTTCTCCCAGCACTGTACCAAGTGTCAGCCTGGACTGTGAGCTCAAAATCCCAACGTGGGTTAAACCCTGACTGATGCAATGCTATTATCTCAGTAAATTCTAAGAAATGACTTGAGACAATACAACAATATAGATGTGATATCAACTGCATATTGTACGAGCTGCTGTTGGATTAAGGCTTGGGTGAGCAAACTCCAGCAGTGTGGCTTTGAAGCATTTCCCAGCCTTTGTCAGGCCTGGAATCACTCACTGCCGCCATAGAGACACCACCAACATCCAGACTGAGCTGGCAGGGTGTGCGTGGGAGTGAATGTTTCAGTATTTGGCACCTAACTCCAGAGCCAGATGCTTCCACACTTTATAATAATAATTTTTACATTTGATGCAGAACCTTATCACGTCTTCGAGACGTCTCAAAGCGCTTCACACAATGTACTGTAAAGTGAATTGACTGTGTATTTTGTGGGCGAAACACGACAGCATAAACAGTCATGGATTGAGTGACCAAATTTTTTTTTTGGTGAAGGGATTATTATCCCCGGAAAAGCGGTCCGCCAATCGACTAACAACCGGGTTCCTATTTACCGCTGGGTAAACAGGCGTGTGGAGTATGGAATCTTGACTACCGTTTGGCCCTGCCCGGGAATCAAACCCGGGTCCTCTCGCTTGCTATAACCTCTAAGCTACAGGACTACACAGTTACAACACCCATCTCTTAGCCCTGGCTTGAACATTATACAAATAGTAGCTGAATGAAAGAGTACAGCCCATGTTCCTACCGCAATCCTGCTGGGCGCCATGGTATAGGACTTCAAGGTATCTGCTTTGTGGTAGTAGGAAGGAAGGAGCATGATCATGTAACAGAAGCTGAGGAGCATCAGGGATATCATCCGGGTATGTGGCCTGGAAGAACCAAGAAGGGTCGTCAGGAGGAAACGTGTGAAGAGCGATAGAACTCCTTGCACTCCGCAATGGCCCAGCCGGTAAATAATAATCTAATAATACTTGCATTTGATACGGCACCTTATCACATCTTTGAGACATCTCAAAGCGCTTCACGGGATATACGCGAAACAATTGTGCACGCGGTGTCCCACAAACAGTAATGGATTGAGTGACCAAATTATTATTTTGTTTTGAAGAGATTATTACCCCCGGAAAAGCAATCCTCCAATTAACTAACGCCCAAGTTCCTACTTACTGCTAAGTAAGCAGAGGCATGTGGACTAAGGACTCTTGCCTAAGGTTCCGCCCTGCCTGGGAATGAACCCCAGGTCCTTTCACTTGCGAGGCGAGTGCTCTAACCACTGAGCTGCAGGACTCTTACTTGTAACTGAGCTGATCTCAGGGTTCGGGACTGATGCGTGCCTCAGCCTCGCTATCCTCCAGTGAGTTAGAGAAGAGAAAACAAAATCAGCTGTGAATCTCTGTTCTGATCACTGTCCAGATCCCCACACCAGTGCTGGAAGGTGCTTGTGTTCAGACCTTGGGTGAGGACAGGATTGGGCCTTGGATCTGATGTGCCCCAAGGTTGAAAATACCTGTCCTCACTCACATCTGAGTGTGCGTGGGTCCGACCCTCAACAACACTAAGACCTTGCATTTAAATAGCACCTTTCACGTGGGGTAATGTCCCAGAGCGCTATGGATAGTGAAAAGGAATGGAGAGAAACCCCTCTGTAGAGTGTGTCGTGCCTCTAACTGCCTGACTTGTTGCTGTCAACAACAACAACAAGATTACATTTGTTTAGCCTTTCATGTCAAAAGGACGCCCCAAGGCACTGTATTGCCAATAGCTAACCAGGGCCCTGGGCTGTGAGAGCACTCAGGGAGGTGACCTTTCTGACAGATGAAGCAATGTGTGTTTACCTAACCAAGCTCTCTTGTTACCAAAGCAATGTCACCTTCACATATGTGCAGTGTCTTGCTATATAAATGTAAGTTATTGTTGGTTCTTTTGCCAATTATCTTAAATCTGTGTCCTTTGGTTACCGACCCACCTGCCAGGTTCTCCCTGGCTACTCTATCAAAACCTCTCCTCATTTTGAACACTTCTGTTAAATCTCCCCTCCCTTCTGTTCTAATGGTCCTCTGGGCCCTAACGTAGGTGTCTGTAGAACGGACCCACAGAGAGGAATGTCTCTGTACTCACCTCCTACATATTATCCGCAGCCACATCTCATTGTTTCTAGAGAGCCTGAAAACCAAGGGGAGCGATCAGACAATCAACTCTGCGTCAGTCACTGCAGCGAGCGGCAAAAATGATCAGTTGATTTCACCCTCGTGACGTGAAAGGCACTATAGAAATGTACATTTGTGTCCTATTGTCTACACCGTTAATGACACTAACATTGCTAAATCTTACTGAAGAAATTCTGTCCTCCACTCCCCCCACCCCCCCACCCATCTGATGACCTCTTAATCCTTGAGTACAGTTCTAAACATGCCGCCCCCCTCCCCCCCCCCTCCATGTCCTCACCAAGAGTGATTCTTTGGGGTGGTGGGTGGGGGGAGGGAAGGGGGAAGAAGTGAGAGAGAGATTGAAATGAATCAGGGAACAACTTATCTCATTAAAATGTCTCCATACCCACTGGAAAATTAATTAGGTAGAAACTATTTATATTGTTTTAAACAATAGCTGGAGGGCATCAATTTATGGTCTTCATGATGAAGCACAAGTGGTCAGGATAAACAGTATGACACACTCATTTTAAACAATGACATCTTCAGTGATATCTAATTTCCTCTGACTGTACGCTTGTTGCAAAATGGTCTCCCTGGGTTTATCAATGACTTCATTAATTCTCATTGGATTCGTAGGTTTATTACAAAGGGATATGGAAGCCCCCATTGGCTGAAGTAGATAATAGCTGTTGAAAGGGAATTAGTTAGATAATAATAATAATAATCCTTGCATTTGATATAGCGCTTCTCACATCTTCCCGACGTCTCAAAGAGCTTCACAGAATATGCTGTAAAGTGAATTGACTGTATATTTGTAGGAGAAATGCGGCAGCCAATTGCACACAGCCGCGTCCCGCAAACAGTCGTGGATTGAAGATGACCGATTTATTATTGTTTTGGGGGGGGATTATTATAAGGTGTGTGGAGTAAGGAAACTTGCCCAAGGTTTCGCCCTCTGCCTGGAATTGAACCCAGGTGTCTCGCTTGCAAGGCGAGTGCTCTAACCACTGAGCTACAGGACTCCACATACCCATGTAATGTAGATATCACTGTCACTGATCTGGGAGTGCAGTGGGAGCTTTACTGTGTCTCTAACCCTGACCTGGGAGTGTGGACACACAGTGTAGAGGGAGCTTTACTGTGTCTCTAACCCTGACCTGGGAGTGTGGACACACAGTGTAGAGGGAGCTTTACTGTGTCTCTAACCCTGACCTGGGAGTGTGGACACACAGTGTAGAGGAGCGTTACTGTGTCTCTAACCCTGACCTGGGAGTGTGGACACACAGTGTAGAGGAGCTTTACTGTGTCTCTAACCCTGACCTGGGAGTGTGGACACACAGTGTAGAGGAGCGTTACTGTGTCTCTAACCCTGACCTGGGAGTGTGGACACACAGTGTAGAGGAGCTTTACTGTGTCTCTAACCCTGACCTGGGAGTGTGGACACACAGTGTAGAGGAGCTTTACTGTGTCTCTAACCCTGACCTGGGAGTGTGGACACACAGTGTAGAGGAGCGTTACTGTGTCTCTAACCCTGACCTGGGAGTGTGGACACACAGTGTAGAGGAGCGTTACTGCGTCTGTAACCCTGACCTGGGAGTGTGGACGGACGCACAGTGTAGAGGAGCGTTACTGTGTCTCTAACCCTGACCTGGGAGTGTGGACACACAGTGTAGAGGAGCGTTACTGTGTCTCTAACCCTGACCTGGGAGTGTGGACACACAGTGTAGAGGAGCTTTACTGTGTCTCTAACCCTGACCTGGGAGTGTGGACACACAGTGTAGATGGAGCTTTACTGTGTCTCTAACCCTGACCTGGGAGTGTGGACACACAGTGTAGATGGAGCTTTACTGTGTCCCTAAACCGTGCTGTCGCTGTTGCTTATCTTAAAGTTGAATTGTGGGTTTACTTGTGGGGGAGTCTGGAGACAGAAACCCTCAGAGATGAATGTTTCCGTACTCACCGGTGAGTGACCCAGGCCTTGAGACAACTGATCAACACACACATCCTGTTGTTTCCACAGAGCCTGAAAACCAAGGGCATGATCAGATCAGACAACGCTGACCCTTTACAGAACTGCTTCACAGTGACTCTCAGCGACGGCAAACCAAGAATGATATTATCATTGATTCTGACATTGGTAACGTTTTTTGAACAAATTCTATCTTTCCCCTCTCTGCACAATCTCCCACCCCCCACCTTTCTGATCTCTATATGCTTCCCCTTGGTTTGAATTCAAAGTAAGCTCCCCCTCCCCCCACCACCCATGTAATGTGGACGCACAGTGTAGAGGGATCTTTACTGTGTCTCTAACCCTGACCTGGGAGTGTGGACACACAATGTAGAGGGAGCGTTACTGTGTCTCTAACCCTGACCTGGGAGTGTGGACACACAGTGTAGAGGATCTTTACTGTGTCTCTAACCCTGACCTGGGAGTGTGGACACACAATGTAGAGGGAGCGTTACTGTGTCTCTAACCCTGACCTGGGAGTGTGGACACACAGTGTAGAGGGAGCGTTACTGTGTCTCTAACCCTGACCTGGGAGTGTGGACACACAGTGTAGAGGAGCGTTACTGCGTCTGTAACCCTGACCTGGGAGTGTGGACGCACAGTGTAGAGGGAGCGTTACTGTGTCTCTAACCCTGACCCGGGAGTGTGGACACACAGTGTAGAGGAGCGTTACTGTGTCTCTAACCCTGACCTGGGAGTGTGGACACACAGTGTAGAGGAGCTTTACTGTGTCTCTAACCCTGACCTGGAAGTGTGGACACACAGTGTAGAGGGAGTTTTACTGTGTCTCTAACTAGTGGTGTAATTGACCTGTGAGTGTGGATGCTATAAAATAAATATTTCCCTGGCACCGACATTTCTCTTTCGTAAACAGAAAATGTAACTTCCCCTGAGCAAAACCACAAGCTCGGGCAATCCTCACTGGTCAAAGGTGTGTGAGGCTTACTTACTCACTGCCTGGACAGGCTGTCGGACTCCCAATTAATCACCGCAATGTCTCCCAGCACCTGCTCACATGGATTTCCGTTTGCTTCAGTCTTCCACAAGGTGAGATGGATCAGGTATTGTCTTTACTGTTCGGCCTCACTTTCCCATCGGCCCCCAATCCACTTCTCATTGCTGAATGTGGGAGTAATTTAGGTTCGGTGCTAGTCCCATCCTGTTCATCGTGTAATGTTAGGCTCACCGGCTGTGTCTGGCTCACAATAAACCTGCCTTTACCTGCAGCAGCTGGTGTCCATGCTACCCTCCTGCTTTATCAGCACAGAAAAAGCACTGACAAACATGTCACTGCTGGCGCTCAGCAGCCTGATGAGAACACAGGTGAACTGCAGTGACGAAACCCTCTGTGTATTTGTTTAATCATTCACAGCTTGGATTGAAGCCAAGTGAACTTTGACCAACAGTCAAATATTCTTTCTTTCCTCCAGTCCTCCAGAAATGCCCAAACATTAAAACTTCACACACACATACACTTGGACACAGAAAGTTGTTAGAACCTTTGTTACAGTCTGGAATAAATTGCCCGAAAGGCTGGTGGAAGCAGATTCAATAGTAGCTTTCAAAAGGGAATTAGAAAGTACAGTACTTAAAACAGAAACATTTGCAGGTTCTATGGGGTAAGAGTGGAGGAGTGGGACTAGTTGGTAATTGTTTCAAGGAGCCATCACAGGCACGAAGGACTGAATGGCCTCCTTCTTTGTGTTAATATTCTATGATTCTATAGTAATTTTTACAGCATTTCGGAGAGAATGGAGTAAATACCTGAGGAAATATAATGTTGAGAGATGTGGAGAAAAGAGCAGGTGATGGGATTTTATCTGTTGGTTGCACCCACCTATTTAATCTCCTCTAAAAATGGTGTATAAAGCTTTTTGCTGCCTCTTTTCAAATGTAAACCGACAACATATTGATCTGAGGTGCACACACCTGTATTATTTGTGTGAGGCGTTTACCAGCTTCCATTACCATAAGAGGTAGGAGCAGGAGTAGGCCATTCAGCCCCTCGAGCCTGCCCCGACATTTAATATGATTATGGCTGATCTTCTAACCTAACTCCATTTACCCGCCCTATCCCCATATCTCTTAATCCCTCTATCCCTTTAGATATCTATCAACCTCAGTCTTGAATATGTTCAAGGACTGAGCATCCACAGCCTCTGGGGTAGAGAATTCCACAAATTCACAACCCTCTGAGTGAAGAAATGTTTCAATTCAGTTCAAAAAGGCTGACCCTTAATCTTGAGACTATGACCTCTAGTTTTAGATTCTCCAACCGGGGAAACAGTCTCATGGCATCTACCCTGTCAAGACCCTTAAGAATCTTATAGGTTTCTACAAGATCACCTCTAATTCTTCTATATTCTGGAGAACATAGGCCAAGTTTACTCAACCTAATCTCATAGGCCAACCCCCTCATCCCAGGAACCAACCTAGTGAATCTACGCTGCACTCTCTCTAAGAAGAGGATGTCCTTTCTTAAATAAGGAGACAAAACTGCACACAATATTCTAGGTGCGGTCTCTCCAAGGCCTTATACAACTGCAGCAAGACTTCCCTACTCTTGTACTCTAACCCTTTTGCAACGAACGCCAACATGGCATTAGCCTTCCTAGTTGCTTGCTGTATCTGCATACTAACTTTTTGTGACTGGTGTACAAGGATCCCAAATCCCTCTGAACACTAACACTACCCAGTCTCTCTCCCTCTAGAAAATAATCCGCTTTTCTATTTTTACTACCTAGGTGAATAACGTCACACTTCCCCATGTTATACTCCATCTGCCCCTTCTTGCCCACTCTTGCCCTAGCCTGTCTATTTCCCTTTGCATTCTTCGTGTGTCATCCTCACAGCTCACGCTCCCACCTATCTTTGTATCATCCGTGAATTTAGATATGTTAAGTTCGATTTCCTCATCTAAATCATTGATATAGACTGTAAATAATTGAGGTCCAAGCACTGATCCTTGTGGCACTCCATTAGTCACATCCCGCCAAGCTGGACCAGTTTATCCCTACTCTGTTTTCTTCCTGTTAGCCACTCTCCAATCCATGCTAATATATTATCTTTAATTCCACCGGCTCTAATCTTATGCAACAGCCTTTTATGTGGCACTTTGTCGAATGCCTTCCGGAAATCCAAATACACCACACCTACTGGTTTCCCCCATCTAACCTGCTAGTTACATCCTCAAAAATCTCTATAAGATTTGTTAAACATGATTTCCCTTTCGTAAAGCCATGTTGACGCTGCCTAATCATGTTGTGATTTTCTAAGTATCCCACGACGACGTCCCTAATTAAGGACTCGAGAATTTTCCCTACCACCGATGTCAGACTGACTGGTCTACAGTTCCCCATTTTTTGTCTCCCACCTTCTTAAATATCAGCATTACGTTTGCGATTCCAATCACTGGGAACCATTCCAGAATCCAGGGAATTTGGGAAGATCAAAAACAAAGCATCCACTATCTCTGCAGCCGCCCCTTTATAAACCCTGGGATGCCGGCCATCAGGTGCAGGGGATTTATCGGTTTTTAATCCTATCAATTTCTCTAGTACTATTGCTTTACTGATGTTCATTTCTTTAAGTTCCTCACTAACATTAGCCTCCAGGTTCCCCTCTACTTTCGGTAAATTTTCAGTGTCCTCTAACCTGAAAACAGAAGCAAAAATATTTGTTTAATGACTACCATTTCTTTATTCTCCATTATAATTTCTCCCGTCTCCGCCTGCAATGGACCCACATGCACTTTTGATAGTCTCTTCCTCTTTACGTACTTGTGAAAACTCTTACGATCTGTCTTTATGTTCCTCGCGAGTTTACCCTTGTATTTCATTTTCTCCCTTTCTTCAGTTTCTCGGTTTTCCTTTGCTGTTCTCTAAAGCCCTCCCAATCCTCAGGTTTGCTGCTGTTTTTGGCAGTATTATAGGCCTCTTCTTTTAACTTTATACTTTCCCCAACTTCTCTGGTTAGCCAAAGTGGAACCATTTTTCCCCGTGGTATTTTGTATTTTTCAAGGGAATATGTGATCGCTGGGAATTATATATTATATGTGTAAACGTTTGCCATTGCTGGTCTACCATCATGTTTTTTAAATCTAATTTCCCAGTCTATTTTAGCCAAAGCTTTGCTCATACCTGCAAAGTTGGCTCTGTTTAAATTTAAGATCCTTGCTTCGGATTCAACAATATCACTAACTTAATGTTAAATTCCATCATGTTATGGTCACTCTGCCCTCGAGGAGCCTTAACTTCCAGATTGCTGATTAGCCCTATTTCATTACACAAAACAAGATCTAGGATCGCCTGCTCCCTGGTTGGTTCCTCAGCATATTGTTCTAGAAAACTACCTCTAATGCATTCTATAAACTCATTCTCTAATTTACTTTTGCCATTTTGGTTTTCCCAGTCTCTATGAAGATTGAAATCACCCGCTATTAGTGTATTCCCTTGCTACACGCTCCTCTAATTTCCTGATTAATACCCTGCCCAATACTGTAACTGCTGTTTGGGGGTCTATAAACTACTCCTTACTAGTGTTTCCTGCCCCTTGTTGTTTCTTACCTCCACCCTCTAACCCCCCCACCTTGTTTTCCACATTGCTCTTTCCTATATGTCGAATACCCCGGAATGTTTAGCTCCCACCTTTGGTCTCCCTGTAACCACGTCTCAGTAATAGCCACTATATCATACCCATTTATATCTATTTGTGCACTTAATTTGTCTCTCTTGTTAAGAATGCTTCATGTCTTCAGATATAGAGCATTTAATTTTGACTTGTGTTGACTTTCACCAGTTCTTATACCGAAGGGCTGTTAGTCAGATTCTATCTGCAGAATAAACACCCAAGTCTTATTTAGGGATTAGTTTCTGTCAAATAGGAGAAAAATTGGGGAGGGAATCAGGAACATTAAGAAGCAAGTTGAATATAAGAAAAGTTGTTTTTTTGAGAATACAATTGTTAAGAGGCCAGTTATAATCGACAGGTCACTTTAAACAAACATTGCAGACATGTCCAGATGTCCTGCATGCAGAATGCAAATTGGTTGCGATCATGTCTAAACAATACAACAAAATTACCTTATAGAGAGCGCCTTTCACGTCAGGAGGACATCCCAAGGCGCTGGACAGTCAGGGGTCAGGACCCGAGCATCGGGGAGGGGTGGGGGATGGGTGAGGGAAGGCAGAGAGGTGGGAGGGTGACTGAAGGCACGATCGAAGAGGAGGGTCTTGAGACCGGCCTTGAAGGAGACAAGGGAGGAAGCGAGGCGAAGGGACTGCGGGATGGAGTTCCAGAGTGTGGGGGCAGAGAGGCTGAAAGCCCGGCCACCGATGGTACAGCGGGTCGGGCAGGAGACATGGAGCAGCCGTAGCCCGATGAATGGAGGGACCGGGCAGGTTGGTAGGGAGTCAGCAAGTCAGAGAAGTAGGAGAGGCCATGGCCTTAACGGTGAGGATGAGGATCTTGAATTCAATCTGGATATGAACACAATGTAGACAGGCCGTCCGGCCTGCAATACTGGGGTATGCTGCATTGTCAGAGGTGCTGTCCTTTGCACGAGATGTTTAATCGAGGTCCCATTTGTGCCTGCTCAGGTGAACTTTAATGATCCTGTGGCACTATTCAAAAAGGATTTGTCCCGGTGTCCTGGCTGACAATCTCCCAGAGAAGGCAACTGATCAATACCACAATCTCTACATTAGTCAGCATATTATGCTATTGTTACTATAACAATAAATTAGTTATATAATGCCTTTCACATCAGGAGGATGTCCAAAGGCGCTGGGATACTGAGAGCTGGGGTTTGGGATCAGAGGGGTGGAGGAGGGAAGATGACCGAGGGCATGGTTGAAAAGGTCTTGAGATGAGCCTTGAAGGAGGCAAGGGAGGGGGCAAGGCAGAGGGTCTCCGGGCTGGCGTTCCAGATAGTGGCTGAAGGCCCGGCCGCCAATAATGTAGCAGGCAGGGTGGGGGACATGGAGCAGGCCGGAACCTGTAGAGTGCACAGATTGGTGAAGTTGGTTACAGATCCTCACCCTTGTCTTCAAATCCCTCCATTCCTCTGCCCCCCCCCACCTCTCTGACCTCCTTGCTCCTCAAAACAGTGCCTGTTGCCTTCGTTCCTCCGGGTCTGGCCTCCTCCTTGTCCCCCGAGTCCTCTGCTCCACCTTTGGCATCTGTGCCTTCAGCCACTATGCCCCGAGGCTCTGGAACTGCCTTCCTCACTCCCTTCGTTTCACTCCCTCCCTTCCCATTTTCAGGTCTCTGCTGAACTTTTCTTTTCGACCATGGCTTTGGTCACCTTCCTCCCCCCGGCTCGGCCCCGGGATCCGTTACTGTGAAGCGCTCTGAGATGCCATCCGGCGCGGAGGGCACTATATAAGTCCCAAGTTGTTGTTGTTATACAGTATTTGGCTGTGCCTGGACTGATATTTTACTATAGTTGCTAACAAAATAGATATTTAATTGAAACCATTACTGACCTGGTTATTGTTTCACAAGTGACTACTTACACCGGTGGAGATGGGGGAAGCAGGGAGGAGGGGACAGGCAAAGTTCCCACCATTATTTGGCCCTGTGTGAAGGTGGATGACAGGCGTGTAAGTATAAAAAATATTATGTAGGCAAATATAGTGGCCATTTTTCAATGCAGAGTTGGGGTTCTCTCTCTTTCTCTCCTCCCACTGCGCTATTTGAAGCTGCCCAAATAGCTTCCTCCATCAGTCATAAACCCACGACATGCCGAGCATCTCGAGGAACCGTCAACTCCCAATGACCCTGGTGTGAGCGCAGAGAGGCAAGGAGACATAACACAGTGAAAAGGTTGTATATTTTAATGTATAGTATTATATACAACACACTGAAGCTGTACCAAAGTCACAAGCCAGCTCAGGACAGAGGAACAGTAAAGCACCAGCAAGCTTCACGGTACATGTCCACCTGGGACTGCCCATCCAGCCGGGCTTTGGCTGTGTCTACGTGGCAGTCTTAATATATTGATATAGCGCCTTATCACATCTTCGAGACGTCTCAAAGCGCTTCACAGGATACATTGTAAAGTGAATTGACTGTATATTTTGTGGGTGAAACACGGCAGCCAATTGCTCGCAGCAGGGTGGACAATTGGACAGTCGTGGATTGAGTGACCAAATTATTATTTTTGTTTTGAAGGGAAAGCGATCTGCCAATCGACTAACAACCGGGTTCCTACTCACTGTTAGGTAAACAGAGGCGCGTGGAGTAAGGAAACTTGCCCAACATCTCACCCTGCCCGGGAATCAAACCAGGGTCCTCTCGCTTGCGAGGCAAGTGTTCTATTATGATGAACTGAACACTGAAACATGTCCGTGAGAATCACGTGTTTACTATGAGGTGGCGAGTCTCAGCTACCTCGGTGAAGCAGCCTACACCGTGCAAACACCACACTCGCTGGTATAGAAATCCTAGTGTGATGTTTCTGCCTGAGGCTTGAGCTCTGTGTACAGGGAGAGAGGAAGGATGTCTGTACAGGAGCCCATCACTTGGGCAGTCTCCGGAGTTCATGCACCAGCCAGAGGGCCAGACTGAGCAGCACCAACGACCCCGACTGATGGGTCACTGCCAGCGGGGTCGGCACGTACAGGAGCAGAGTGCTGATTCCCAGCCCAGCCTGAGACAGAGAGACACACAGTGAGATCACAGAACTACAGACTGCCACGGCAAATACACAGGCCAGGAGCTCTGAGGGGACATACCTCAGTGATGCATCAGATAATAATAACAATCCCTGCATTTGATATAGCGCCTTATCAAGATCTTCGAGACGTCTCAAAGCTTCACAGGATATACTAATAAAGTGGAGTGATTGTATTTTGGGTGCTAAATGGGATTGAGAAAGTTAACCCAGAAGCTTTCTGATCGTCAGGACACCCGGACAGGAGGGCACAGGTTGAGGCGTGTGGGTGGAGTTTCACCAATTAAAGAGTAATTAACAGTTGGTACAGGATTACAAGGAAAGGTGTGGGTCTCACAGCTGGATGCTGTGCTGGGAGGACAGTGGAGTGGGAATTGGACTAGCTGGTCAGACTACACAAGACAGCAATGCCCTTTGATCTCAGCCCTCCAGAATTCAACAACAACAACAAAATTATAGCGCCTTGGGACGTCCGCCTGACGTGAAAGGCGCTACACAAATGTAATTTTGTTGTTGTGTTGAATTCTGGAGGGCTGAGATTAAAGGGCCTTGCTGTCCTGTGAAGTCTGACCAGCTAGTCCAAATTCCACCCCCGCTCACTCCGCTCCCCTCTTCAAACATCTGTCCTGTTCCTTATTAAAAGGTACTGACGGACTCTGCCTCGCGCTTGTTTGTGGCTGTGAATTGCACGTTCTCACCGCCCTCTGTGGAAAGACTATTTTTCTAAGCTTTCCTTTAATTGCCTTTGTGATTGTTACTGGTGTTACTGATTCACTGCTCAGTGAAAATAATCAATTACTGTTTAACACGCGATAATCCTCTAACAGGAAACCCTTAACCAGATTAACTACACTGACTGAAGCCCTCAGCTTGCTGCCAGTGTGTGGGTATTGCCACTCAACAGCTGATGTCCCCTCTTGCTCCCATCTTATCTGACGGTAATGGATTGTGTCTCTACGCCTTACACAGCAGTCGGGCTCCATTACCTGGATGTACACCATGCCGAGCAGGGAGGCTATTGCCATCTGTGTCCTCCTAGGCATCGGCATCCTCCGGGACAGTGCGTACAGGGCAGTCACTGCCGTCACCGAGGCTATACCCTGACACACAAGAGAAAGTGAGAGAGAGTGTTAGCCTGAAGGAGAGTAATACAGGAACACTGCTCAGACACAGTGTGGAACTGTCCGCAACCTTCACAGCCAAAGCCCTGGCAGACAGGACGAGAGGCCTGAGCTGGACAGGTAATAATAATCCTTGCATTTGATACAGCGCCTTATCACATCTGTAAGGCGCTTTAAAGCGCTTCACAGAATATACTGTGAAGTAACTGTATATTTTGTGGGCAAAATTTACCAGGATTCTGTGGTCAAACTGCACAGTTGTTGGATTCTCGAAGACGTTTCTGAGCGTTGGGGAGAAGGCGAGCAGGTCATCGGGCACCCAGCGCTCTCCCATCTTCGGGAAGGAGTTATAGACCAGGCCAGCGTCTAGGCCAGCTACAAACGCTCCTGTAACAGTGAAGACATCATACAGCCCCTCCTCACAGCACCCACTGCGCTGGCCACACAAATAATGTCAGACAGCATTTTAATCCTTCAACTTTATGTTATAGCCATATCGACCCGTTTTGAATGGTTTGGATTTTATGGATGGCAGTGGAGGGGAGGCCGGCGAGGAGGGCGTTAGAATAGTCCAGCCGAGAGGTGACAAGGGCCTGGACCAGGGATTCGGCAGCTTTCAGAGAGAGGTATTGGCGGAGACGGGCGATGCGTCAGAGGTGGAAGAAAGCAGTGCTGGTGCCGGTGACTGAACCTTCATCCAATCCTCCTACCACTACCCTCCACCCCAACAATCCCAAAGCCCAGAACAGGCTCATGGGCTGAATGGCCTCCTTTTCCAATGTGCAGCATGACCAGCAGCAACTCCCAGTAAGTAACTTACTCCAGTTCACGTTTAAACAGCGGGTAATAGACAGCCCCCCTCCCCCGCCCCTCGCCATATGCCAATGCAGACACAGACACAGCCCATTACCTGAGAGCGCGGTGACAAACACAAGGCCTCCTGTCCCACGGGCAAACTGTCTCATCAGCGCCATCTGCCGGGTGTTGGGCAGCTGTGTATGAAAGGCTGGTTCACTATAAAATACACAAGCGTGCTGACAGTCGTATGTATGTGTCTGTGACCCAAATCTTAATTATTCCCATAGAACGGCAACTACAGCACCGAAGCACCGGCTGAGCAGGTCAGTAAAGGCCACAATAGTCCAATACAATAGTACAGTACTCTTCTGGGCTTGGAACATAGGAACAGAAGGAGACCATTCAGCCCCTCGAGCCTTTTCTGCCATTCTACAAGATCATGGCTGATCTGTACCTCAACTCCAATTACCCCCGTTTACCCCATATCCCTTGTTACCCTGACCCAATAAACATCTATCCACCTCAGTCATGAAAATGTGAATGGTTCCTGCCTTTCAGGGGAGAGAGTTCAGATTTCCACTCCCCTTTGCATTGGGATTAAGGGACTTTAATACTGTGACACAGGGCTGGGGCGAGGACTGGGGTATAACAAACATGCGCTGGGCCCACCTAGAACATAAGAACATAAGAATTAGGAGCAGGAGTAGGCCATTCGGCCCCTCGAGCCCGTGCTCCGCCATTCAATAAGATCATGGCTGATCTTCTCACCTAACTCTGATTACCTGCCCTATCCCCATATCCCCTAATCCCTCTATTTTTCAAGAATCTATCAGTCTCAGCCTTGAAAATGTTCAAGGACTGAGCATCGACAGTCTTCTGGGGTAGTGAATTCCATAAATTCACTATCCTCTGTGTGAAGAAATGTTTCCTCAACTCTGTTCTAAGAGGCTGACCCTTAATTTTCAGACTGTGACCCCTGGTTATAGATTCTCCCACCGGGGAAACAGACCCTCAGTGTCTACTTTATCAGCCCTTTAAGAATCTTATAAGTTTCAATAAGATCTCCCCTAATTCTTCTGTACTCTATAGAGAATATAGCCCTGGTTTATTCAGCCTCTCCTCATAGGTCAGTCCCCTCATCCCAGGAACTAACCGAGTGAATCTACGCTGCACCCCCTCGAGGGCAAGTATGTCCTTTTTTAAATAAGGAAACCAAGACTGCACACAATACTCTCGGTGCGGTCTCACCAAAGCCCTATACAGTTGCAGCGAGACTTCCCTACTCTTATATTCTAAACCTTTCGAAATGAACCTGTACCTGTCTGGGAGGCAGCAGCAGAGAAAGGCCAGTCCACAGGCTGGCACAGTACAGCAGCAGTGCAGAGCCCAGGTGAGCAGCCAGACGATACTGACTGACCCGGGGGACGTCGTGAGAATCCTTCTTCTCCTCCAGCCCACTCTTCACCATGTACCAGCCCAGCAAACCCTGACAGAGAGAGCGAGAGATATGAAGCAACATTGACAGGAGCTCCCAGCGCCCACCGTCCCCCAGAACAGGTCACCCACAGTCACCCACCTGGAAACAGACAAAGCTGCAGAGACCTGCCACCCGCAGTTTCATGCCCGCCGAGAGCCAGCCTCTCCTGAGGAAGTACGCAGCGGGCAGGATGTAGGCCAACCCCACTGCACGGCCCCACATGCGGTGAGCATACTCCATGTACCAGATACACTTAAACTCACTCACAGTCATGTCGTGGTTCAGGCTGGGGGCAGAGAGAGAGAGAAAAACGTTCATTTCTGGAGCTTTGGAATGAACTTCCTCACTCCTCAGACAAGATATATAAATCCCTGCTCAACCCACACAGCCCAGTCAGGGGAGCGCACACACACACACACAGCCCAGTCAGGGGAGCACACACACACACAGCCCAGCCAGGGGAGCACACACACACACAGCCCAACCAGGGGAGCACACACACACACACAGCCCAGTCAGGGGAGCACACACACACACACAGCCCAGCCAGGGGAGCACACACACACACACACACAGCCCAGTCAGGGGAGCACACACACACACACACACAGCCCAGTCAGGGGAGCACACACACAGCCCAGCCAGGGGAGCACACACACACACAGCCCAGCCAGGGGAGCACACACACACACACAGCCCAACCAGGGGAGCACACACACACACAGCCCAGTCAGGGGAGCACCACACACACACACAGCCCAACCAGGGGAGCACCACACACACACACAGCCCAGTCAGGGGAGCACCACACACACACACAGCCCAACGAGGGAAGCACACACACACACACCACACACACACAAGCCCAGCCAGGGGAGCACACACACACCACCACAGCCCAGCGAGGGAAGCACACACACACACACACAGCCCAGCCAGGGGAGCACACACACCCACACAGCCCAGCCAGGGGAGCACACACACACACACAGCCCAGCCAGGGGAGCGCACACACACACACAGCCCAGCCAGGGGAGCACACACACACACACAGCCCAGCCAGGGAAGCACACACACACACACACAGCCCAGCCAGGGAAGCGAGCACACAGCCCACCCCACATGCCTGGCTGGCCTGTGCGTCCACTCCCCCGGGCAGGGGCACAGTCCAGTTGCTGGGGCAATCACCTACACTTTGAATTCTGGAAACTGCTGGTATTTCTGGAACTCAGCTTCCCATTGCTGCTGTGAACTTGGAGGCTTCATCTCCTTAATCAGGTGCCAGTCCACCATGGACAGGCCAGACTCTGTCAGCCTGGAGGGGAGAAAGCAAACCTCTCTCAGTGCTCGGGTGAGGTTATACAGTGAGTCAAACAACATCCCACTATTTACCCGGGGGTGGGGGGGGCGGGAGTAAGAGGGTGACCACTTGGGCGAGATAAGGAAGCCTGTGGAACCCGTTCCTCAATACAAGTCAGTCATTTCCGAAGAGGGAGAGAATTGCTCGGGGAATCTGCAAAAATGAGTGCACAGACCCAGCTCCGAGGAACGACAACTGTGACGAATAATAATAATCCTTGCATTTGATATAGCGCCTTATTGTGTGCTCGAGACGTCTCAAAGCGCTTCACACAATATACCGTAAAGTGTAGCGACTGTGTATTTAGTGGGCGACACTAAACAGCAGTGTCCCACAAACTGCTATGGAGTGAGCGACCGATTTTATTTGGGGAACTGTTGGCCAGCGGGAGAGAGCGAGTGAGAGAGCGAGAGCGCGAGCGCGGGAGAGAGCGAGCGGGAGAGCGCGAGAGCGAGAGAGAGAAACTCTTGTTGAATGAGCGCTGTGGGATCTTCAAAACTCTTACGTTAAGAATGACTCTTCCACGACTAACCTGGTCACTCCACCAAGCACGACCGCCCCCACAACCATCCCACTGCACCCGATCAGCCACTTCCCCAGGATCCGGTCAGTGCCGGCGTTCGGCACGGAGGCTGCCGCGGGCTGGACAGAGGCTTCGGTGGCGATAGAGCTTCGCGCCCGTCTCACAGCCGCCGGTCTCCACCGCAGTGTTACCTGAGGGGGGACGAGAGATAAGTGAGTAAAACCCCTCGTCAATCACCACCACCCCCTGCAGTCTCCACACGGCGGCCCCCGGGCCGGAGGTCAGCCGGAGCCCCCGGGGGGGGGGGCTCTAGACTGAGGTATACCAGGCGCCAGGATTATTATTATTATTATTATTATTATTATTATCACAAAATGTTAACACAGAATATCCTGACAGGAGGCCGAGAGTGTGAGCGGCTGAGAGGCGGCTGCAGGTCAGTGTCTCTCACCCGGACGGCGCTGAGGCCGCCGCTGACCCGCGGCCACAACATGGCGACGCCGCTCACCCTCCTCACCTCACCCCACACACACACACACACCGGTCACATGGCTGCAGACAGCCAATCAGCGCCCGCGCTCGCGGGGCCGCGGCCACTCACCCCGGTCACATGACCGTCATGGCGGCTCCCAGCCCGGCGTCAGCGGCAGTCACCCACCCACTGCCACAGGCCCGGACACCAGGCCCCGCGGACACAGGTAACCGCCCGCCCCGCCCGGCCCGGCCCGCCCGGCCCACACCCCTCCCCCGGGGGGTCTCTGAGCTCACAGCCCAGCGCTGGGGGAGAGAGGGAGCCGCGGGGTCACAGGCGCCGCCTTCGGTTGAGACGTGAGACCTCACGCCCTCTGTTAAAGAGGCCGCGGCCCCATCATAACAACAACAGTCACACAACAATAACACAACAACAACAGTCCCGCATCTGATACGGCGCCTTCTCACGTTTTCTAGACGTCTCAAAGCGCTTCACAGGATATACTGTAAAGTGTAGTGACTGTGTTGTGTAGTGGACTGTGTTTTGTGGGTGAAACGCAGCAGCACAACAGCGTCCCCCCAAATAACCGTGGGTTGAGTGACCCATTTTATTGGGGGTTGTTGGCCAGGACACAGGGAGAGAGAGAGAGAGAGAGAAACTCCCTTCTCTTTTCCAATAGCACAGTGGGATCTTTAACGTCCGCCTGAACAGACAGACGGGGCTTCAGTTTAACGTCTCACCCGAAGGCCAGAATCTCAGACAGTGCAATACATCCCATAGCATTGGAGCGTCAGTTTAGAGACTTCGTGATTCCAAATCCTGACGTGTGGGGCTTAAACCCACAACCTTCTGACTGAGAGGCGACAGAGCTACCGCTGAGCCCAGCTCACCATTGGGGAAAAGAGAAGGGAGTTTCTCTTTCCCGGCGTCCCGGCCGACAATCCCCCGGATAAAATCACTCGCTCATTTCATGGCTCTTTGCGTCAACGTCGCTGTATGTAATTTGGATGCACATCAAACACACAGTTACTAAACTTTACAGTGAAATCCTGTGACGCTCACGTCCTCTCGGCGCGATAAGGTGCCATGTCAGATGAAAGATTGTTGTTGTTAATAAATACTTTGCCTTTTTTTGATCTTTACTGCCCAACCCTGCACCTTTCTCCATACACAACATTCCCTCCCGAGATCACAAGATCATTTTGGGATGAAGAAGGTCCTTCGGCTCATCTGATCTCATCACTACAGAACAGCCCACTCAGCGCGGTCAGGGTGAGAGAGAGAGACACACACACACTGACCCCCTGTAGCCCTGCCATCCCGCCATCACCACATCAAGCCTTTAAATGTGCTCTCGGAGATGTTGTCTCGCTTGAAAAGTGCTGCATAAATGCTAATTTTTGTTTGTTTTATATGATCCCAGTATTCTCGCCTCCACCACTTCCCGGCAACCCTGTTAATTCCCCTCTAAATTAAGAAAACCTTCCTGGTGTCTGTCCTGAAATTGCTCCTTTAGCTCTAAACCTGTGTCCTCTTGTTCTACTGTCGGGATCCATCCCAAAGTATTATCCGGGTTCTGTAATAACTTTAAAAAGGGACCTGAACAACAATGTATTTATTGCAGCGTCCTTCACACGGACAGACCAGTGACCTGCCCTCTCTCACTCTCAAACTTACACATAAATACTGATGGCCACGTGGGGTACTGGAGGGCAATCAGACCCTGTGGAAGCACCCCCCCCAGTGAGAGGAGGTCAGACGGGGGCAGAGAGGAATATACCAACGCAGAGGAAATTAGCAAGATAATTGGACACAATAAAATAGAAATGTCTTCTGTCTATGACATCATTTTAATGACCTGGATCACTAATCACTAAGAATTTTCTCGGTCTCTCCTCATAACTTAGAGTCTCAGACCCAGACTCATCGCAGTGGCTTTCCATTGCCCAATTGGTGTCCACAAAAACAGATTTAAACCAAGGCCATCTGTACCTTGTTCAGGTGGATAGGCTATGGGGTAAGAGCAGGAGAGTTGGGCTAGTTGGTAGCACTTTCAAAGAGCTGGCACAGGCACAATGGGCGATAAGGTGCTATATATATAATAATAATATAATAATAATCCTTGCATTTGATATAGCGCTTTTCACGTCAGGAGGACGTCCCAAAGCGCTTCACAGAACCCACTGTAAAGTGAATTGACTGTATATTTGTGGGCGAACGCGGCAGCCAATTGCGCACAGCAATGTCCCACAAACAGTCGTGGATTGAAAATGACCAATCTAATTATTGTTTTTGTTTTTTTGCGGGATTATTATTAGGCTCTGTGTGGAGTAAGGAAACTTGCCCAAGGTTTCGCCCTCTGCCTGGAATTGAACTCAGGTCTCTCACTTGCAAAGCGAGTGCTCTAACCACTGAGCTACAGGACTCCATATGCTGTAGAATTCTATGATTTCATGTTAAAAATCCACTGTACTGTTAGAAAAGAGAAGAGCGATTCTCTCTCACTGTCCTGGCAACAAACTCCCCAGATAAAATTGGTCACTCACTTCATGGCTGTTTATGCTGTGCACAAATAGCTTACAAAATGCACAGTCCCTGCACTTCACACTAAAATCCTGCAATGCTTTGAGATAACTCAATATGATAAGACGATAAAATTAAATATGAGAATGATTGTGTGAGTTACTGACTGCCTTGGGAAGGAACTCAGGGAGCTGGTGTGAACACAATGGGCTGAATTAACTCGCACTTATAACATTCTAGCTTCAAGACTCAGAATCGAGTTTCCCTTCCTAGGCGGCGATGTCGTTGACATAATAAATATATGTAATAATCTTGAATTTGATATAGCACCTTATCGTGTCGTCGAGACATCTCAAAGCGCTTCACAGAATTTATTGTGAAGTGGAGTGACTGTATTTTGTGGGGCAAATGCGGCAGCCAATTGCGCACAGCAGTGCCCCACAAACAGTGGTAGATTGAGTGACCCTGCCCAGGAATTGAACGCAAGTCCTCACACTTGCGAGGAGAGCACACTAACCTCTACAGGACTCCTGTTGTACATTGTATTGTACTCTGGAAAGTGAGTGTCTTTTTATTTATAAAAAGTCTTGATTTCTGGCCTTTGGTCTGCAGGGTGGGATGGCGACCTCAGGCTTGCTGATGGAAGTGTGTGTGGATTCGGTAGAGTCCGCAATCAATGCTGAGAGAGGAGGTATGTGATCAGAGCACGTGAGCTTCACATTACGGGGTTGGACTCAAAGAGAGAGAATAGGGAACACTTAGCCAGAGAGGCAGAGAGGAGATTTATTTTTGGTCAGCCGGGTGTCTGACACAAGCAGAAACCCATCACCATGTTTAAGAGTATCCCAACCAAACTGAGAATTCCCTGCATCCCACATACACATGGAAATTTATTGATGTGGAATACACACACTCTCCCTGGAGGGACGCAGCCTGCTTACCTAATTCCGGAAAATATTCGGTGCAGGTTGGCCAGAGCCAAGGATTGGCGAGATCCCAGTGTGTGCATTGGCGTAACTGCTGGAGTCTAACCAGCTAAGACCTTAAAGCTTGTCATTGAGAGCGCTGTCAATGCTACTGGCAAGCTATACTTGTCATTGGAAGAGAAGGAGGAAAGATTTGGGGAATACCTGACAACAGGTGGTGACGCCTGGTCCCCCCCCAGAGACGGCACTCAGGGCAGGGCATGTCCACAGCTGCCTAGAGTTTGATATCTCACCTTTCGGCCACAAAATATACAGTCAATTCACTTTACAGTATATTCTGTGAAGCGCTTTGAGACGTCTTGAAGACCTGATATATATCAAATACAAGGATTAATATCATTATTGTCCCATTGTTTCCAGGAGCGAGTAGGATCGAGCTGTGCTCCAGCCTGATGGAAGGAGGCACCACCCCCAGCCTAGGTGAGCAACACACAGCGCCACAAGCTTGTCTGTCTCCCCCTCAACCGGGTGTCTGACACACGCAGAAACCTGTCACCATCTTAAGAGCATGTGAACGAAACTGGGCGTTCTGTGCATTCCACCTACACATGGAAATCCCACAGATAGATTGTTGGAATGGAATGCACACTTTCTCCCTGGAGGGACGCATCCTACTTAACTAATTCTGGCCAGTATTAGGCGCAGGTTGGAAAGAGGCTTGGGGGGCCCTGCTAAAGTCTAACCAGCTAAAACCACATAACCTGCCGTTGATTTAGTCCAGCAAGCTTTCCCACCGCTTGTCCAGCTAGGACCACCCTACCTGTTAGGGCTTTGGCTTGCAGGGTTAACGGGAACTGAGTGGGAGGATTCCCTTCCCCCAGTGACAGGTTTTAGGCAGCATCACTTGCCTCAGGGACAGATGTTGTGGCTTCAAGTCCCCACATCAGGGGCTTCGAGCTCATGGTCCAGGCTGATCTCCAGTGTAGCAGTGGGAGATGGGTGGGGGGAGCACCACATTATCAGAGACATTGCCCTTCAGATGAGACGTTAAACAACAACAACCAATTACATTTGTATAGCACCTTTCACGTCGGGAGGATGTCCCAAGACATTGAGCTGCCCATCTGTGTCTATTCAGGTGGACGTTAAAGATTCCGCAGCACGGTTGGAAAAGAGAAGGTGTCTTGACTGACAATCCACAGCTACCTCAAGATTATGCAAATGGTTGCCATGTTTACCCACAAAAAACACTCTCTATACGTGACAGTAAAGACTCTCTGTGATATTGTGTCTTTTTAGGAGCCATTGGTTTAGCGATCTGCTGTGTGTGCTTTGCCCACTCTGTGCTGTCTCACATGCCCTCACACTCTGGTCTCCGCAGGTTTACTGCAGGTGATTAAAAAATACGTGGAAATTCCTGTGTTTGTCATGATCCGCCCGCGCGGAGGGGACTTCCTGTACTCGGACCAGGAGATGGAAGTGATGAAAACTGACATCAAACTGGCCAAGAGCAGCAGGGCTGACGGGCTGGTCTTCGGGGCCCTGACAGAAGACGGCAGGGTGGACACTGCAGTGTGCATGGAGCTACTGGGTAGGCCAGGCCTGGGCACCGTGGGCTGGGCAGAGTGGGTGACATTACAGGACTTTGGCGGAAGGAGGTTTGATGGAGTCCTGTCACCTAGTGGTTAGAGCACTCGCCTTGCAAGCAGAGGATTCGATTCCCGGGAAGGGTGAAACATTGGTCAAGTTTCCTTATTCCATACACCTGTTTACCAACAGTAAGCAAATACCCCCCACCCACACACACACACACCTCACCCCCCCCTCACACACATACCTCACACGCACATATCACACACACACCTCATCCCCCCACACACATACCTCACACACACATACACACACCACATAGCTTCTAATCTGTTTCTTTCTACTTTACAGCTGCAGCACGACCCCTGCCTGTGACGTTTCACAGAGGTGAGCAGTGAGCGCAGGGGGCGCGGGAGGCTCCGTGCTTCTCTGGGATATGTCTGAGGGTGTAACTCGGGCTCTGGAACTCCCTTCCTCACTCCCTTCGCCTCGTTTCCTCTCTTCCTATTTTCAGGTCTCTGCTGAAGACCTTTCTTTTCGACAGCGCCTTTTGTCACCTTCCTCCCCTTCCCCCTGACCCCTCCCCTTCCCCCGGGCACAGCCCCGGGATCTGTTACTGTGAAGCACTCTGAGACACCGTCCGCCGTGGATGGCGCTATATAAATCCAAGTTGCTGTTGTTGTAACTCTTGCCTTTGAGTCAGAAGGCTGTGGGTTCAAGCCCCATGTCAGGACTCACAATCACATAGTTTAAGCTGCCGCTCCAATGCAGTGCTGGGGGGTGTTGCCTTGTCTGAGATGCCATGCTTCAGGGAGACATTAAACCAAGGTCCCGTCTGCCTGTTCAGGTGGACGTTAAGGGAACTATTGGGAAAGAGAAGGGAGTTTCTCTCTCCTGGTGTCCTGGCCAACAATCCCCCAGATAAAATCGTTCACTCACTCCGTGGCTGTTTGTGAGACACTGCTTATGAAACTGGCTGCCGCATTTCGCCCACAAAATACCCAATCACTGCACTTTACAATATCTTCTGTGAAGAGCTTTGAGACGTCTCAAAGACATGATAAGGCGTTATATCAAATGCAAGGATTATTATTATTTGAATTTCCAGCCTTTTGACCCCTGAGGCGAGGCGAAGGGAGGGGAGTGTGAGTTGGCCAGTTTGCAGTGTGTATTTGAAGATTGAAGGAGCGAGTGCTGTGAGGTAACCTCTGTGTTTGTGTCTCCTCTCCTCGCTGTGCTCTTACAGCCTTCGACATGGCCCATTCGGCCTCTCTGGCCCTGGAGTCGCTGATATCCCTGGGGTTTGAGCGGGTGCTGACCAGCGGCTGTGACAGCTCGGCCCTGGAGGGGCTGCCCACCATCCGCAGGCTGGTGGAGCAGGTCAGTGCGGGGAGGGGGGGGGCCGGGGGGAAGTGCTGGGGGGTGGGTGGAGCGGGGGCAGAAAATCACTCGACCCCTCAACTATCACCGGCACCCAGTGTAGCAGGAGACACACCACACAGTGAGCTAGAATCAAAATAATACCATCTGAGCACAGAGGAACAGGAGGAGGCCATTCAGCCCCTCAAGTCTATTAGATCATGGCTGATCTGTACCTCAACTCCAATTATCAGCCTTTGTCCCATGTCCCTTGATACTCGGACCTAACAAGTATCTATTCACCTCAGTCTTGGAAATGTGAATGGATCCAGCAACCACAGCCTTTTGGGGGAGAGAGTTCCAGTTTTTTTGTGTAAAATAATGCTTCCTGATTTCAACAACAACAACTTGTATTTATATAGAGCTTCTCACGCAGGGTAGCGTCCCAGAGCGCTTTACTCCAAAATGGCCTGGCTCTAATTTTAAGAAGATGACTCCTTGTTCTGGATTCTCCCATCAGAGGAGATAGTTTCTCTGTAGCTCCCCTATCAAATCCCTTTATCCTTTTAAACACTTCAATCAGATCATCCCTCAAACCTTCTAAACTCAAGGGAATACAGACCAAGTTTATGCAACCGGTCCTCGTAATTTAACCATTTAAGTCCTGATATCATTCTCACCCTCAGCCCCATAACCCCTCAACCTCGGCCCCTCCCCCTCTACCCCTCACTCTGATCCTCATAAAATCTTACACCAAGCGCCTAAGATTGTGTGCTTTAACCCTGAACTATCTTTCTTTGTTGCTCTGTGTTTAGGCTAAAGAGAGAATCCTTGTGGTCCCAGGTAATGGCAGCCGTTCAGTGACTGATGTGTGTTCGTGATTTCGGCTTTGGTGTGGACCAGCTGCCCACTGTCCCCTGTGCTCCCCAGGTGGTGGCATAACAGAGAGGAACGTCATGCGTATTCTAGAAGGTTCTGGAGCGCAAGAGTTTCACTGCTCGGCTCGATCCTCAAGAGACTCCGCAATGAAATTCAGGTGAAGTGTAAGCATTGGCTTTGGGCGTGTGAGATAGCGTGTGTTTGAGATAGGGTGTGTGTGAGAAAGCGTGTGTTTGAGAGAGCGTGTGTTTGAGAGAGCGTGTGTTTGAGAGAGCGTGTGTTTGAGATAGGGTGTGTGTGAGAAAGCGTGTGTTTGAGAGAGCGTGTGTTTGAGAGAGCGTGTGTTTGAGAGAGCGTGTGTTTGAGAGAGCGTGTGTTTGAGAGAGCGTGTGTGTGAGAAAGCGTGTGTTTGAGAGAGCGTGTGTTTGAGAGAGCGTGTGTTTGAGAGAGCGTGTGTTTGAGAGAGCGTGTGTTTGAGAGAGCGTGTGTTTGAGAGAGCGTGTGCTTGAGAGAGCGTGTGTTTGAGAGAGCGTGTGTTTGAGAGAGCGTGTGTTTGAGAAAGCGTGTGTTTGAGAGAGCGTGTGTTTGAGAGAGCGTGTGTTTGAGAGAGCGTGTGTTTGAGAAAGCGTGTGTTTGAGAAAGCGTGTGTTTGAGAGAGCGTGTGCTTGAGAGAGCGTGTGTTTGAGAGAGCGTGTGTTTGAGAGAGCGTGTGTTTGAGAAAGCGTGTGTTTGAGAGAGCGTGTGTTTGAGAGAGCGTGTGCTTGAGAGAGCGTGTGCTTGAGAGAGCGTGTGTTTGAGAGAGCGTGTGTTTGAGAGAGCGTGTGTTTGAGAGAGCGTGTGTTTGAGAGAGCGTGTGTTTGAGAGAGCGTGTGTTTGAGAGAGCGTGTGCTTGAGAGAGCGTGTGTTTGAGAGAGCGTGTGTTTGAGAGAGCGTGTGTTTGAGAGAGCGTGTGTTTGAGAGAGCGTGTGCTTGAGAGAGCGTGTGTTTGAGAGAGCGTGTGTTTGAGAGAGCGTGTGCTTGAGAGAGCGTGTGCTTGAGAGAGCGTGTGTTTGAGAGAGCGTGTGTTTGAGAGAGCGTGTGTTTGAGAGAGCGTGTGTTTGAGAGAGCGTGTGCTTGAGAGAGCGTGTGTTTGAGACATTGTGCATAATATCCTGTGTGTGAGACAAGGTGAATGGTATACAGTGTATTGTGTATTATTGCATTGTATATGATGTCATGTGGCGGGGCTGAGTCATGGAATAGAGCGGGGCTGGGTCATGGAATAGAGCGGGGCTGGGTCATGGGAGGCGGGGCTGATCTGTGGTTGGGGACGGGGCTGAGCTGTGGTTGGGGGCGGGGCTGATCTGTGGTTGGGGGCGGGGCTGATCTGTGGTTGGGGGCGGGGCTGAGCTGTGGTTGGGGGCGGGGCTGAGCTGTGGTTGGGGACGGGGCTGATCTGTGGTTGAGGGCGGGGCTGAGCTGTGGTTGGGGGCGGGGCTAATCTGTGGTTGGGGGCGGGGCTGAGCTGTGGTTGGGGGCGGGGCTCACCTGTGGTTGGGGGCGGGGCTGAGCTGTGGTTGGGGGCGGGGCTGAGCTGTGGTTGGGGGCGGGGCTGATCTGTGGTTGGGGGCGGGGCTGAGCTGTGGTTGGGGCGGGGCTGATCTGTGGTTGGGGGCGGGGCTGATCTGTGGTTGGGGGCGGGGCTGAGCTGTGGTTGGGGGCGGGGCTGAGCTATGGTTGGGGGCGGGGCTGAACTGGTTAGGGGCGGGGTTGGGTTGGGGCGGGGCTGCTCTGACCCCTGGTCTCTCTGTGGGCAGGAATGCGGGGGTTGGGATGGCAGCGCCGATGGCCGCCCCCGAGTACAGTATGAAGGTGGCTGATGTGAACCGTGTGCGGGCGCTGAACGCCATCGCCAAGAACATGGTGTAGCCCCCCGTGGGGTGGGGAGCGCGAGAAGCCCCGCACGGTGGTCCCGCGGGGAGCATGGCGATGTGGAACGCCGCGGGGGCTGAAGGGAAGAAACCGGGTGATGTTTGTATCTGAGGCTGAGGAACATGGTGACCGGGGCTGCCATCATTAAAGAGCGGAGCTCACACACTGGGCCTCACCTCTGTGCCATCTGTGATTTGGGGATGGGTTGGAGTGGGGGGTGCGGAGCTTTGGGGGTGTGAACAGAGGGGCTGTGGGAGAGGGGGTGACCACAACCCCAGCTCTCGATTGCCCGTCCACCTGCTCACGCTGCTGTCTGCCATCCCGGAACCCCTCCACTTCATCTCCTCCCTTGCCTCTGAAGACCTTTTCAACCACGCCTTCGCTCACTCCTCCACCCACCCCCCCTGGGCCTCCACCCCTCCCAACCCACAGCTCGGGTGCAAACCCCCTGACGGTCCAGTGTCTTATGATATCCTCCCAACATGAAAAGCGCTGTGTAAATCAATTTGTTGTTGTTGTTGTTGAACGAGAGACTCTTACAATCTGAGGATTGTTTCAATAAACCAATTACAAGGCGTCAGTCTCCAGGCTTCGGTTTGTGCCGGGGGAGGAAAGTCCCTCTGTGTATCAGCTGTGAGCGTGCAGAGCAACACTAATTTATCCGATTCACCTTTTCTCACCTCTCCCCAAAGTGCTGACTCATTGCTGTTTGGTACCACGGCTATTCACCTCACCAGGGGCAAGGTCTGCCCTGTTCTCTGTCAACACATGCTTTGTCATCCTGACTCCGTTACACTCTCGCCTCCAGATCAGGAATAATATTAACAATCCTTGCATTTGATTCCCGGGCAGGGCAAAATATTTCGTACACCGCACGCCTCTGTTTACCCAGCAGTAAGTAGGAACCCGGTTGTTATTCAATTGGCGGATCGCTTTCCTGGGTAATAATTCCTTCAAAAAAAATAATAATAATAAATTGGTCATTTCAATCCAGGACTGTTTGTGGGACACTGCTGTGCACAATTGGCTGCCATGTTTTGCCCACAAAATATACAGTCAATTCACTTTACAGTATATTCTGTGAAGCGCTTTGAGATGTCTCGAAGATGTGTTAAAAGGCGCTATATCAAATGCAAGGATTATTATTATTTTTCCTGTAAAGTGTAGCAACTATGTATTTTTGACAGCCGATTTGCACACAGCGTGAAGTGAACGGACTGATTTTATCCGGGTGATTGTTGGGTCAAAAGAGAAACTCCCTTCCCTTACCTGAAAATGCGACGGAATCTTTGAGTGACCACTGAACAGGCACACAGATGGGAGCTCGATTTAATATCTCTCCTGTGAAAGGCAGCGTCTCCGACAATGCAGCGCTCCCCCCTGCCCCCCGCGCCCCCCAGCACTGCGCTGAGAGTCAGCCTGGACACTATTTCTTATGTTCTTATAGGAAATAACATTATGGGACATAGGGAGCTCATGCGATCACCAAGAAGGTGGAAGGCCAACTGGACGGAGCTTGGTCTTTTTTTCATCCAGCATTCCTTATGTTCAAATGTGGTCTCAAAGTCCCGACTTGAGGTTTGAACATACAACCTTCCGACTTGAGAGAGAGAGAGAGAGAGGACAGAGAGCTACCAATTGACATCGGCTGATAACTTTGAACGAGATTGAAGGGTAAAAGTTCGGGATATTTTACCAGCTCATTCCTGATGAAACTCCCAGCAACTAAATTTGTGCGAAGGTTCAATATTGTCAGTGAAGAGCAGAAAATCCCTCCATAGGATTGAGTTAACAGTAATAATTAACCTCCCGTCTCTGACTACTTCCCCGACCGGCCAAGGTTTACCCGCTGCTGACTGGCCCACTGTGAGATAGCTGTTAGATGTTTAACTTAAGAACGACTGCTAATGAACTCGGGTAATTGTTTCCTCTCACCCGACCCCCCCAACCGCCCTCCACTGGACAACTTAACTGAGAGCAAGTTAAAGATTAACAGACTGATCTGTTATTACTCTGTGACTGACGATGCCCAGTGTCTCTCTCTCACTGATATCCCAATCATCTCTGGCTCCCGGAACATTCTGTCATCTTTATTCGCTCTTCTTCATCTGCCAAGTCACTGTTGACCATAGTCGGGAGTTATATAAGCGGACAGTCGGCTCGGGACCTGCTTTGGCGAGAGAGGAATGTCTTCAGTCTTGGATAAGTACTGTGGCTCCACCTTTTGGGTGAGTAACATTGAGACAGAATATGCAGTGAGTCTGGGTGTCAGATCGAGGGGTGGAAGATTTTAGTGGACACAGGGTTAGGGGCTTGTTAGGTTCGAGTCCCCACATCAGGGACTTTGAGCTCACAGTCTAGGCTGAAGCTGGTGAACAGTACATAAGAAGATAAGAATTTGCTGGTGAATGAAGACTGAGGTTCATCTATCTCTTTCCCACCATCCTGGCCGTCGCTTGACATGTCGTGTCCCCAAACTATATACTGTATCTATCCCCAGATATTATTTTTTAGCAGAAATCAATCTCATTTGTTCTTGAAACAAACAACACATTATTTTTCCACCGTCTGTCTGTCTGTCTGTCTCTCTCTCTCTCTCCAGGGAGCCTGTTCCACAAGTTTATTGCTCGTTCCCTGAAGTTGTGTCTCCTCAGATTTGTTCTGAATTAACCCCCTTCAATTGTAGGATGTGACGTCTGTTTCCACTGTTCAGTACAATATAAAAGAGGTTATCCTGGTCTACATTATCTATTCCTTTCAGAATCTTAGTCAGGACACTGACAGTATATTAAAATAAAAAACTACAGATTAGAACTTTTCTCCACTTTCCTCCCCCAATGGATGTGGAACACCCAACGAAATGGGATTTGGAATCACACAGTCTAAGCTGACGCTCCAGTGCAACACTGGGGGGAGCGCTGCATTAATGGAGATGCTGTCTTTTGGTTGAGACATTAAACCAAGCTCTGACTGTCTGTGCAGGTGGAAGTTAAAGATCCTGCAGTGATATTGGGGAAAAAAAGGGAGTTTCTCTTTCTCTATCGGTGTTCTGGCCAACAATCCCCCCAAAAAATTTGGTCACTCACTCCACGGCTGTTTGTGTGACACTGCTGTGCGCAACTGGCTACCGCGTTTCGCCCACAAAATATACAATCACTACACTTACAATACATCCTGTGAAGCGCTTTGAGACGGATCAATGATGCAATAAGGTGTTATATCAAATACAAGGATTATTATTTTATTATATTAAGTTACAAAGATCGTGTGTATCAAAGATAATGAAGGGAGGGAATGGGAGGGAGGAGACACGCACAGATTTCATTATAGTTTGGATGAAAACAAGGGAGTTTCTTTCTCCCAGTATCCCTGCCGATCTTGCTCTACACATAAACAAGCCACTTATCTCATCGCTCTGGGTATGACCCCGAGCACAGATTACTGCTGCCTGAGCAGAAACTAATCACTACACTCCACACTATGTGAGACACTTTTAGACAATGACATTATAATAATAATAAATAATAATACTGGCGTTTGATACGGTGCCTTAACGTGTCATCGAGACATCTCAAAGCACTTCACAGGGTATACTGTAAAGTGGAGTAACTGTATTTTGTATATCCCCAACAAAATAGACATTCAAACCATTTTATAGTATATCCTGTGAAGCATTTTGAGACGTCGCGACATGATAAGGTGCTATGTCAAATGCAAATGCAAGAAATGCAAGATTTTATATTGACTGTATTTTATTTATATTTTGACAGTACAAATGTGAAGAAAGGCTTTTCCCGTGGGAGCGCGGGGGTAGGGGGTGCTGGGAGAATTATTATCTTTAGTTGGGGAACGTGAGGGGAAGGGTGTGTCCCCAGGGAGAGAAAGCACATTTCATTCCAACAGTCTATCTCTGGGATTTCCATGTGCAGGTGGGATGCATGGAATTCTCAGCTTGGTTTGGAGACTCTTAAGCAACAGTGATGGGTTTCCATGTGTGTCAGACACCCGGCTGACCAAAATAAATAATAAAGCAAGACCTGTGTGCTTATCTGACCATGGTTGGGGTTGCAAGGATTATTATTATTATTCTGTCCTCTCTTACGCAGAATGCCTCGTACCTGGAGCGACCGGACCCTGACCTGCCGGTGTGCCTGGAGCAGACAGTCCTTGTGTGGATTCCCCTCGGCCTCCTCTGGCTCTCTGGGCCCTGGCTCCTCCGGCACTTGTTCCCATTGAGGAACTCCGTGGTTGGTTTCTCCACACTCTACAAAGTCAAACAGGTTAATTCCCCTCATTCCTCCTCCCCCCTCACTCTCGCTTTCCCTCCCCCTCGCTTCCCCAGCCCCATTCACTCCCCCTCCTCACTCCCCCATTGCTCCCTCTTCCCCTCACTCCCCTTCACTTGCTCCCCCCCTCGCTCCCCCTCACTTGCTCCCCCCCTCGCTCCCCCTCCTCCTCACACCCCCTCTCAGAGTGCCTGTCGGGATCCCACTCTTATCTGTTGATCCCTCTTTTCCCTCCACTAGCTGTTGGTATCTCTGCTGGTGCTGTGCTCAGTCCTGGGGCTGATTGTTTCACTGCTGGAAGATTTTGGGGGCCTGAAAGACCCCATCCCCGGAGAGCTGAACCCCACCGTTCTCTATGTGAACCCCTGCATCTACACAGTGTCTTGGGTAAGAGTAAGGGGTGGGTGGTTGAACAAAGACTGGTTGGTTCGAGCCCCCATATTGGGACTTTGAGCTCATCCAGCACAGCGCTGGTGGGGAGGGAGAAAGGGAGCACTGAATTGTCGGAAACGCCGTCCTTCGGGTGAGACATTAAACCCCGTCTGCCTGTTCAGGTGGACGTTAAAGGTCCTGCAGCACTATTGGAGAAGAGAAGGGAGTTTCTCTCTCTCTCCCCCTGGTGTCCTGGCCGACAATCCCCCAGATAAAAGGGATTGTTCACTTCAAATCTATCTGTGGGACACTGCTGTGCGCTAATTGGCTGCTGTGTTTGTCCACAAAATACAGTCATTACACCTTACAGTAAATCTTGTGAAGCGCTTTGAGACGTTGAGATAATCACCTAAGTTCTTTCTTACGTAGTCCCAGTGTCACCGAGAGAAAATCAGAGAAATTTACAGTGCAGAAGGAAGCCATTCGGCCCATCGAGTCTGCTGTTCAATCCCACTGCCCTGCCCTATCCCCAAACCCCTACTAACCTCTATCCTTCATATACCTGTCTACTTCTCTCTTGAAACCCACAATGGCATCACAATGGATAATAATAATAATAATAATCCTTGCTTTTGATATAGCGCCTGATACAGAGACATCTCAAAGCGCTTCACAGGATACACTGTAAAGTGAATTGACTGTGTTGTGTGGGCGAAACTCAGCAGCCAATTGAGCACCAACAGTCTTGGAGCGAATACTATAGAAAATGGTTTCACTGCAGTGTGGAGTTCCTAATCCACTTTCACTCCTGTTCCAGCTCCTGGTGTTACTAATCCACGAGAGCACCAGACGTGGGGAGGCCAAGGACTCCGGTTTCCTCTTCATCTTCTGGCTGCTGTGTGTCCTTTGTGGAGTCTTCACTCTCCAGACTATCATCAGAATGGCCATCGATCAGGTACCGTCCTGACCTCCGCCCGTACTGAGCGCAGGAGCCTGGGGCTCGCTTACGAGAGAGCTGGAATGGGAGGATGGACGGGCAGGGATTCAGGAAAGATGAGATCAAAAGGGCCAAGGAGTCTTCCTCACCCGTGGCTCTGGAGTGAGAGTAGAGTGAGGAGGCTGGAGGGGTCTAGAGTGACAGAATTGGCGTGTGTGTGGATTTGTCTGGCTGAGCGCTGGTGCCTGGCTGCTGTCTTCACTGTCTCTGCTCCTCTCCGCTCCTCTCAGGGTGAAGTGACTGACCTGCCTCGATTCTCCTTGTTCCTTATCTCCTATGCTCTCGAGACGGCCTCCCTCGTCATCGGCTCCATATCTGACGTCCCCCCAGAGACCAAGGCGGCCGGCAAGGAGGTCAGTGCGTTTCTGCCTCTTTTCAATATCAACTTAAATAGGGTTCAAATGAAGACTCAAAGCATCTGCTCCACCGTATTCTTTCCCAGACCGTGGAACTTCTCACTTCCTTTGCTCTTCCCCTCCTCCCCACTCGCTCTCATTACTCCCATTTCTCTCTCCCGGTTAATGGCGTCAGTGACTGGGTAGTTTGGACACAGCTGACACCTCGCGTGTGTTTTCTTTCAGAACCCGGAGTTGATGGCCTCTTTCCTCAGCAGAGTGACATATAGCTGGTTTGACAGGTACGGGAGGGAGGGGAGAGGGGAGGGGTTGACGAGAGGGGTTTACAGCAAGACGGGGAATCCTTGGGCTCAGAGATGTTGCGGGGGGAGTGTGGGCGATCGAGTCTGGGGCCGAGTGAGGGGAGGAAACTTCTCGTCAGTACAGTAAAACTCGCATAAGTCTCTCCTGTATAAGTCATATAATCACCTAAATCGTACACAGGCCCAAGTGCCACTCAGTTTCCTATCAAAACCACTTAGATTTCTTTGCACGACTCATATTAATCACCTCTTAACTGGTTAACGCTGCTCCCTTCCATTACTCACACACTTACCGGCAGTGTTGAATCATGGGCATGTAGTCTTGACCTGTCACTGCACGTCCACTTACCGGCTACATTGAATTAAACTCTCGCAGTGTAGATTATTGATATTGATATGACTTATCCTAACAAAAAAAGGTGGTCACTCAATTCACCACTGTTTGTGGGATACTGCTGATCGCAATTGGCTGCCTCGTTTTGCCCACAAAATACACAGTCAATTCACTTTACAGTATATCTTGTGAAGAGCTTTGAGACTTCTCAACAGTGTCTTAAGGAGCTGTATCAAATGCAAGGAGTATTATTAATATTACACATTATGGTCTTGACTAATACAACAACAACAAAATTACATGCGTAGAGCGGCTTTTCGTGGAGTCCTGTAGCTCAGTGGTTAGAGCACTCGCCTTGCAAGCGAGACACCTGGGTTCAATTCCAGGCAAGTCAGGGCGAAACCTTGGGCAAGTTTCCTTACTCCACACACCTGATAATAATCCCTCCAAAACAACACAATAATAAATTGGTCATTTTCAATCTACGACTGTGCGTGGGACACTATTGTGTGCAATTGGCTGCCGCGTTCGCCCACAAATATACAGTTAATTCACTTTACAATGTATTCTGTGAAGCGCTTTGAAACGTCCAGAAGACGTGATAAGGCGCTATTTCAAATGCTAGGATTATTTATTATTATTCACATCGGGAGGACATCCCAAGGCGCCGAAATACGACTTATACTTACTGTGAATAAACTCAGACCTTATACCCACTGAGTTTTACTGTAGTCACATCAGAGAGGTAGGTCTGCTGGTGAGGACAGGCTGTGGTGTGAATGAGGAATGAGGAGTGAGCACTGACTGGTTTCAGGATGATGGTGAGAGGCTACAGGAAGCCGCTGGAGACTAGCCACCTGTGGGAGCTGAACCAGGCGGACACCACACAGAAAATCCACGCTGAGTTCGAGCGTCAAATGACCCGGGAGCTAAGGAAGGCTCAGGCGAAGATGGAAACAAAGCGAAGAGGAGCGAGTGGTGATGGCAGTGGACAGCTGAACGGACTGAGGAAGGGCGCCAGCCAGGACGTGCTGGTCATGGTACACACATATCTCAGCCATTCGTGCTCTCGCCTCACTGCGCCACGCGGCAGGAAGGTCATGGGTTTGAGCCAGGGCACTGCTTTGCTCATCGGCAGAACCCGGAAGGGCAGACCAGTCACTGGGGCAAGGAATCCTCCCACTCAGCTCCTGTTAACCCTGCAGCCAAAGCCCTAACAGGTAGGATGGTCCTAACTGTACAAGCAGTGGGACAGTGATATCAATGACAAGCTGATTTTCGCTGGTTACCCCAATACACACTCTGGGGTCCCAAAGCGTTGGCTCTTGCCAACCTGCACCTAACATGGGCCAAGATTAGGTAAGCAGGATGTGTCCCTCCAGGGAGAGAGAGGTGCTGTTCGCTGGGTGTCGGACGCTGAACCGAGATCTCAGCCCACGTAAACACACAGTGACGTTGCTATGCTCTGTCCTCGCTTCAGAACATCTCCCCGACCCCCACCAACAAACCCCCCGCTCGCCCACAGGTCTCTGCCTCGCCCGTCACTGTCACTCAATGTTTGTCTTTACAGGAAGAAAAGAGGAAGAAAGGGAAGGAGAAAAGGAAGGAGAAAGGGAAGGAGAAAGGGAAGGAGAAAGGGGTGAAGGCAGAAGACTCAGAGTTGCGGACGGTAAAGGGGTGGCTGGTGCTCACTCTGTTGAAGACCTATCGAGGAATCCTGCTCAAGGCGGCCATCTTCAAACTGCTGCACGACGTCATGATCTTTATCAACCCCCAGCTCCTCAAGTACGTGCACTGTCTCCCCCCACCCTCCCCCCCCGCTTACCATCTCCCCACCTCTCCCCCGCCTCTGCTTCCCCTTGCCCTCACCCCCCGCTCCCCCTCTCCCCGCTCTCGCTCTGCTTCCCCTGCTCCCCCTCCCCCCGCTCTCGCTCCCCTTCCTCCGCTCCCCCCCCCGCTTACACACACAGACACGTTCACACACTCACACACACTCAAACTCTCAGAGACACACACACACGCTCGCTCACATCATGCGCACTCACTCACACCAACTCATGAACCATGTTGTGTGGTGTGAGTGTGACTGTGACTGTGTGGTGCCCAGGCTGTTAGTGTGAGGGGTGAGTGTGACTGTGCTGTGGGGCCAGGCTGTTGGTGTGAGGGGTGAGTGTGACTGTGCTGTGGTGCCCAGGCTGTTGGTGTGAGCGGTGAGTGTGACTGTGCTGTGGTGCCCAGGCTGTTGGTGTGAGGGGTGAGTGTGACTGTGCTGTGGTGCCCAGGCTGTTGGTGTGAGGGTGAGTGTGACTGTGCTGTGGTGCCCAGGCTGTTGGTGTGAGGGTGAGTGTGACTGTGCTGTGGTGCCCAGGCTGTTGGTGTGAGGGGTGAGTGTGACTGTGCTGTGGTGCCCAGGCTGTTGGTGTGAGGGGTGAGTGTGACTGTGCTGTGGTGCCCAGGCTGTTGGTGTGAGGGGTGAGTGTGACTGTGACTGTGCTGTGGTGCCCAGGCTGTTGGTGTGAGGGGTGAGTGTGACTGTGCTGTGGTGCCCAGGCTGTTGGTGTGAGGGGTGAGTGTGACTGTGCTGTGGTGCCCAGGCTGTTGGGTGAGGGGTGAGTGTGACTGTGCTGTGGTGCCCAGGCTGTTGGTGTGAGGGGTGAGTGTGACTGTGCTGTGGTGCCCAGGCTGTTGGTGTGAGGGGTGAGTGTGACTGTGCTGTGGTGCCCAGGCTGTTGGTGTGAGGGGTGAGTGTGACTGTGCTGTGGTGCCCAGGCTGTTGGTGAGGGGTGAGTGTGACTGTGCTGTGGTGCCCAGGCTGTTGGTGTGAGGGGTGAGTGTGACTGTGCTGTGGTGCCCAGGCTGTTGGTGACCTTCACTGAGGACAAGGCTCAGTACGAATGGAGAGGGTATCTGTACGCAGTGCTGCTGTTCGTCACAGCTGTGCTCCAGTCGCTGCTCCTCCAGCAATACTTCAGCAACTGCTTCCTGCTGGGAATGAGGGTCCGCACCGCCATCACAGCCGCTGTGTACAAGAAGGTAAAGAGAGAGAGAGAGAGAGAGGGAGGGAGAGAGGGAAAGAGAGGGAAGGAAGAAAATAATAATAAGCCTTGCAGTTGATATAGCATCATCGAGACAACAACTAGAACAACTTGCGTTTATATAGCGCCCCTCACGCAGTGTAGCGTCCCAGAGATGTCTCAAAGCACTTCACAGAATATACTGAAAAGTGCAGTGACAGTGTGTATTTTGTGGGTGAAACACAACAGCCATTTGCGCACAGCAGCGTCCCACACACAGCCGTGTAGAGTCAACAATTTTATTTGGGGGATTGTTGCCAGGACACCGGGAGAGAGAGAGAAACTCCCTTTTCCACCAGCGTCGCGGGATCTTTAACATCCACCTGAACAGGCAGACAGGACCTCGGTTTAACATCTCACCCCAAAAACGGCACCTCCCACAGCGCAACACCCCCCAGCACTGCATTGGAGCTTCAGCTTAGACTGTGATTCCAAGACTCAATGTGGGGGCTTGGACTCTCACAGGGGACATCCTTTGTTGTCCAGCGAGTAGCACTCTGGAGATATCCTTCCGAGGTAAAAGATGTTGGGTCACAATGTGAGGATGATTAGGATTATTTATAATTATTTATTATTCTGAGACCCCTGATAATGCCCCCACCCCCCCACCCCCAGGCTCTTGTTGTTTCCAACGCTGTCCGCAAGGAGTCCACAGTGGGTGAGATCGTCAACCTGATGTCTGCGGACGCCCAGCGCTTCAATGATGTCACCAACTTCATCCACCTGCTGTGGGGGGCCCCGCTGCAGATCATGGTGTCTTTGATCTTCCTGTGGCAGGAGCTGGGCCCCTCAGTGCTGGCCGGCATGGGGGTCATAGTGCTGCTCATCCCCATCAACGGCATGCTGGCCATCAGGACCAAGAGACTGCAGGTAACATGGCACGCTCGCTCGCCCGGCAGAGCACCCGCCTGCTCGCCAGCCCACCCACTGCCAGTCCAACAAATATCCTCGGGATACAATATATAGTTTGGGACACGACATGTCAAGCGACTGCCAGGATGATGGAAGGCAAACTGCATGGACCGTGATCTTCTTTCACCCGCAAATTCTTATGTTCTTAACATCACATGTCTGACTTCAGGATTTCTAAACACTCTGTTTTGACCAGACGCAGAACATGAAACGTAAAGATACCAGGATGAAATTAATGACCGAAATCCTCAATGGGATGAAGGTAATTGGGAGATGACCCCGCTGGAGCTCTCTAACCCCATTCCCTGCTCTCTCCCCATCGTGTCTGTGTTGGTGTAATATTTTGTGAGGTGCGTCACCAGGAAACTTGAGGCGTGACTGGCCTCAAACTCTCCTTATCGCTGAATGGATCGATTTCAGGATCCTCAGGCTCGTTTTCAAATCCCTTCATGCCCTGGCATCTCCCTACCTCGCCAACCTGCTTAATCCCCAACCCACAACTCGCTGCCTCTGCTCGACCTGCTTCAGGTTCTTGCATGTCCCTCGTGCCCTCCGTTCTACTATCGATGGCCACGCTTTTTACGCCCCCAAAACTCTGGAACACTCTTCCTCCACTATCCTTCCGCCTCGCCCCTTCTATCCCCATCTTCAAGTCGCGCCTCCCCCTCCCCCTGGCTCGGTGTTATGATCCAGCGCTGTCAAGGGCTCTGGGATGCTGCCCTGGGGAAGTTGCGCTGTGTAAATCTCAGACCATCACCTTCCACCCCTTATGCCTGGCTCAGATCCTGAAGTTCTACGCCTGGGAGCCGTCCTTTGAGGATCAGGTGCTCGGCATTCGCAATAAAGAGCTGCGGGCGATGAAGAAATCCTCCTACATCTTCTCCGTCTCCATCCTCCTCTTCACCTGCACCCCATTCTTGGTGAGTGCTGAGAGGGTTAAGCTGCCGGTAACCTGCGCTCGGAGCCAGACTGGCCACGGTGCCACGGCCTTGGTCTCATTCCTTGTGTTACTTACTAACCGCCAGTAGGCGGCGCCACTCTCCCGGGCAAGGGGGGGCTTTGAATAATAATCCCTGCATTTCATATAGTGTCTCAAAGCGCTTCACAGAATATACTGTACAGTCTAGTATCTGTGTATTTTGTGGGCGAAACACGGCAGCCAATTGCACAGACCAGTGTCCCACAAACAGTCGTGGATTGAATGACCAAATTATTATTTTTTGATGAAGAACTTATTACCCCCAGAAAAGTGATCTGCCAATCGACTAACAACCAGGTTCCTACTTACTACTTACAGAGGCGCGTGCAGTAAGGACACTTACCCAACATTTTGCACTGCCCGGGAATGGAACCTCTCGCTTGTGAGGCGAGTGCTCTAACCGCTGAGCTACAGGACTCCACATTCTTGCTCAATTTGCTGCCATTTTCTTTCAATTGATGAATTTTGATATGTAAAGTTTCAGTCTCTAGGATGGTTCCTAACTTTGTTTAACGTTTTGGGGGGGAATTTGATCAGCTGAATAAGGCCGGCCCCCAGCCTCAACGCAGCCCTAGGCTTCTGTATCAGTCATAGGAACAGGAAGAGGCCATTCAGCCCCTCGAGCCTGCTCCGCCATTCTATAAGATCATGGCTGATCTGTACCTCAACTCCAATTATCCGCCCTTGCCCCGTATCCCTTGGTCCCCTGACCTGACAGTCTCAGGGGCGGGGGCTTTAGTTCACATTGTCGCTCATGTTATCATTGGTCATGGAGCCGCTCACACTCTCCTCTTGTGCAGATCTCTCTGGTCAGCTTTGCCGTCTACGTGGCGGTGGACCCCCGGAATATTCTAGATGCTCAGAAGGCCTTCACCTCCATCGCACTGTTCAACATCCTGCGCTTCCCCATTGGCATGCTGCCTATGGTCATCTCCTCCATGGTGCAGGTAACAGCTCAATAATAATAATAATAATCCTTGCATTTGATATAGCGCTTTTCACGTCGGGAGGACGTCCCAAAGCGCTTCACAGAACACACTGTAAAGTGAATTGACTGTATATTTGTGGGCGAACGCGGCAGCCAATTGTGCACAGCAATGTCCCACAAACAGTCGTAGATTGAAAATGACCAATTTATTATTGTTTTTGTTTTTTGGAGGGACTATTACTAAAACAACAACAGCAACTTACATTTACACAGCCCCCTTCACGCGGGGCAGTGTCTCGGAGTGCTTAACGTAGGAGCACTTGTGATCTAAAAGAGGGGAAGGAGGGGGCAAAACGGAGAGATTGGGGAACAGATTGGGTGGAGTGTTTGAAAGCGCTGCCACCAATGGTGGAGTGGGAGGGGATGGACAAGAGAGAGGTTCTTGAAATTGATCTGTTCTGTGACAGGGATCCAATGGCTCAATAATAATAATAATAATAATCCTTACATTTGACATAGCGCCTCATCACATTGTTGAGATTTCTCAAAGCGCTTTACAGAACATATTGTAAAGTGGATTCACTGTATATTTTGTGGGTGAAACGCGGCAGCGAATTGCATACAGCAATGTCTCACAAACAGCCGTGGATTGAGTGATCAAATTAGCATTCGGAGGATTGTCAGCCCGGACACCGGGAGAGAGAAACTCCCTCTTCTTTTCAAATAGAACAATGGGATCTTTAACATCCACCTGAACAGGCAGACGGGACCTCAGTTTAATGTCTCATCTGAAGGCACCTCTGACAATGCAACACCCCCCAGAGCTGCATTGGAGCATCAGTTTAGACTGTGTGATTTCAAGTCCCGACATAGGGTTTGAACCCATAACCTTCTGATTCAGAGCCGGGCTGACACATACTGAGCCGGGCTGACACACACTGAGCCGGGCTGACACATACTGAGCCGGGCTGACACACACTGAGCCGGGCTGACACACACTGAGCCGGGCTGACACATACTGAGCCGGGCTGACACACACTGAGCCGGGCTGACACACACTGAGCCGTGACACACACTGAGCCGGCTGACACACGCTGAGCCGGGCTGACACACGCTGAGCCGGGCTGACACACACTGAGCCGGGCTGACACACACTGAGCCGGGCTGACACCACACTGAGCCCGGCTGACACACACTGAGCCGGGCTGACACACGCATGAGCCGGCTGACACATACTGAGCCGGGCTGACACACACTGAGCCGGGCTGACACACACTGAGCCGGGCTGACACATACTGAGCCGGGCTGACACACAGTGAGTGGGGCTGACACACACTGAGCCGGGCTGACACACACTGAGCCGGGCTGACACACACTGACACACACTGAGCCGGGTTGACACACACTGAGCCGGGCTGACACTCACTGAGCCGGGCTGACACACACTGAGCCGGGCTGACACACACACCCTCCCACGGAGCCCTGAGTTCGGTGGTTCTCCGCCCGGGGAGGGGGTGGCGGTGCTGACTGGAGAGGGGAAGGGCTGTCTGGCTGTTTGATGCTCTGCCCGGTTTCTCCCTCAGGCCAATGTCTCCTGCAAGCGACTGGAGAAGTTCCTCTCAGGCAAGGACGCGGACAACTCTGCAATCCTTCGGGACCCCAGCCGCGGTACGTCACCGTGGGTACACCAACATCACCCCCTGGGGAGCGACCCCCAGCACAGACACCATGGGGGGAGAGAGAGAGAGAGTGGGGAATGGGGTTAGAGTAGAGGGCTCCAGTGGGGGAGCGAACACCAGCACAGACACGATGGGGAGAGAGAGAGAGAGAGCAGGGAATGGGGTTAGAGTACAGAGCTCCAGTGGGGGAGCGATCCCCAGCACAGACACGATGGGGAGTGACTTGTAACCGTTTGTTTTGTGTAGATGCGGCAATCAGCCTGACAGAAGCCACCTTCACCTGGGCCATTGGTGAGGAGCCGGCCGTCAGAGAGTGAGTCCTGGGATGTGAGCTGACTGACAACACGGGGCCGAGGGTGGTAGGGGTTTTGGGGTCCGGGAATGGGGACGACTCAATTATGTGAACTACCAGGGGGTTTGTGGTTGGAAATTAATATGGTGTGGGAATGGCCGGTGCGGTGGGGCGGGGGCACGGTTGTGAGAGTGGGCTTCTGTCTCCCTATCCCGCCATCTCCCATGCTTCCCCCCCTCCGCCCCCTGCAATGTCAGCCTGTCTCTCTGACCCCCCCCCCCGTCTCCCCCCTCTCCCCCACAGTGTCAACCTGGAGATCCGCCCAGGGAGCCTGGTGGCTGTGGTGGGGCCGGTCGGCTGTGGGAAGTCTTCACTGGTGTCGGCCATCCTGGGCGAGATGGAGAACATCAGTGGCTTCATCAACATCAAGGTACAGAGAGTGAGAGAGATAGGGGTTGGGGGGAGAAGGGAGAGAGAGGGACAGGGAGAGAGGGGTGTTAGAGAGTGAAGATGGGGGAGGTGGAGAGAGAGAGGGGGGAGGGAGAGAAGAGATGAAGGGGGTGAGGGAGAGAGCGAGAGTGGGAGGTGTGATCGGGGCGTGTGAGGGGTGGGGGGGGTGAGGTGTGAGGGCAGTGTGTGTTGAGTTACTGACCCTCTCCCCCAGGGCTCAGTGGCCTATGGGCCCCAGCAGTCAGTGTGAGGTGTGTGTGAGGGGTTGTGTGTGGATGGGGGTGGGGGTGGAAACCTGTGCTATGTGTGGTGTTACTGACGCTCTCCACCGCCCCCACCCCCCCCCAGGGCTCAGTGGCTTACGTGCCCCAGCAGGCCTGGGTTCTCAACGACACTCTGCGTGGGAACGTTCTGTTTGGGAAGGAGCTGGAGGAGGCTCGGTACCAGAAGGTGCTGGAGGCCTGTGCCCTGCTCCCCGACCTGGACCTGCTACCGGGCGGTGACCAGACCGAGATCGGAGAGAAGGTATCAGTAGGAGGAGGGTGGGGGGAGACTCTTCACTCCTCACTCTGGACAGGAGGAGCCAGACCCTCGTTCTCACCTTTAAAGCCCTCCACAGCCTTGCTCTTCCCTACCTCTGTGACCTACTAATAACGTAACAACCTGGTCTCCTTCTGCTCCGCGGGCTCAGGCCTGCTTCATGTCCCCCGCTTTGCCCGCCCTACTATCCCTGGTCAGGTCTTCAGCCTCTTTCCTCCACCCTCTGAAACTCCATCTGGAGCCCCTCCGCCTCACCCCTTCCCTTGCCTCCTTCAAGGACTGTCTTAAGACCCTCCTCTTTGATCGTGCCTTCGGTCATCTTCCCTCCTCCATCCCTCTTGCCCTCCACCCCTCCTGATCCCAACCCCCAGTTTGGGTGCAAACTCTTAACTGTGCAGCGCCTTGGGACGTCCTTGGGACTGAGTGACACAGTGACAGAGTGAGCAGTGAGGGAGTGAGTGACAATGACAATGGCTGTGTTGCAGGGTATTAATCTGAGTGGAGGACAGAAGCAGAGGGTCAGCCTGGCCAGAGCAGTCTACAGCATGGCCGACATCATCATCCTGGACGACCCGCTCTCCGCAGTGGACGCTCACGTTGGCAAACACATCTTCAACCGTGTGATCGGGCCCAGAGGACTCCTGCAGCACAGAGTGAGTGGGTTAGGGCCACACTGCCCATCAGTCTGTTCAACCAATCCTGTAGCTCAGTGGTTAGAGCACTCGCCTCGCAAGCGAGAGGACCCGGGTGAAACGTTGAGCAAGTTTCCTTACTCCACACGCCTCTGTTTACCAGCAGTAAGTAGGAACCCGGTTGTTAGTCGATTGACGGATCACTTTTCTGGGGTAATACTTCCTTCCAAAAAAAAATCCCATAATGCTATTCGAAAAGAGAAAGGAGTTTCTCTCTCCCGGTGTCCGGGCTGACAATCCTCCGAATGATAATTTGGTCACTCAATCCACGACTGTTTGTGGGACGCTGCTGTACGCCATTGACTGCCATGTTTCACCCACAAAATATACAGTCAATTCACTTCACAGTATATCCTGTGAAGCGCTTTGAGACGTCTCGAAGACATGATCAGGAGCTACAGCAAATGCAAGGATTGTTATTATTATTATTATTATTATCCATCCAACCAACCAATCCTGATCTTCCCCTCGTGGACTGGTGGTAAATTCAGTGGTAAATGCCGCCCTCTTCTGACACCCCCCGATTACTGACCCCCAGTGACTGACTGACCCCCAGTGACTGACTGACCCCCAGTGCTGACCGCTGGCTGTTGGTGTTACAGACACGGGTGCTGGTGACGCATGGCTTGACCTTCCTGCCACATGTTGACCAGATTGTGGTGCTGGAGGCTGGGGCTGTGTCTGAAGTCGGCACATTCGCAGCACTCAGGGTCAGCCACGGGGCCTTTGCCAACTTCCTGGTCACCTACAGCGGGCAGAGCAGCTCCGAGGAGGGTGAGGCCACAGGTCAGTATCACTCGCACTCACTCGCACTCGCTCACACCCACTCGCACCCACTCACACCCATGTGCGACCCACTCCACACTCGTTCACACCTACTCAGATCTGCTTACACCCATTCACACTCGCTCAGTCAGTGTGTGATTGGTTCACAGTCAGTGCAGTGACAGCAGATGATGTGCTGATGGTTGACGACCAGGAGTCACAGATGGACGAATACCCTGATGACGTAGTGACGGCAACGCTTAAACGGGAGAACAGTCAGCGGGCACGTCAGTGGAACAGACAGGGCAGGTCAGGACGCCTCACCATCTCTACCCCCATATCTCACCATCTCCCCCACCCCTCTGGGTCTCTCCATCTTTCTACCCACCTTGTGTCACCTCCCTCCCCACCCCTCCACCCTGATCTCACAGAGTGGGGCTGTTTCTCAGGGGCTTCACTACCTTCAATGTTGTTTTCTCGTCTCTTCAGTAAGAACAAAGCCGGCACATTGCTGAGGAACTCTGTGAGGAGCAACATGTCTGCGAGAGCGGACGGCAGATCCGCCCAGGTGGTGAAGGGGCAGCGACTGATCGAGAAGGAGACCATGGAAACAGGCCAGGTACCGGCTGCCCTCTGACCTCTGAAACAAAGTTTGCTCTTAAACAAGCGGCTTGATTAAGTGGCCGCCTTCTGTGTTGTAAATTGCTATGGTTTCTCATGGTTATTTTTCTTTTTCTTACCTGTATGCCTATTTGGTGTGTGTATTTGACATGTGTGTGTGGTGTCTATGTGTGGTGTGTGTGTGTATGCTGTGTATGTGTGTGGTGTCTATATGTGTGCTGTGTGTGTGATGTGTGATTGCTGTGTGGTGCGTGTTTCCTGTGTGGCGTATGATTGCCGTGTGGCGTGTGATTGCCGAGTGGTGTGTATGTGTGGTGTATGTGTGTGATTGGCACATGGTGTGTGGTTGCCGTGTGGCGTATGATTGGCGTGTGCGTGTACAGGTGAGGTTTGCAGTATACCTGCAGTACCTGCGGTCTGTGGGCTGGCTGTTCTGTCTGCTCATTTCACTGATGTACGTAGCTCAGAATGTGGCTGCCATCGGCCAGAACCTGTGGCTCAGCGACTGGACCAACGATGCCATCACCTACTTCAACCAGACCTACCCCACTACCAAGCGGGACCAGCGAATCGCCGTCTTTGGAGCGCTGGGCATTGCTCAGGGTAAGGGGAGTGGGGAAGGGGGAGTGAGGTGGCAGGAGGAATGTGTCAACCCTCCCTCACACACACACACACACACACACACACACAAACAACCTCCCCCGAAACTCTGCAGCACTCTCCCTCTATCCCTCCGCCTTCCCCCTTCCTCCCCATCTTCAGTCCATGAGGTTGTCACGCCTTCATCACCTCCCGACTCGACTTCTCAAATGGCCTCCTCGACGGTCTCCCCAGCTCCACCATCCACAAGATTCAGCTGATCGTAAACTCTGCCACCAGCATACTGACCTGTAATAAACTCTGTACCCCTTTACACCAGTTCTAGCACAGGCTCCCTGTAGTCAAACAGATCGATATCAAGATCCTCACACTAATTTTCAAATCTACCTCTCTGACCCGATTACCCCCAACCCACTACCCGGTGCCTCTGCTTCACTGGCTCTGGCCTCCTGCATGTCCCTCGTGCCCTCTGTTCCACCATCAGTAGCCAAGCTTACAGCCACTACTCCCCGAAACTCAGGAACACTTTTCCTCTATCCTTCAGCCTTGCCCCCTCCTTCCCCATTGTTTTCCTTCAAAATATACAGTCAATTCACTTTGCGGTATACTCTGTGAAGCGCTTTGAGACATCTGGAAAACGTGATAAGGCAAATGCAAGGATTATCGCTATCTTCAGGTGAAGACTTTCCTCTTTGACCGTGACAACGGTCACCTCCCCCAGCTCAGTATCATGCTCCGCCACTGTCAAGTGCTCTGGGACACCACCCTGCGTGAGGGGTGCTGTGTAAATGCAAGTTGTTGTCGTCGTCGAGGGGTCAAGGAGCGATTGGTAGGTGGGGGGCAGGATTTGGAGTGAGTTTAAGTCAATTCCTGGTTGATGTTCTCTCTCTCCCACCCACCCCCCCAGGTGTCTTCGTGTTCCTGGCAGCGTTCTTCATGACAATAGCGACCATCGCAGCCTCTAGATCCCTGCACGCTTCCTTGCTCCAGAACATTCTACGGGCACCCATGGTTTTCTTCGATACCACGCCCACCGGGAGGATCATCAACCGGTTCGCCAAGGTAACCCTGACTCCTCGTGACCTCAAGATAAATCGCCGATTCACCTCCTGGCAGTTTGTGTGACGTCGCTTTGCCTAATACACACTCACTACACAAACGGCCATTATCTTAATAATGTTAAATAATCCTTTACATCTGCGACAGCGCCTTATCATGTCATCAAAACGTCTCTAAGTGCTTCACAGGATTCAATGTAAATTGTAGTGGTTAGAACACTCGCCTCGCAAGCGAGAGGATCTGGGTTTAATTCCCGGGCAGGGCGAAAAGTTGGGCAAGTTTCCTTACTCCACACGCCTCTGTTTACCAGCAGTGAATAGGAACCCGGTTGTTAGTTGACTGACAGATCCTTTTCCGGGAGTGATAATCCCTTCAAAAAATAATAATAATAATGTGATCACTCAACCCACGACTGGTTGTGCGACACTGCTGTGCACAATTGGCTTCGGCCTTGCCCCTTCCTTCCCCATTGTTTCACCCACAAAGTATACAGTCAATTCCCTTTACAGTGTATTCTGTGAAGAGCTTTGAGACGTCTTGAAGACATGAAAAGGCTCTATATCAAATGCAAGGATTATTATTATATTAACAAAGCCATTTTTGTGATCTCAGGACATTTACACGATTGATGAGGTGATCGGAATGTCCTTCCGCTCCTGGTTGTCCTGTATGTTTGGCGTCCTGAGCACGGTGTTCGTGATCTGCCTTGCCACTCCGTACTTCACAGCCATTGTTGTCCCTCTCGCCGTATTTTATTACTTCATACAGGTACCAGCCAGCGGGAGAGAGAGCACTGATAGAGCCTAGAACCCCAGTGGGGAGCCAAAACCAGCACAGACACGATGGGGAGAGAGAGAGCAGAGAATGGGGAGAGAGCAGGGAATGGGGTTAGAGTAGAGAGCGCCAGTAGGGGAGCGAACCCCAGCACAGACATGATGGGGAGAGAGAGAGAGAGAGAGAGAGAGAGCAGGGAATGGGGTTAGAGTAGAGAGCTCCAGTGGGGGAGCGAGCCCCAGCACAGACACGATGGGGAGAGAGAGAGCAGGGATTGACATAGAGTGTACAGCACAGCACAAAAATGGGACAGTGTTTTTACTCCACGAGTCAGATTGGAGGGGAGCGGAGAGCGAGCCTCTGTGCTGTAAGCCTCAGCGAGAAGCTGCTTGTGTGTATTCTCTCTTTGTGCGTGTAGTTCGATCGCTGTAACACCAAGCTTTCCCGTTGCAGCGTTTCTATGTGTGTACCTCGCGGCAGCTGAGGCGTCTGGACTCTGTCACAAGGTCTCCCATCTACTCCCACTTTGGGGAGACAGTGGCCGGGCTGTCCGTGATCCGTGCCTATGGTCATCAGCAACGCTTCCTCAAACACAATGAAACCATCCTGGATAAAAATCAGAAGTGTGTTTATCCCTGGATTATCTCCAACAGGTAAGTGTGCTCCTGTACTTCATGAGTCAATATTACATCACTTCCTTTGTCTGTATCATATCACTTCCTGTTTCCATCTGACGTGCCGCCTTCTGTCATTGTTGCATCACTTACTGTATCACTGTTACTTGACTTCCTGTTTTGATCTGATCACTGTGCACACAGATGGCTGGCGATCCGGCTGGAATTGGTTGGGAATCTGGTGGTGTTCTTCTCCGCACTGTTTGCCGTCATCGCCAGAGACAAGCTGGACAGTGGGCTGGTGGGGCTCTCCATCTCCTACGCACTGAATGTGAGTCCACAAAGGGCGTGCGGGTGAGGGACGTGTGGATATGAGGCGTGTGGCTATGAGTGGGAGGGGCTGGCAGGGGAGGGGTTGCGGAGGGTGGGCTGGCAGTGGAGGGTGTGGTCACTGAGCCCTCACGTGTGATTGTGTTGGCATCAGGTGACACAGGTCCTGAACTGGCTGGTCAGACAGACTGCGGAGCTGGAGACCAACATTGTGTCTGTGGAGAGAGTGTCGGAGTACACTAGGATGCAGAATGAGGTACACAGAGAACCGGGAGGGGCTCTACGAGGGTATGTCAGTGCTCCCTCTCCCCCTTCCGCACATCCCCATCATGCCCACTTCTTCCCCCCTCTTCCTCTTCTCTCGCTCCCCTTCCCCCAGTGTTGCCTGACGGTGTGTTTGCGTGTTGTCTGACGGTGTGTTTGCATGTTGCAGGGGGCCTGGGTGTCAGACTGTCGGCCTCCCCAGGGTTGGCCGGTGGAGGGGAGGATCCAGTTTGTTGACTATAAGGCTCGTTACCGTCCTGAACTAGAGCTCGTTCTTCACGGCCTGAGCAGTTCCATCGCCAGCAACGAGAAGGTAATAGCGTGTGAGTGTGAGAGGGATGGGTGTAAGTGTGAGTGACTTTAAACTCCGAGTCCAGGCTGCGCTCCAGCACTGGGGGAAAGCACCACATTGTCAGAGGTGCCGTCCTTTGGATGAGATGTTAAACCGAGTCCCAGTCTGTGCTCTGTTCAGGTGGATGTTAAAGATCCCGCGGCGCTATTCACATTCACCAGCCAACACCTGGCCAACAACCCCAGATACAGACAGTCACTTCTTGGCTGTGTGCAAATTCGCTTTAGCCAATAAAATTCAGTCACTACACCCGACAGGAATGAGCTTCATTATTTGTCATCATGATAAAAGTTCAATCATCAGTTCTCTTCGTAAATGTTCCTGGTGCAAAAGTTATTCCTCTAACTGTTTGTTTGTGTGTGTGTTTCTGTGTGTGTATGTGTTTGTGTTGTGTGTGTATGTGTGTATGGTGTATGTCTGTGTGTATGTATGAATGGTATATGTATGTGTGTATCTGGTGTGTGTATGTATGAGTCTGGTGTGTGTGTGTATATGATGCATATATTGTGTGTGTATATATGGCGTGTGCGTGTGTATATGTTTATGTATATAGCGGGTGCGTGTGTATACAGTGGAGTCCTGTAGCTCAGTGGTTAGAGCACTCGCTTTGCAAGTGAGAGACCTGAGTTCAATTCCAGGCAGAGGGCCAAACCTTGGGCAAGTTTCCTTACTCCACACAGAGCCTAATAATAGTCCCTCCAAAACCAAAAACAATAATAAATTGGTCATTTTCAATCTACGACTGTTTGTGGGACATTGCTGTGCGCAATTGGCTGCCGCGTTCGCCCACAAATATACAGTCAATTCACTTTACAGTGTGTTCTGTGAAGCGCTTTGGGACGTCCTCCCGATGTGAAAAGCGCTATATCAAATGCAAGGATTATTATTATTATTATATTGTGTGTGTTTAAGCGCTCTGAGATGCCGCCCGGCATGGAGGGCGCTATATAAATCCAAGTTGTTGTTGTTGTTGTGTATGGCATGTGGTGTGTATAGTAATAATTATGTGTATGTTCAGATTGGGATTGTGGGCAGGACGGGCGCTGGGAAGTCCTCGCTGACCAATTGCCTTTTCCGTATTATCGAGTCCGCGGGCGGCCAGATCCTGATTGATGGGCTGGACATCGCCACCATTGGCTTACACGATCTCAGGCACAGACTCACAATCATCCCCCAGGTGGGTGTTTGTGTGGGGGGCGTATATGTCGGGGTGGGTGTGTGTATGGGGGCAGAAGCGGGGTGGAGGGGGTGTGTGTATGGGGGGGAGTGGTGTATGGGGGGAGTGCGGGGGCTGTATATGGGGGTGGAAGCGGGGTGGGGGGGTGTGTATGGGAGGGAGCGGGGTGGGGGGTGTGTATGGGGGGGAGTGGGAGGGGTGTTTGCATCGGGTGTGTGAACCTTAAGAGAGGTTTGTCATTGGATTGAAAATCGATACTTTCGGCCTCAAAGACAGTACAACAAAAAGATATGAGTTTAGTTTAGCAAAAAGGAGCATTTCAGGGCAGAAACCAGGAAGTGTTGCTTTACGCAGCGGGGAATTAGCGAATGAGACAGTCTCCAGGAAGTGGGGCTGAGGCTGGGACACGGGAGCCCTCGTGTCGGGGCTGTCTAACGGCTTTTGTGTTGCTCTGTCTCTCTGTCTTTCCCTCTCTGTCTCTCTCTCTCCCTCCCTCCCTCCCTCTCCCTCTCTCCCTCCCTCTCCCTCTCTCCCTCCCTCCCTCCCTCTCCCTCTCTCCCTCCCTCTCCCTCCCTCTCTCTCTCCCTCCCTCTCCCTCTCTGTCTCCCTCTCTCTCTCTCCCTCTCCCTCCCTCTCTCCCTCCCTCCCTCTCCCTCTCTCTCTCCTCCCTCTCCCTCCCTCCCTCTCCCTCTCTCCCTCCCTCTCCCTCCCTCCCTCTCCCCTTTCTCCCTCCCTCCTCTCTCTCTCTCTCCCTCCCTCTCTCCCTCCCTCTCCCTCTCTCCCTCTCTCTCTCTCCCTCCCTCTCCCTCCCTCCCTCCCTCTCCCTCTCTCCTCTCTCTCCCTCTCCCTCTCTCCCTCTCTCCCTCTCCCTCTCTCCCTCTCCTCTCTCCCTCTCCCTCCCTCTCCCTCTCCCTCTCTCCCTCCCTCCCTCCCTCTCTCTAGGACCCGGTGCTGTTCTCTGGCTCACTCAGGATGAACCTTGACCCCTTTGAGCGTTATGGGGACCAGCAAGTGTGGCAGGCGCTGGAGCTCGCTCACCTCAAACAGTATGTCAGCACCTTACCCTCCCAGCTCCAACACCAGGTCAGCGAGAGCGGAGAGAACCTCAGGTACAGGACCCCCAGCCCCACCCCCCGGTGAGAGCCGCCCCCCCCCACCCTGAGACCCTGCCCTGGAGAATAATAATAATCCTTGCATTTGATATAACGCCTTATCACGTCTTCGAGAGGACTCAAAGCTCTTCACAGAATGTACTGTAAAGTGAATTGACTGTATATTTGTGGCCAAAACACAGCAGCCAATTGCGCACAGCAATGTCCACAAACAGTTGTGGATTAAATGACCAAATTATTATTATTTTTTGAAGGGATTATTACCCTCATAAATCAATCAACCCATCGACTAACAACCGGGTTCCTACTTCCTCCTAAGTAAACAGATACGCGTGGAGTGAGGAAACTTGCCCAACGTTTTGTCTTTCCTGGGCATCGAAACCAGGTCCTCGCACTTGTGAGGCGAGTGCTCTAACCTCTGAGCCACAGGACTCCCTGTGGGAAAATGTGGCAGGTGGTGTGCACACAGCAGTACACAGACAGCCATGGAGCCATTTGGGAGATATGAAAACAAGAACAGAAGCCGCTGGGAACGCTCAGCAGGTCAGGCAGCATCTATGGAGAAAGTAGTGAGTCAACGTTTCAGGTCCACGACTCTGTCAGTTCGGAGTGCTGACCTGCTGAGTGTTCCCAGCGACTTCTCTTTTTGTTTTCAGATTTCCAGCCTCTGCAGTGTTTTGAGTTTTGATTGTTGGTGAGAACACCGGAGAGAGAGAGAGAGAGAAATTCCCTTCTCTTTTCGAATAGCGTCACAGGAAGCTTTAACGTCCACCTGAACAAGCAGTTCCCCTCCCTCCCGCGTTCCCCGTGGAGAATCCCCCAGAGATGCTGGTGGTGATGACAGGACCCTCACTAATGCAGGGTATGGTCTCTCCGCAGTGTGGGGCAGCGCCAGCTGCTGTGTCTCGCCCGCGCCCTCCTCCGCAAATCCCGTATCCTGATCCTGGACGAGGCCACGGCCGCTGTGGACCTGGAGACGGACAATCTCATTCAGATAACTATCCGGACCGAGTTTGCCGACTGCACCGTGCTCACCATCGCACATCGACTGCACACCATCATGGACAGCACCAGGTACCAGCTCAGCCCACTGCCAGCCCTGCCCTGCCAAATACCAGCGCTGCCCAGCCCACTACCAGCGCTGCCCAGCCCACTGCTAGCCCTGCCCAGCCCACTGCTAGCCCTGCCCAGCCCACTGCTAGCCCTGCCCAGCCAACTACCAGCCCTGCGCAGCTCACTACCAGCCCTGCCCAGCCAACTACTAGCCCTGCCCACTACCAGCCCTGCCCAGCCAACTACCAGCCCTGCCCACTACCAGCCCTGCCCAGCCAAATACCAGCGCTGCCCAGCCCACTGCCAGCCCTGCCCACTACCAGCGCTGCCCAGCCCACTGCTAGCCCTGCCCAGCCAACTACCAGCCCTGCCCAGCCCACACTGCCAGCCCTGCCCACCACCAGCCCTGCCCAGCCAACTACCAGCCCTGCCCAGCCAACTACTAGCTCTGCCCACTACCAGCCCTGCCCATCCGACACACAGGGAGATAAGAGAGTCACAGGGAAGGGGTAGGGGAGGGTAGAGAAAGAGGGAGGGAGACGCACACACATGGGGACAGAGAGACACTGGGTGGGGATGGATAGAGGGAGGAAGGGAGACACTGGGGAGAGAGAGATGGCGAGTGTTGACAACGTTGGGTGCTGATATCATTGGTGGTTTTGGTGATGTTTCAGGGTGATGGTGCTGGACGCTGGCATGATCGTTGAGTTTGACTCCCCCGAGGCTCTGCTCCAGCAAAGAAGCCATTTCTACCGTATGGTGTGTGACGCGGGACTGATGTCGCAGGAGAACACAGCGCTGTGACACCGGGGCCAACAGAGGCTGCCCATTGGCAGCTCTTACTTCCCCCCACCCCAACAACCCTCACTCCCAGAGACTGACAGTGAGGAGGGATGGGGAGGTGTTGGGTTTGAGCGGCTGCTGGTCGGTCACAGAGCTGGTGGTTACACCTGTGAGGTGATGAAGAGGCTCTGAGCGGCCAGTGTGGACGGTGATGTTCTGATGTCTTGCTGCAGTGCCTGGCTGGACTCAGGAGGAACAATACTGGTCTTGAGGGAGTGCCTCACTACCAGCCTGGCCGGGAGCACGCAGGGCCTGGCAATGCTGTATGTCTAATAAATAATAATAATTCTTGCATTTGAGATGTCTCAAAGAACTTCACAGGATACACTGTAAAGGGAAGTGACTGTGTATTTTGTGGGCGAAACGCAGCAGCCAATTGGGCACAGCAGCGTCCCACAAACATTGAGCAACCAATTTTATTGGGGGTTGTTGGCCAGGACACTGGGGGAGAGAGAGAGAGAAACTCCCTTCTGTTTTTGAATAGAATCGCGGTATCTCTAACACCCACCTGAATAGGCAAACGGGGCCTCGGTTTAACATCTCATTTGAAGGACGGCACCTCCGACAATGTAACACCCCCCACCTCCCCGGCACTGTAATGGAATGTCAGCTTAGACTGTGTGATGCCAAGTCCCGATGTGGGTCTTGAACCCACAACCTTTTGACTCAAAGGCGAGATCAGGCTGAGCCAGGCTGATACACAACAATAAAAGAGCAATGTCTTGAGGATTGGCTCCAGTCTTGACTGAATGATGGGGAGGAGATGTATGAGGCTGGGTTTGTGCCCGAGGCTCCAGCCCACAATCAAACTGACACGACCCACACTCGTCACATGAGTTCTTGCTGCAAGACTCGAGGCTTTGCTGCTGACAGACCAGTGTCCTGCAAATCCCCAACCCCCCCCCACCTGTTAACCCTTGTTCCCTCTGGGTGACTGAATCCATCCTGAGCCCCAGGTGAGAGCGAGCAAGCGCGGGAGCTGCACACAGGAGACAGAGGCGGCCACGATTCAGAGCAACACATCCTTTATTTACAAGTGAGAAAAGATCCCGACCGAGGCTGGTCTTGGCCCAGCAACTCCAACCCATGATTTAGCTGCCGACACAGGCTTGGGACGGGCCGGGTTGCTGGAGGGTTGGGGTAAGTGAAAGACAGAGGGAGGTCGGAGGGTTAGTGACCACCCCCCCATAAGATGACAGATTGGCTGGTGACGTCCCAAGGCAGTGGGCCAGCCAGTGAGAAGGTTAGTCCCTGGGGAAGTCGCTCTGTGGGTAACACTGAGAATCATAGCCCCCATTTGATCAAATTCAGCGTCTCGGCACCTCATCATTAGGAGGCGATGATTCCTGCCGGAGGCACTGAGGCTCGCACACTCACTAGTGTAAAATACAAATACTAATCGTATAAAACTCACCAACACACCCCTCCCAGCCCTCCCCTCATGTCTCGGCTGCACCCAAGCACCTCCCCTGCACCCCCCCACACGAGGAGGTTCGCTATTTGTTTTGCAAGTTTAAGATTTTCCACCTCATCCCAACTGCCCTCCAGCCTGACTTTAATTGGCTGCAGCCGTTCCTGTGGTTATTTTGAACCAGGATTTTATTTAAAAAAACATTATATAGAGACGTCACGGGGAGAAGGGGGGGACAAAGTAGATTTAAAAATGTTGGTGCGTTAAAACAAAACATCTCAGGATCCCCTCTCCCCACCGCCCCCCCCACCCGCACCACTAGACGGTCACAGATTGGCCTGTGGTCAACCTCTGCTCCCCCTCCCCCCAGTTTCCTGCCAGAGGAAGGGAAGTTAAAGCAATGCCTCATTTCGGCTTTGCTTTAAGTTTTACATCAAAACTCTGCAGAGAGCCTCGGTGTTGAGGGTAGTGACGTAAGTTGGCCATTTTGAGTAAAGCGAGGTCCCACAGAGACCCCTTTCCCACCCCCATAAACCCTCTCAGCCGAATACAAACCTTACCCTCTCCTTTTTTTTAAAAAAGTTTTTTAACACAATAACGTTCCCCTGAAACAAACGTCCACAAAGAAGGCGATGCCCGGGTTCAGAGGAAGGAGAAGCCTTTCCTGCTGGGTCCCCATCGATGGTCCTTTTGTTTGCAGCTGCCCTGATAACAGGGATTAACCCCCACCTCATTCCCCCCTCCCCAAGCGGCTCACGTGTACTCAGTTTTCCTGATGTAGTTGGCGGGTACGTAGCCCCTCCGGCCGCTGGCCTCGGCCAGCCACCACTCCCGGTTACCGTTGCTGTCGTGAAAGCGCAGGATGTGCACCCGCTGTTGGCTCCTCAGCGACAGCTCATTATAGCAGCGAGCGCGGAAATCATACAGGGCGTAGTAAACCTGCAACAGGGACAGAGAGCACCGTCACCGGGGGAGAGAGAGAGACAGACGGCAACCCCACCCTGGGCTGTGCCATTGAGATTGTGTGACCAGGGCAGCGGTGCAGCATGAGGACCAGGGAGAGCCCAGAGGCTGCCAACCTGCGCCTAATACTGTCCGTAATTGGGTCAGCAGGAGGCATCCCGCCCTGGAGACAGAGAGAGAGAGAGAGCGCATTGCATTCCAACAACCAATCTCTAAGATTTCCATGTATAGGTGGGATACATGCAATTCTCAGTTTGTTCTGGAGACTCTCAACAACAGTGACGGGTTTCGTGTGGGTCAGACACGCGGCTGGTCACGGTGACGGGTTTCCGTGTGGGTCAGACACGCGGCTGGTCACGGTGACTGGTTTCTGTGTGTGACAGACACCCGGCCGGTCACGGTGACTGGTTTCTGTGTGTGACAGACACCCGGCCGGTCACGGGTTTCTGTGTGTGACAGACACCCGGCTGGGCATNAAAAAGCCTCTTGACAGAGCGGGCAGGCGCTGGGCCAGGCCATTAGTTCTGCTGAGCTCCGGCCTGTGAACAGGTGACAAGAAGCCTGGACTCCGCCAGACAACCAGGGCCGGTACAATAGAAATACCTTTGTATAATGCACCAGAGCCTATGGAATTGTATGTGTGTGTCTGTGTGTGACCCCCAAACTGGCTCCCTGCTGGAGATAACAGGGATTAACCCCCACCTCATTCCCCCCGCTCTCCACTCACCTGCTGCTTGGGGTCCCGACCGTCACTCTCCAGATAATCCTCCTGTGAAGCTGCCCTGCGCAGCCCCCTGGTTTTGCCCGCACCCTGTGCCCGGTGGGGGAGTGAGGGCTCGCTGGGGGAGCAGCGCCGGGCCGGCATGGTGCAGTAGGTCACCAGCGAGTCCGACACGTTGGACCTCACGTAGGGCTCACCCGGTGCCGGCCTCCGCGGGGGGGAGGCAGGAGCTTCTGGAAGGTTCCGTCGCTGAGGGGAGGGGGCCCTCGTATCCGCGGTGGGGCCGGGTTCGCTGGGGTTGGGGGTACTGTTGCTGTTGCCCTGTGGACGCTGTGCCGGGCTGGGGCTGGGGCTCGGAGCCGGCTGCTGGGAGCTGCTGTTCTGCTGGGAGATGATGGGGGAGGAGCCGCCGTAACCGGACTCGTTGGAGGAATGGCTGCCGACCGAGATGTCAGACTGGCTCCGGCGAGGGCTGTACGGCTTCAGGAACGAGCTGTACACAAAGCCCTTCATCACTGTGAGGGCAAGAGAGAGAGAGAGAGAGGTGAGGGCTACTCAACCCAGTGACACCCGACCCCAATACCCTGGCCCCCCAGTACTCTACGCCCCCCCATACCCTGGCCCCCCAATAAAATAATAATCCCTCCAAAACCAAAAACAATAATAAATTGATTATTTTCAATCTACGACTGTTTGTGGGACATTGCTGTGCGCAATTGGCTGCCGCGTTCGCCCACAAATATACAGTCAATTCACTTTACAGTGTGTTCTGTGAAGCGCTTTGGGACGTCCTCCCGACGTGAAAGGCGCTATATCAAATGCAAGGATTATTATTATTATTATCCCGTGCCCCCCAGTACCCCATCCAGCCAAGAAGCTCCCCCAACCCCCCTACCACCCCTCCCGCGCTCCTCAGTGACAAGCTGAGGCCTGACCTCCGTTGTCTACGAGCCAGCGGCTCTGGCTGCCCATGGGGTCCTGCAGTTTGATGACAGCAACAAGGTCGCCCTCCTGTAGGGTCACGTCCAGCTCCTGGGCAGCGTTGAAGTTACGATTGGCCTGGTACAGCTTCTCCGGCTCGAACCGCGCCAGTAGCCCTGCCCTCTGCTCCTCCGTCTGCATCGGCTGTGCCGCCTGCCAGACACCAGGTACATGTCAAACACCCCCCCCAGAGACACCGTCACACCTCAAACACCCCCCACTCCACCCCCACAGAGACACCGTCACACCTCAAACACCCCCCACCCACCCCCACAGAGACACCATCACACCTCAAACACCCCCCACCCACCCCCACAGAGACACCATCACACCTCAAACACCCCCCACTCCCCCCCCAGAGACACCGTCACACCTCAAACACCCCCCACTCCCCCCCCAGAGACACCGTCACACCTCAAACACCCCCCACCCGCCCCCACAGAGACACCATCACACCCCCCCACCCCCCGAGAGACTGGGGCACAGGTCACAATCCTCACTGAGCGAGAGGTCAGGAACTGATACGCAGCGAGTGGGGCGGGGCCTGGGGGGAGGGGCCTTGGTGGGGGGGGCCAGGGAGGGTGGGGCCGGGGTGGTGGAGCCGAGTCCCGAGGCTGCGCGGTGCTCACCGGCTGCCCGCGGCAGGATTGACGCTCTATCACCCGGCGCTCGAACGGCCGCCTGGCCGGGGGCAGAGAGTCCGGGAAGAAGCTGAAGACTTGTAGCTGCTGCAGGACAGCTCCGTGCTGCTCCTGGAACATCGCCACGATGCTCGCGTCCCTGCGACCCAGAGCGGTCATCTGCGGGGGAGAGAGAGACCGAGAGCAACACCATGAGAGTCAGCGTGAGAGAGAGAGAGAGAGAGAGAGAGAGAGAGAGAGAGAGACAGACAGACAGACAGACAGAGAGACAGACAGACAGACAGACAGAGAAAGAGAGAGGGAGAGAACAGAAAGACAGAGAGAGGCAGAAATAGAAAAAGAAAGAGAGCAGAGAGAGAGAGAGAGAGAGAACGACTAAGAATGACAGGTGGTTTTTGTTCAGCCGCTGTCAAACACATACAGAAAACCCATCATCAACAACAACAACAAGATTTCATTTACAGAGCGCCTTTCACGTCGGGAGGACAGTTGGACAGTTGGACAAAGCGCTGGACAGTTGGGTCAGGACCCGAGTAGGGGGGAAATGGTCAGGGTGAGGGGAGGGAAGGGAGGGGGCGCAGAGGGGGGAAAAGGGTGAAGGGAGGGAAGGGAGGGGCCGAAGAGGGGGGACATGGTCAGGGTGAGGGGAGGGAAGGGAGGGAGCGAGGAGGGGGCAGAGAGTTGAGAGTGGAGCTGAAGGCACTGTCGAAGAGAAAGGTCTTGAGACCGGCCTTGAAGGAGGAAAGGGAGGAAGCGAAGGCCGAGGCACTGGGGGATCATTGTGCTTAACGAGTCTCCAAACCAGAGAGTTCCACACGTGCCGCCTACACACGGAGATTCCTGTCTCTCAAATGGAATGTGCACGACTCCCAGAAGTCACGTACCCCCTGCTTACCGAATTCCCAAAAGTTTTAGGCGTAGATTGGCCCAAGATTTAGAGACCCCAGAGAGTGTGTTGGGGTACCTGCTGGAGTCTAATCAGCTAAACCACATATTGAGAGCGCTGCTTGTCCAGCTTTCCCGCTGCTTGTCCAGCGAGGACCACCCAATCCATCAGGGCTTTGGCTCGCAGGGTTAGCGAGAGCTGAGTGGGAGGATTCCCTGCCCCAGTGACTGGTCTGACCTTCTTCCCTTCTCTGTCCCGACAGCATAGCAGGATCTTTAACACCCGCCTGAACAGTCATAGATAGGAGCTCGGATTCACATCTCAATCAACCATCCAGCTCGCTCTCCCCCAGCGCTGCCCTGGAGCGTCAGTCCGGACTGGGATCCCAGCGGCTGGTCAGCCCCTCCCTACCCCCACCCCTCAGATAGATGTTTGTCAGGTCAGGGTATCAAGGGATATGGAACAAAGGCAGATAGTTGGAGTTGAGGTACGGATTAGCTATGATCTAATGGAATAGTGGAACAGGCTGGAGTGGCTGAATGGCCTCCTCTGGTTCCTACGTCCCCGTACCTGAGCCAGCGGCTCGAGTTCATCGAGCGTGACCCTCACGAACTCGCGATGAGCCTCGGCAAAGCTGCGGACGCAGGCGAGGAAGAGGTCCTGGGCTTTGGTGTGGAAGGTCGGCAGCTCGGCCAGCAGTTGGGCGTTCAGGGCCTCGTAGTCGTTGCGAGCGGCCTGCAGCTCCTCCAGCGGCCGGCGGCCACCCAGGCGTTCCGCTCGCTCCCGGCATGTGTGGTAATCCAGCAGCTTGTCAAAGCGCTTCCCCACCAGCTTGTGCGGCCCCGCAAACATGGTCAGCAGCTGACTCAGCGGCCCGGTCACCAACCGCTCTGTACGCTCCTTCTGCTCCGGGGAGAGAGAGATTGGGAGAAAGAGGAGAGTGAGGGCGAGAGAGAGAGAGAATGAGGGGGAGAGTGAGAGAGGGAGATTGACAGAGAGAGAGAGGAGAGAGCAGACTGAGAGTGGGAGAAAGAGAAAGAGGAAGCGAGGGAGAGAGAGAGAGAAAGAGAGTGAGAGAAAGAGCATGAGAGTGTGAGTGAGTCCGAGACAGACAGAAAGAATGAGAGGGAGTAAGACAGAGAGTGAGGTGTGAGACGTGGTCACTCACAAAGTCGGTGAAGAGTTTGTCGCTGATGCAGCGTTGAACGCGATGGAAACTCTCGAGATCGGTCCGACTCTGCTCCCGGTGCAGGTCCAACATACTCATCGCAGCTAAAACCGTCACTGAGGCCGATTCCTGAGAGAGAGAGTGGGAATGAGTGTGTGAGAGAGAGCGTTTGCGTGTGGGAGAGAGAGTGTGTGTGAGAGAGTGTGAGAGGAAGAGAAAGAGCGAGCGTGCGAGAGAGAAGAGTGTGTGCGAGAGAGGGATCGTGAGGGGGGGGCAGTCAGCCTGGCTGTGCCGCGCTTCACTATGGAATCGCCCCCCAGTGAGTCTCTGATCTTGGGGAGTAATCACGGTGATTCCCCCCCCAGTTGCCATGACTCCTGCGGTGGCGCTGACTGTCCCACCCACCCCCTCCTCCAAGTTACCCTCATGTGCTGCAGGTACAGGGACACATCCCGGACGAAGGACTTTATCAGCCGCTCCAGGCCTCCAAACTGCTTTTCAGCCTCGTCAAAAGCCTCGTCCTTTATCTGAGAGAGAGAGAGAGAGAGAGAGGGGGCGGTCAGCCATCTCACCCGAGATGTTTGAACACTAACAAGATCTGTCCACGGTCAGTGCCCCACTGTTCCCGGGGTGGGGGCGGTGGGAGGGTTGCCTGGGGGTGCAGGGTTGCCTGGGGGGGGTGTGGGTTTGCCTGGCGGGTGCGGGGTTGCCTGGGGGCTGCGGGATTACCTGGGGGGGGACGGGGATACCTGGGGTGTGCGGGGTTACCTGGGGTGTGCAGGGTTGCCTGGGGGGTCGGGGTTACCTGTGGGAGGGCGGGGTTGCCTGGGGGGCTGTGGGGTTGCCTGGGGGGCTGCGGGGTTGCCTGGGGGGCTGCGGGGTTGCCTGGGGTGGACGGGGTTGCCTGGGGAGGGGGATCGGGGTTGCCTGGGGGGGTGGTCGGGGATACCTGTGGGGAGTCGGGGTTACCTCTGGGGGGGCGGGGTTACCTGTGGGGGGGCGTGGTTGCCTGGGGCGGTCGGGGTTACCTGTGGGGGGGCGGGGTTACCTGGGGGGGCCGGGGTTACCTGGGGGGGTCGGGGTTGCCTGTGGGGGCCGGGGTTACCTGGGGCGGTCGGAGTTACCTGTGGGAGGGCGGGGTTACCTGTGGGGGGCGGGGTTGCCTGTGGGGGCCGGGGTTGCCTGGGGGGGTCGGGGTTGCCTGTGGGGGCCGGGGTTACCTGGGGGGTCAGGCCTGTCAGGTGCTTGAGGTGGCTGCTGACACGGTTGGATTTCTTGATGATGGAGTGAATACTCAGCTTTGAGATCTTGTCCATCAGAGAATCCTCGTCCCCTTTACGGTACTTCAACACTGCACAGAGAGAGAGAGAGAGAGTGAGAGAGAGAGGAGAGAGAGGGAGTGTGAGAGAGAGGAGAGAGTGAGTGGGAGAGAGAGGAGAGAGTGAGTGTGGGAGAGAGAGTGTGAAAGAGAGTGATGGTCAGGGTGGGGGGGTGAGGCGTCAGGGATGAGGGGAGGGTTAGGCTGTGCTGGGGGAGGGGGTGATGAGGTCGAGCCCATCTCTTACCTAGGTCCTTGCGTCTCTTGCACTCGTTGATGTGGACGTTGAGCTCCCTGAGGGAGGAGAGGGCGAGTGCGAGGGGCTGGTGGTCGCTGTGCGAGGCTGGGGTGGAGCCCAGCAGCTCAGTGATCAGCAGTGGGTATCGCATCACTCTCTGCACCGGCTTAATCAGGAACGAGCCCAGGTTTATGTAGTTGGTTTTGCCCCTAATGTAGCCAGAGAGAGGGTTAGCAGGACTCCGAGATCATCAACCCCCTGCCATATACCCCCCCACATACACAACCTTCCCTTATACATAGCCTCCACATACACTACCCAATATACAACCCCCATATACACACACCCATATACACCCTCCCCATATATACCCCCCATAATCACCCCTCCATATTCACACACACACCCCCATGTACATCCCCATATACATCCCCCCATATACACAGACACCTCCATGTACACGCACACACCCATGTATATCCCCATATACACACATACCCCCATACACACACACACCCATATACCACCCCCCCATACACACAGCTGCTGTAATGCCATGTGTGCCCTGCGGAGGGTGCAATAGTTTCAGCAATGCTACATTCTGTTTGAAATCTTCACCCTTGATACACCTCCTGATGTACGCCATCGAGATGTCTTAAAGTGCTTCACACAATTTTACTGTAAAGTGCAGTGACAAACAGCAGCCAATCTCCGCACAGCGACATCCCACAAACAGCCATGAGGTGAGCCATTTTATTTGAGGGACTGTCGGCCAGGACGCCGGGACGAATTAAACTCTGTTTTCTCTCCCAGTCGCGCCTGGCATTGGATACAGCGCCTGATCACATCGTTGAGACGTCTCAAAGAATATACTGTAAAGTGAAGTGACTATACTTTGTGGGCGAAACGTGGGATAAAGGAGCGAGTGAGGCACAGAGCAAAAGCTTATGGAACCCGCAGGAGCGATCAGCCATGAAATCGTTCGTCTGTTAGACTGAAGCATTGGTGAGGGTCAAACAAACACACAAGCTGTGATAAAGGTTAAGGGTTAAAGGTTGCACGCACGGGTCTCACTTACCACTGACGATATATTGTCCTGTGTTTGTGGGGGAGGGGGAGCGGGGGATAAATGGGGGAAAGAAAACGGGATTACAAGAAGAGCAGTTTGCAAACTTCACAAGAGACTCACTGCGTCCGTCTGCGTGTCTTTCTGTCTGTCTACACTTCCGTGTATGTATGTATGTGTGTGTGTGTGTGTGTGTGTGTGTGTGTGTGTGTGTGCCTGGATCTGTGCGTTTGTCTGGGTCTGTGCATGTGTCTGCCTGAGTCTGTGCGTGTACCTGGGTCTCGGTCTGTGTGTGCGTGTGTCATGGGTCTGTATGTGCGTGTGTCATGGGTCTGTGTGTGCGTGTGTCATGGGTCTGTGTGTGCGTGTGTCTGGGTCTCTCTGTGTTAAGATAGTGACACTGTTTTGGAGGCAAACACGGCATCCAATTCACACACAGCAACAACCTCCAAAAACCATGAAGTAAATGAGCGATTTTATCTGGGGAATTGCTGGCCAGGACACTGGGGAGTGAGAGAGAGAGAGAGAGAGAGAGAGAAAGAAAATCTCTTCTCTTTTCCAACAGCCCCGCAGGATCTTCAACATCCGCCTGGACTGGGCACAGACAGGAGTTCGGTTTGACATCTCACGTGAAGGACAGAATCTCCGACAATGCCCTCTCCTGCCCTGGGCTGCATTGGAGCGTTGGCCTGGACTGTGGGCTCAAAGTCAGTGACATGGGGGGGCTTACTCCCATGAGCTCCGGCCCCGGCGAGCTCCTGCCCATCTCCCCCCCCCCCCCCCCCCCGCCCCTTTCCAGGCTGCGTACCGGAGTTCCTGGAGGCAGGAGCTGAGCTGAGCCTGGATCTCGGGCTCTCTCTCGTACACCTCGAGCAAAGCGATGGCCTCCTCGTGGTTCTGACAATAAACATTGTAAACCTCCTCCAACTCGTCACGGTATCTCAGGAACACAGGGCCTGGGTGGGGGGGAGCGTGGAAATCAAACAATATTCTCATTTTGTTAAGATCATTTTTTCCCCTTAAAACACTGTCCCCCCACCCTCTCTCTCTCTCACACACACACACACACACACACACGCGCGTGCGCAAGCAATTAGGAAGGCGAACGGTATGTTAGCGTTCATTATGAAAGGATTAGAGTATAAGAGTAGGGAAGTCTTACTGCAACTGTATAGGGCCCTGTGAGACCACACCTGGAATACTGTGTGCAGTTTTGGTCTCCTCATTTAAGGAAGGATGTACTTGCCTTAGAGGGGGTGCAGCGTAGATTTAGTAGGTTAGTACCAGGGATGAAGGGGATGAGTTACGAGGATAGGCTGACCAATTTGGGCCTATATTCTCTAGAATATAGAAGAATTAGAGGGGATCTCATAGAAACCTATAGAAAAGGCAAATCTGCCTAACAAATCTAATAGAATGTTTTGAAGAGGTGACTGCGAGGGTTGATGAGGGAAATGCGGTGGACGTTATTTACATGGATTTCAAAAAGGCTTTTAACACAGTACCGCATAAGAGATTAATCCAAAAATTAGAGGCCCACAGTATTAAGGGGACAGTGGCAGTTTGGATTAAGAACTGTCTGAGTGACAGAAAGCAGAGGGTGATGGTTAATGGGTGTTTCTCGCAATGGGAGGAGGTGTGCAGCGGTGTCCCCCAGGGATCGGTATTGGGACCACTGCTCTTTCTAATATATATTAATGATCTGGACTTGGGCATAGAGAGCACTATTTCCAAGTTTGCAGATGATACCAAGTTAGGTCGGGCAGTAAATAGTGAAGCAGATTGTGACGGACTGCAGGCAGACATACACAGAATGGTGGGATGGGCTGACATGTGGCAGATGGATTTCAATGTGGATAAGTGTGAGGTGATACACTTAGGGAGGAAAAATGATAGGAGGCAATATAGACTTGGAGCTCAATCTTAAGGGGGGGGTGATCGTACAGAGAGATCTGGGTGTTCAAGTAAGCGAATCATTAAAGGTAGCAGAGCAGGTAGATAGGGCAGTAAAAAAGGCATTTGGTGTACTGAGCTTTATTAGTAGGGGCATAGAGTGTAAGAGTAGGGGTTATGATTAATCTGTACAAAACACTGGTTAGGCCTCAGCTGGAGTACTGCGTCCAGTTCTGGGCACCTTACCTCAGGAAGGACATTAAGGCACTGGAAAGGGTGCAGAGGAGATTCACGAGAATGATACCAGGAATGGGGAACCTTAGCTATGAGGACAGTGGAGAAGTTAGGACATTTCCCATTAGAGCAGAGAAGGTTACGCGGGGACCTGATAGAGGTCTTCAAGATCATGAAAGGTTTCGACAGGCGAGATAGGGAAAAGCTGTTTCCGCCGGTAGGTGTGTCTGTGACCTGTGGTCACAGTCTTAAGATATCTACCAAAAGAAGCAGAGGGGAGGTTAGGGTTAGAAGAAATGTTTTCACTCAGCGAGTTGTTGGGATTTGGAATGATCTGCCCAAAAGGGCAGTGAAGTCCGATTCGATAACAGCTTTTAAGAGAGAACTGGACAGGTATCTGGGGAAGACGGGTTTGCAGGGTTATGGGGAGAAAGCTGGTGAGTGGGGTTAATAAAAGTCAGTTGCTGTCAAAGAGCCGCACAGACTCGATGGGCCGATTGGCCTCCTTCTGTGCCGTAACATTCTATGAATCTATGAATCATCAAAGGCCATAATAGAGTAGATAGTGGGAGATTGTTTCCCCGATTGGAGAAACTAAAACCAGGGCTCACAACCTTAAAATCAGAGGCAGCCCTTTCACACTGAGTTGAGGAAGAACTTCTTCACTCAAACGGTGGTGAATGTATGGAACTCACTACCCCAAAGGGCTGTTGACGCTCAGTCCTTGAACATATTCAAGACTGAGATAGATAGATTTCTTATTGCAAAAGGGATTAAGGGATATGGGGATAAAGCAGGGCGTCAGGTTATAATAATAATAATAATCCTTGCATTTGATATAGTGCTTTTCACGTCGGGAGGACGTCCCAAAGCGCTTCACAGAACACACTGTAAAGTGAATTGACTGTATATTTGTGGGCGAACGCGGCAGCCAATTGCGCACAGCAATGTCCCACAAACAGTCGTAGATTGAAAATGACCAATTTATTATTGTTTTGTTTTTGGAGGGATTATTTATTATTATTATTAGCTGGAGTTAGATTAGAAGATCAGCCATGATTGAATGGTGGGGTAGGCTCGGAGGGCCGAATGGTCTACGCCTGCTCCTACATGTTAAGTTCTATATATATTACCTATTGTGTCTGTCTCCTCCAGTGATGTGAGCAATCTCGTGGCCAGGTCGATGACAGTGAGAATGTTCCCAAATAAAGACTCGCAGTCCACCTTCTGTACCTGGGAACCAGATCATCATCATCACATCATCATCTTCTTCAACATCTCCATCACCATCGTCGTCATTGTCAACACACTCACACTCGCCCGTCAGGGAAAACTCTCTTCACTGGGAATCGCTGTCAACGTTTGTGGCATTTTACACACAGCAATGTCCGTCCCTCAAACACATCAGACATATACACACACAGACAGTGTGAGGGGAACCAGGCAATTATTAGGGAGGGAAAGTGTGTTGGGGGGAAATCCCTATCTGATTTACCCCTCGCTAACTCGGCAGTCGGGCAGTGCAGGGGGGAGGGTGGGGGGGTGAAGGAAGCGCCAAGCTGACCTGGCTCTCTCGCAGTGGGGTGAGTACGGTGCTCACACACATCTCAAGGTCCTTGATATAATCTGCCTCCGTCTGCAGCAGCTCCTCAATCACTTTCGCTCGCTTCTCTAGCATCTTCTGCTCCGGGTTCTCCCGCGGGATCAGCCCCGTGGCCTCCAGAGAGCTGGCCTGAGCAGAGAGCAGCGTCATGTCTGTGCCAGAGAGAGAGAGAGAGAGGATATCATAGCAATTACACAGAGAGGCCATTTCCCTATCGTGTCTGTGCTGGGGCTCGCTCCCCCACTGCAGCTCTCTACTCTAACCCCATTCCCTGCTCTCTCTCTCCCCATCGTGTCTGTGCTGGGGCTCGCTCCCCCACTGCAGCTCTCTACTCTAACCCCATTCCCTGCTCTCTCTCTCCCCATCGTGTCTGTGCTGGGGCTCGCTCCCCCACTGGAGCTCTCTACTCTAACCCCATTCCCTGCTCTCTCTCTGTTATCTTTTGTATTGAATTCCCTCTCAAATTTTCCCACGGATGTCAGCCTTATTGGCCCCTTGTGACAAAGTGTTAACACGCTCCCAGGCCTTCATGTGTACACCTTCTCTCAGCCTGTGGGTGTGAACAGTGGAATCACCAACAGGCACTAATTCTCAGCCTAATACAACACATACATCAAAATGTCTCAAAGAGTTTCACTGTACAGCTCAGTGACTTTGTTAGCAAACACAGCAGACAATTTGCACACTGCAGCAACCCATAAACATCCGTGAAGTGAACGAGCAATTTTATCTGGGAAACTGTCGGCGAGGACATTGAGAGAGAGAAACTGTCTTCTCTTTTCCAACAGCGCAGCGGGACATTGAACACCTGAAGCAGCACAACAGGAGCCCGGCTTAACACCTCATCTGAGGACAGCGTCTCTGACAATTGCAGCGCTCCCGCAGCACTGCACTGAAGCGTCAGCCTGGAGGGACTGTGAGCGCAGAATCCCTGACACGGGGCTTGAACCCACAACCTGCTGACTGGAGATGCGAGACTAGGTCAGGCTGACACCGTGACACAGGTTCTCACACTCAGCCCTGATATAGACAGTGACAGGGGTGAGGCTCCCGATGGTATTATTGATCAGGATTAAGATGGAGTTGGCTGGATTCTGTTTAACTATGGCCTGAGCCACAGACTAATATCACACGTCTCAGTGACTGATAGAAACCGCTGTTAAGTGTAGTGACTGTGTGTGGAGGGGAACACTGCTCACTGAGCTGCCTTGTTCCTTTAAGACAATTTCATCACAGTTTGGAGGTTAAGTATTCATGACGGGCGTGCCATCAAATGGCAAGCTCTGATTGACTGAGGTGCAGCTGTAAACCACACTCAGTCCGAGACACACACACCTCTATACTAGAAAGAGAGACACACACACACCTGTACAAGAGACACACACAAACCTATACTAGAGACACACACACACACACCCCTATACGAGAAAGAGACATACACACACCTATACTAGAGAGAGAGACACACACCCCTATACGAGAGAGAGAGACACACACCTATACTAGAGAGAGAGACACACACACACCCCTATACAAGAGAGACACACACACACACCTCTATACTAGAGAGAGACATACACACACCTATACAAGAGAGAGACACACACACACACCCCTATACTAGAGAGACATACACACACCTATACAAGAGAGACACACACACACCTATACTAGAGACACACACACATACTAGAGAGACACACTCACACCTATACTGGATAGAGAGACACAAACACACACAAAGACACACACAAAAACTTGGGAGACATACACAGTCTCCTCCGTGCCACTGATCTCAGCCCCACTCTCTGATCCTGCAACCCCCTCCCCTGTCACCAGCTAAACTTTCCCATCCTTCAACCCCCACCTCTTGGACGTTCCTCTCAGCCCATCTCACATGCGCTCACACACAGTCACACTCACAGAGACACACACGAGTTACACACCAACAGAGGCACACAGAGACTCACAAGCGAGAGACCTACACACGAGTCAAACACTCACACTGAGACAGACAGAGACACACACTCACAGAGAGACACAGACACACATACAGAGACACACACTCACAGACACACAACAGAGACACACACTCACAGAGAGACATAGACACTCACACACACAGGCACAGTGATACCTCTCTCTCCCTGACAGGGCGTCTCCAGTCACATTTCCCTCAGGGTTGCCTACAGATCCCGGGGGAGGGGGTGGGGGACCTGAGGAGCTCTCCTTGTCTCTCTCCCCCCCAAACACAGGAGACCATTTACAGCTCCGCTCACATTAGCATCTGAATAGATGGGAACAGACAAAGACTTCCCCTAAGAGAGCGAGGAGAGAGAGACCTCGGAGTCTGATATCTTGGGGATTGGGGGCAGGTAAATAATAATAATAATCTTTTTCCCACAAAATACAGTCAATCCACTTTACAGTAAATCCTGTGAAGCGCTTTGAGACGTCTCCACAACATGATCAGCTGCTGTATCAAATGGAAGGATTATTATTATTAAAATATTCTGATATTTGACCCGGTGCCTTTCCAACAGAAGCCGCATCTCACAGCGTCACAGGACTCACTATGAATTGTAGTGATTGTAGTGAGGGCGAACGCGGCAGCCGGTCTGTGCACAGTGACGTCTCCGCAATCAGCCGGAAAATAATAATCCCGATCTGTGCCCGGCCCCTCATGACCGCTCAGAGCCCCTCACGACCCCTCAGAGCCCCTCGTGACCCCTCGGAGCCCCTCGCAGAGACTCGTGGCACAGTCACAAGCAACAATTTCAGGCTCAGTCACATCAGCTCTGAGCGTCTGGTGGAGGAAATCTGCCAGGTCCCCCCCTCGTTCCTGATCACTGCCCAGAGACACCCACCCCCAGAGGCTCCTCACCTCCCTCTTACACCTCCTGAGGAGTGGAGGAGGGAGGTTAGGAGGGAGGTGAGGAGTGGAGGAGGGAGGTGAGGAGGGAGGTGAGGAGTGGAGGAGGGAGGTGAGGAGTGGAGGAGGGAGGTGAGGAATGGAGGAGGGAGGTGAGGAGTGGAGGAGGGAGGTGAGGAGTGGAGGAGGGAGGTGAGGAGTGGAGGAGGGAGGTGAGGAGTGGAGGAGGGAGGTGAGGAGTGGAGGAGGGAGGTGAGGAGTGGAGGAGGGAGGTGAGGAGTGGAGGAGGGAGGTGAGGAGGGAGGTGAGGAGTGGAGGAGGGAGGTGAGGAGTGGAGGAGGGAGGTGAGGAGTGGAGGAGGGAGGTGAGGAGTGAAGGGCGTCTCACAGTGCCTTAGTGTAAAATATAGTGAATTTGTGGGCAAAGGCAGCAGCCAATTTTGCGAGCAGCAAATGTCTCACAAACAGCCGTGAGCGAGTTTATCATCTGGGAAGGAAAGAGAGAGAGAGAGAGAGAGTTTGAAAGAGAGAGAGGAGAAACTTGTCAGGGAAACACACAATGAAGTGTTTGAGACGTGCTGGGACAGGTTAGCACAATGGGCACGTTAGAAAGACCTGACCACGTGGGCATCCAATACACCCACTGAACAAAGGCAGGTGCCAGCACCCCCCCCCCCACCCAGGTTACAGCTTTCTGTCAAGTCAGCTCTCCTTATCCTCTTTGGGGCGGGGGTGGGGGGGGGGGAGGTGGGAGTGGGGTCTCCTTGCAGTGGAACTGGCTCCAAGGTGACATGTTTGGCAATGGCATATCAGAATGGATCCCCCCCCGGTGACGGTCTCTAGTCCGGTTCCTGAGCCAGGAGGGTCCACAGTATCCCAGGGCACTCACTGCTGATGACAGCCCGGCCCGGCCCGGCTCACTGGCATCTCCAACAATGCGATGGAAGGGCCAACCAGTCACTGGGGACAGGGACTCTGGGGTCTCCGAGCCTTGGCTCTTGCCAACCTGTGCTAATACATTCCAGAATTAGGTAAACAGGATGTGTCCCTCCAGGGAGAGAGGGGGAGAGAGAGAGAGAGAGACCATCTCATTCCAATTAACACCTCTGGAATTTCCATGTGTTGGTGGGATTTATGGAACTCTCAGTCTGGTTTGCAATATTGAAGCACGGTGATGGGTTTCCGCACGTGTCAAGCACCCGGCTGACCACAACAAAAGGCTCAGCCACTCGCACCCGTGCCTCCAACTCGGGTGGTTGTGGGTTCAAGCCCCACGTTGGGGACTCTGAGCTGACAATCTAGGCTGAGGCTCCAGCTCAGTGCTGGGGGGGGAGGGAGGGAGCATCGCATTGTTGGAGATGCTGTCCTTAAACCAAACGCCTGCCCGTTCAGGTGGCCATTAAAGATCCTGTGGTGCTATTGGAAAAGAGAAGGTAGTTTCTCTCTCCCGGTCGCTTGGCCGACAGACAATCTCCCGGTGTAATTGCTCCCTCACTGTTTGTGGCACATGTAAAATATCTGCCAAAGGCACCAAAAAAATCTTTTATAGTCTATAAAAAAACTATAAACTGGGGGGAGTGGGGGGGGAGTGGGGGCAGGGAAATCAAGGCCTATAATTACAGTGATTACCAGAAACCCTGTTGTGAGGCCAGCACCGGTGACTATGGTGACCACTATGAGCTGCAATTTGCTCCAGTCACTGAAACGCGAACCCACCCTCCCCTCCCACACGCAAACACACGCACACGCACACGCTCACTCGCGCGCACACACACACTCACAGAGAGACAAAGAGGAAAAAAAGCGACCAGGAGAGACAGCGTCAGGGAATAACAAAGGTGAGGGAAGCTGTTTACGGGCAAATGCCAGTTACGGGCCATCCCGAAATGTCACCGGTGCCCTTGCCATTGCCACGCCGACGAGAGGGAGCGTTTCTATTTAAATAATTCAGACGTTTGCTAAAGGCCCGTGGGCGCTGGAGGGCAAAGGTCATCCTGACTGACGGCTGCTCTGCGCTCTGGACCTTGACCCGGGCGCGAGACACCAATAATAATCAGTAATCCATCCTTGCACTTGATACAGCGCCTTGTCACGTCTTTGAGGCATCTCAAAACTTCACAGAATATACTGTAAAGTGAACTGACTGTCGTATATTTTGTCCCACAGACTGTTGTGGATTAGGTGATCACATTATTATTATTATAATTGAAAAAAAATGTTTTTGAAGGGGTTATTACCTCCAGAAAAGCCATTCACCAATCGACTAACAACCGGGTTGTGGTTGATTTGGAAACCAGTGAGAGGATCTTGAAATCGATCCATTTGGTATTTGGGAGGCAGCGGAGTCTGGCACGGACTGGGGTGATGGGGGCGCAGAGCTTTGTGCAGGTGAGTATCCGGGCGCCGGAGTGTGGGATTAATTACATTTGTGTACGGTGAAGCCTGGGGACACCAGCGGGGAGGCCGCTGGAATAGACCTGCCTGGAAGCGACGAAGGTACGGACAAGAGTTTCAGCTGCATCGGTCAACGTCGCCCCCCACGCAAGGTCAGTCACTGAGCACTGAGCGGGGGCTGCACCCCACGCCATCTGTCCACCCCAGTTGCTAATTAGATTTGCAGCTTGGAATAAATCCCAATCGGAGAGCCGGGCTCTTCCCGGGATTACAGGGCGGGAAATCAGCACCAGCTGCTCCCAGAATAGCAGCAGATAGACACGTCTACCGGCCACAGACAACGTGCTCACCGCGTGTGTGTGTTCAGCTCTCTGTGCCTGTATGTTTATCCGTGTGTGTGTGTATGTCTGTCTCGCTGTCTGTGTGTCAGTCTATCTGTGTGTGTGTGTCTCTCTCCATCTACAGTGCCCTGGACATCCTCCCGATGTGAAATGTAATTTGTTGTTGTTGTCTGTCTGTGCACGTCTCTCTCAACACTTGAGTTTGTTAAATCCATTAATGGTTTAATCTGCCAACAGATTAGTCAGAGGCTGAACAGGACAGGGTGTGCCTGTGTGTAACCCAGAAACACAAAGAGAGAGAGAGAGAAAAACAGAGAGACAAACAGAGAGAGACAGAAAGAGAAACAGAAAGAGGCAAACAGAGAGAGACAGACACCAGAGAGAGCAAGAGACAGAAACTGAGTGAAACACAGACAGAGGAACAGAGAGAAAGAGAGGGAAAGGAAAATAGAGACAGAGAGACCAAGAGGGAGACACACACACAGTGTCAGAGAGAATAACCAGGGAGAGGTTAGGGTTAGGGCGTTCACTGCAATTACACTCACAGCGAAACTCTGACACAATCCAATATCACTGACATTCTGTGTGGGGGCAGAGGGGACCCACTCCCCACAGACACCTGGAATGTGATCCGCAAACACATTTGTACACACGTTGGCTGCCACGTTCGCCTACAAACAACCCCTCTCCACTTGACACCAAACACTGTGAGCTGTGCCGCAGCTGTGATAAGGCGTTCGCTGTGTCAGATTCCAGGATTATTATTATTATTAGCAGTTTCAGTGTCAGCTCCAACATAAACAGCACAGTTTATCTCATCAAATAATGAGAGGCATCAAACACCAGAGATATCAAAGGTGACCAAGAGAGCGCGAGACACACACACACCCCGACCAAGACACACACACCCCGACCAAGACACACACACACACACACCCCGACCAAGACACACACACACACCGACCAAGACACACACACACCCCGACCAAGACACACACACACACCGACCAAGACACACACACACACACACACCCCGACCAAGACACTCACACACACACACCCCGACCAAGACACTCACACACACACACCCCGACCAAGACACACACACACCCCGACCAAGACACACACACACACACACACACACACCCCGACCAAGACAGACACACACCGATCCAGACAGACACACTGACAAGACACAGACAGACTGACACACACACACACACATAGACACTGACACACACACCCACAGACACTGACACACAGACATACACACAGATACACACTGACTGATACACACACAGACACACACACACACACACAGATTAACTGACACACACACACACACACAGACACACACACACACTGACTGACACACACACACAGACACACACACACACAGACTAACTGACACACACACACAGACACACACACACACACACACAGACACACACACAGACTAACTGACACACACTCACACACACACACAGACACACACACGCACAGACTGCTCCTCTGTCTCAGGCTCGGCCTCTCGTCACCTGGGTAGTGCCGGGGCGGGTGGATGTAGACGGGGCGGCGGAGTGACCCGGGGGCCGTCCTGCGGTAACGTGTGTTCCTGACCAGCGAGTCGGTGCCGTGGGGGGGGTCGGACCCCTCACACTCCCACCCGCTCATTCCGAGCCGTGTGCAGAAGCCCCTCTGGCTGAGGAGCAGAGCACCGCTCATGGTCCGGGTGTCAGGGGGCGGCCGCCCGCGCGCCCGAGCCCGAGCCCCATCCCAGAGCCCGAGCCGACACTGACTGGGGCTCAGCCCCGACCAGCTGGGAGGCTGAGGCCCCGCCCCGCGCCCCGCCCCAGCACCAATCACAGCGCCGGCCCCGCCCACACAGCCAACCCAGGCCCCGCCCCTACCCCCAGCACCAATCACAGCGCCGGCCCCGCCCACACAACCAACCCAGGCCCCGCCCCAGCACCAATCACAGCGCCGGCCCCGCCCACACAGCCAACCCAGGCCCCGCCCCCAGCACCAATCACAGCGCCGGCCCCGCCCACACAGCCAGCCCAGGCCCCGCCCCTACCCCCAGCACCAATCACAGCGCCGGCCCCGCCCACACAGCCAGCCCAGGCCCCGCCCCCCGCCCCGGAGCTGTCTGTCAGCCTGACATTGGCTCCAACCGCGGTCACTGGTAATGTTCCCATCACTGGGGAGACCGGTCTGACAACCCCAGAGCCCCGGGGGGAGAGGGAGGGGGAGGGGGAGTGGGTGTGAGAGAGTGGGTGAGTGTGAGAGAGTGGGTGAGTGTGAAAGAGAGTGAGTGTGAAAGAGAGTGAGTGTGAAAGCAGAAAGAGAGAGAGGGAGTGAAGGAATGAACACAAGCTATAAAAATACTAATAAAGGCAGCGACAAGTTGGACTTTAGCCCTCCACCCCACTGACAAACACTCTCTCTCACACCAACACTCCCGCACACACTCCCCAGGGCGGGCAGGCAGGGCAGGGTAGGGTAGGGCAGGGGAGGTCAGGGCAGGGCGGGCAGGTAGGGCGGGCAGGGCAGGGCAGGGCGGGCAGGGCAGGGCAGGCAGGGCGGGCAGGGTAGGGTAGGGTAGGGCGGGCAGGGTAGGGCAGGGCAGGGCGGGCAGGGTAGGGTAGGGCAGGGGAGGTCAGGGCAGGGCGGGCAGGTAGGGCGGGCAGGGCAGGGCGGGCAGGGCAGGGCAGGCAGGGCGGGCAGGGCAGGGCAGGCAGGCAGGGCGGGCAGGGCAGGGCGGGCAGGTAGGGCGGGCAGGGCAGGGCAGGGCGGGCAGGGTAGGGCGGGCAGGGCAGGCAGGGCAGGGTAGGGTAGGGCGGGCAGGGCAGGGGCAGGGCGGGCAGGGCAGGGTAGGGCGGGCAGGGTAGGGCAGGCAGGGCAGGGTAGGGTGGCAGGGCAGGGCAGGGTAGGGCGGGCAGGGCAGGGCGGGCAGGTAGGGCAGGGTAGGCGGGCAGGGTAGGGCAGGCAGGGCAGGGTAGGGTGGGCAGGGCAGGGCAGGGTAGGGCGGGCAGGGTAGGGCGGGCAGGTAGGGCAGGGTAGGGCGGGCAGGGCAGGGCAGGGCAGGTAGGGCAGGGCAGGGCAGGTGGGGCAGGGCAGGGCAGGGCAGGGCAAGGCGGGCAGGGTAGGGCGGGCAGGGCAGGGTAGGGCGGGCAGGGCAGGGCAGGCAGGGCAGGGTAGGGTAGGGTAGGGTAGGGCGGGCAGGGCAGGCGGGCAGGCAGGGCAGGGCAGGGCAGGGTAGGGTGGGCAGGGCAGGGCGGGCAGGTAGGGCAGGGTAGGGCGGGCAGGGCAGGGCAGGCAAGGCAGGGCAGGGCAGGGCGGGCAGGGCAGGGCGGGCAGGGCAGGGTAGGGCGGGCAGGACAGGGCAGGGCGGGCAGGGCAGGGCAGGGTAGGGTAGGGTAGGGCGGGCAGGGCAGGGCAGGGCAGGCGGGCAGGGCAGGCCGGGCAGGGCAGGGTTAGGGTGGGCAGGGCGGGGCTGAGGGGTGAGGCGTGGAATATTGAGTGGATTCCACAATCACAATGTCACCGAGTTTTAATCCAACAGTTTGTAACAACACTATTTCACTTTAATCTAATCTCTCTATCTGTCTGGATAGGTCTGTGCTGGGGCTCTCTCCCCCACTGGAGCTCTCTACTCTAACCCCATTCCCTGCTCTCTCTCTCTCTCTCCCCCCATGGTGTCTGTGCTGGGGCTCTCTCCCCCACTGGAGCTCTCTACTCTAACCCCATTCCCTGCTCTCTCCCCATCATGTCCCCCCCACCACCACACACACGCGCGCGCACTCTCTCTCACACACACACATACACTCACAGACATACAAACAAACACATGCACATACATAGGCATACACATACAGCCATACAGGCACACACACACACACACACACAGGGCAGATGGCAGGGAATCGTTGCCTGTTATCGGAAGGCACTGCACCAGGAGGGAGTGGTGTAAAATGAAGGAAATTCTTGGGTAAAGGAATCAGCAGAAAATCAGGTTTAACAAACTGAGAGGCAGCATCGGTGGAATGTTGCCATGTGAATGGGTCATTGGAGAATGTAACTCAGCCCAACCCCGAGAGAGAGACACACACAACAACGAACAACAACAAAATGACATGTGTACAGCGCCTTTCACATTGGGAGGACGTCCCAAGGTGCTGGACAGACAGAGTTATGGACCCGAGCTGGGGGTCGGGGTCGGGGAGGGTGGAGGGTGGGCCGCGGGGGGGAAGCGGGGGGATTGAAAGCATGGTTGAAGAGGAGGGTCTTGAGATGGGTCTTGAAGGTGGCAAGGAAGGCGGAGGGACTGTGGCTTAGAGTTTCAGAGGGTGGGGGCAGAGTGGCGGAAGGCCCACCTGCTAATAGTGGGGCGAGTGAGGCGGGGGACGTGAAGCAAACTGGAGCCCGCTGAGCAGAGGGAGCGAGCAGGATGGTAGGGGGTTAGGAGGCTGCAGAAGTCGGGGGGAGCAAGACCATGGAGGGCTTTGAAGGTGAGGACCAGGATCTTGAACTATATCCTCTGTGAGATGGGAAGTCAGTGGGGTCGGGCGAGAATGGGGGTGACAGGGTCGCGGAGCTTGGTGTAGGAGAGGACATGGGCTGCAGAGTTCTGGATGATCTGCAGCTTGTGGAGGGAGGAGATGGGGAGGCCGACAAGGCATGAGTTCACAGTCGAGCCTCGATGTAATGAAGGCGTGTATGAGGGTTTCGGGGGCCTGCGGTGTGACAGTGTCGGAGCCGGGCAACGTTGTGGAGGTGGGGAAGGCAGAGCAGGTCATGGCGCAGATCTGGGGTAGAAAGGAGAGCTGAGGGTCAAACAAGACCCCAAGGTTCTGGACTGGCTCAGTGAGGGGGAGTGAGCCCCACGGATGGTGATGCTGTCAGTGCCTGAGGTGTGGAGGCGCTGACGGGAGCCAATCAGGAGGGCCTCTGTCCTGTTGATGTTTAACTGTAGAAAGTTCGCTCTCATCCAGGACTTGTTGTCCGACAGACAATCTGTCAGCACAGCGGTGGGTCCTGGATTTAAGGGTGGAGGCAGAGAGGTAGAGTTGGGTGTCATCCGCATACATGTGGAAGTTAACCCCATGTCTGCGGATGATGTCACCAAGAGGGAGCACGTAGATATTGATGAGGAGGGGAACAAGGACACAGCCCCAAGGAACGCTGCACAAGTTGGTGGGGGGGGCTAGTGGACAGTATGAGAGGTATGATCTGAACCAGTCAAGTCAATCAGTCACACACACAGATCGCGAGAGTCACAAACACAGAGTGACACACTCACAGATAGAGAGTGACACACACGCACACGAGTGACATGGGGTGTTAGCGAGTTGGTACCTGTGATTTTGCGGAGCTCCACGGTCAGGGTCTCGATGCTCTGGTTGCAGGTGAGCAGGTCGTGCCGGGCCTGGGAGCCGGTGGTCTCATCCCCAGGCCTGTCCACCAGCGCCTGCAGCTCCTCCCGCCTCTGCTCCAACATCTGGAGCTCGCTCTGCAGCTGCTGTGCCTGGGCCAGGAGGCGGTGGGAGAAAGGTTCCTGGGCCTGGTCTGGCTCTGGCTCCGGCTCTGTGTCCTGGGGCTGGGAGTTGCTGCTCTGGGCCCCATTGGTATGGGTTGGGCCGGGGAGGTCCACGGGCTCGAAGCCAGACTCCCGGGCCGGTTGGGGCGAGGCGCTGTCCCTCCTGCGGTTGCCGGGGGCTTGAGGGGGAGGGAGGGGCGCAGGGCGGGAGGGGCGCAGGCAGGGCGGGGCGAGGAGCCGAGGGCTGGCTGGTGGGGGAGGGGGTGCCGGTCGCAGGGATTTGGACGGGGTCCCGGCCCCTCGCGTCACGTCCTCCTCGCTGCTGTAGTCGCTGATGGAGAAATAGCGGGTGATTTGGGGGAGCCCGAGGGGGGGCTGCAGGCTCCGGCCAAACTCCTCAATCTGCTCAGTACACACCGAGTCCAGATCAGAGGTCACGAGGCCCAGGGAGGCGGGGAGTGTGGGGCCGAGGGTGGGGGTGAGGGGGCAAGACGTGTCCCATGGCTGAGCTGGGTTCCTCTCCGCCTCGAGGCAGACCCTGACCCCCCTTTGAAAGGCTGGCCCTTCCCCCGAGCCGGGCGGAGTCACCGGGGGTTGAGGTGATGAGCGAGGGGGCCAGTGGGGGATTCCCTCGTCGCCCACTCCGGCCGGATACACGATCACCCCCCGGAATCCTGGCTGCAGCTCCAGCTCGGGGGGAAGCAGCGGTTGGTCCCACCCTGGCGTTCCCGTCTCTGCGGATCCAATGTCCGGCTCCACTCCCCCCTCCCCCTCTCCGCCCCGGCCCATTCCGGGATCCCACCTCATGCTCTCAGGGTTTCCCGGTGCTGGAGGCAGCCTGACGAAGCGGATTGGGAAAATCCCGCTCTTCCCGTTCACCTCCCCCTCCAGCCAGCCCTCCTCCACACTCCGCAGCACTCGGATCCGGTCTCCCTTCCGGAAGTCCAGCTCCTCCGGCTCCAGAGCGCTGAAATCATACAAGGCTTCCCCGAAAATTCCCGGTTCTTCCTCACTCTCCTCCCCTACCCCCTCACTCCCTTCCCCCACCCCCTCGCTCCCCTCCTCCATCCCCTCACTCCCTTCCCCCATCCCCTCACTCCCCTCCCCCTGACTCCAGTCCCCTGGCCCCTGACCACTCTCCCCCGCGCCCCCTTCCCCCGCCCGCAGCGGACCCATCAGCTCCACGAAACCTTCCGGAAAGATCCCCCGCCGGCCATCCAGCTCGCCCTGGAACCAGCCGG